TGTATAGAAGGACCGTTTATAATTTGGGTTGCGGATAAATGCATAGATTATTTTGTATTGAAAGGAGATCCGATACAAAGAGAGGTTATTTATGAAGATTACGATGGTAAGGTGAAATTAAGATTCTTTAATGTTCTGCACGATTGGGCTGTTGTAAAAATGTTACTATTTCATTTGCAGATGTATCTAATTTGAAAATTCCATTTTGGGAAAAGCTTCATACCAAAATGCCTGTTACTATTCATGAACAAGACGATGGTGTATATTATGCAATGTGTGCTACTGGTACATCTTCTAAAGATTCCCTGATATCTTGGATAAGATGCCTTCAAAAAACAAATCCTATTCTACTTAACATACCAATAACTTTCAAGTTGAAAAGCTTAATAAAAGAATCATTGTTAATAGAAGAAAGTAAAAAAGATGTAATACAAGATATAACAAAATTCGGGGATAGTCATTAGTCTATGTGAGTTAATAACTTAAAATGTATAAATAAAGTTATATATTTACTGTCCTTTCTAAATGTTTAATACATGTATTTTCGCTTACCAATAATAAGAAGTATTATCTTTTTAAATAACTTATTGTAGTTTTCACCATATAAGCTAAAAGAATATATATCGGAATCTTGTTGAAAATAAAATTAACACCGACGGTCGCTGCAAATGATCGATATTCGAAAAAATCGGATCTTAATTTCCTTTCTTCGTGGATGGTTCAACGTATCTATAATTATACATACATAAATACATGTATGCTTGCATTAAAATAAACTCGTTTAACTTTCTTGCTCTTGTATGCATAATTGCATGATATTATCAGTGAATAATCGGTCTTCGAACAGTTAATACGTGTTTTGATACGAGTCCTTATGTAAACGGAATGTAAAACTATCGATAATTTTCAATCAAAGTACATAAATCTAAACAGTGAATTTGATAATCCATCAATACAAATAAACGTTCAAGCAAACATGCAAATAAAGAAATACATAAATATCGGCACTAATACTTTGGGCCGTACGAGTTCAAAGTGTAAGTGACCTATTAAATAAAATCTCGATTGTTTACATTTTTTAATTATATTTATTTTCATCTTTTTCACCGATAAGTTTAAAATAGTAAAGTACTATTTTAGGGTTAATCGTACAAATCAGATCTCTCGCAATTAACGTAATGAATTCTCCGAAAATGCCTGTTTGCGAATACGTACCATCTACATATATGGTAAGATGTTTTATTTGTCTAAAGACATACTCGAACAAAATTCTTGACATCGAGTACAAAAGTAATGGAATTGACTTAGCAACATTTTGTTCCATTGATTTAGGGTACAAGTTATGAAGATTTAAAAAGAGTCTATGAATCGGTCGTGTCTCCATCATTGAAACCATTTTATAAACAACCGTTAATAATACACGAAGGTCGGGGACAATGGTTGTGGGACCATCATGGAAAACGATATTTAGATATGTTTGGAGGCGTTGCTACCGTATCCGTCGGACATTCTCATCCGTAAGTGTCGGCATGAAGAGGAGGGGAAAGAACCTTTGTTCGTTAAAGATAAACAGAACCGCCATTACTGAATATTAATATCTTATAAAAATTTTCTTGTGCCTATTATCTAGTAAAATAGTAGCTGCTATGACCGAACAAGCATCAAAGTTAAACCACGTGTCTTCCGTCTATATGCAACCCCGCTTACACGAATACGCGAATAAATTAATCAGCAAATTTTCGGGCAAATTGAAGGTAGTCTACTTGACGAACAGTGGCTCGGAGGCAAACGAGCTAGCATTCTTAATGGCTAGACTTTACACGCGTAGTCACAACATTATTTCGTTAAAAAACAGTTATCACGGGGCAACGTATGGGACTTCAGCGTCCACGTCGATGGGTACCTGGAGGTACCCTTCTATTGCACAACCACCTGGATATGTACACGTGAGTACAACGTTTAACCCCCTCGCGGCCGACCGTAAAATCGCGAACGATTTTTCTTTAATTCCTTTATGATAAGCATGCCGAACCCATTTTGGTCAATTTACACTTTAGAATTAAGAAGTTATTCTAAATTCGCAGCCATTAGCTCGGTGTTGTCCACGAAGAAAAACTTTTCATTGTGGATAACACCGATTACTAGGTCTCATCACGTTGGAGGTTACTGCATATATATAGAGACTCGGAGGGAGATAGATAGGACTTGGATTCCAACTTTTACATTCTTAGAAACTAGATTACTAAACTAAGAGAGATAGAAGAAAGCAAAGTTCCTTCGATCTTCTAGTTTAGTCGTACCAAGCAATTATTTTAATTAATCTCTTGCGCTGGAAAGATGTGTTATGCACGTCGCTTGTTATATGCTGCTAAAGTCGGAATGCCAATTAATTTCCCGCGCAAGAGGTTAAAGAGGGTGAAGCTAAATTGGGGGAGACGCGACGCGATACGAATCGAATAGCGAGCCTAAAGGGTCAGTTGATCAGCTCGTTGCCTCTAGCGAGTCCGCTTGAAGGGGAAGAGAATCGTCGTACCCTCGCATCCGACACGGATTCCCCATTTCTCCCACGCATCCTATCGGGAACTAAAAGATGACTGATAAAGAGAGGGATTCCGAGTGGGGGCTACCGCAGACAGGAACGGTCCACGGTCCCCTCTACGGCCGAAATTATCTTTCCTTTCGATTGTTTCACCAGAGGACGACACCTGACCCTTTCGACCAGCTAAACGGCCGATCGGCGATCACAGATCACAGGTCACAGCAGCGTGAGCAGCAGGATAACAGCGTCAGCCATCCTAACCATTCGTTCGATGTCCCGACATATCATTTCACGAAAAATTAATATTTATGCAAACTAATAGTCCCTTTCATTATTAATATACCACATATTGTTAAGAATTATTCAAACTATTGCGTTGTAATGTTAAACAATGCAAAATTTTATTTATAATTGTTTAATTCTGTTCCTTGGTCTAAATGAATCAAGATAGTGACGATTTATTAAATGTCACTGAATGTTTATTAATTCACTCATTATGCAATGTCGTGTGAACGATTAAGGAATTCGTAATCAAATAACGAATAACGCCTAACACTTCATAATTTTAGACCGTGTATCCGGACGTATACAGAGGCGTGTGGGGTGGTTCGAAATGTAGAGATTCACCCGTGCAAATGATTGAAAGAAATTGCGATTGCAACGAAGGACAATGCGTAGCGTCGGAAAAATATTTTCGTGAATTTGAGGAAACATTTCGCTTTAATTTGCCTTGCACGCAGAGTGTAGCAGGATTTGTTGCCGAGAGCATTCAGGTATTTCGTTAATAGATACGAAAATATAGAGGAAGCGTATACAAACTTAGGAGGAGAACTAATCGCAAGTACTGTGTATAATTTTAGGGAGTGGGTGGAGCAGTACAGTATCCAAAATATTTTCTTAAAAAGGTATATGACTACGTTCGCAACAAGGGTGGTGTCTGCATAGCAGACGAGGTTCAGACTGGTTTTGGCAGAACCGGTGACCACTTTTGGGGATTTGAGAATCATGGCGTAGTACCCGATATAGTAACCATGGCAAAAGGCATAGGTAATGGATTTCCTCTTGGCGCAGTTGTTACTACTGCAGAAATCGCGAATAGCCTAAACAGCGCATTGCACTTTAACACGTTCGGAGGAAATCCACTTGCGTGCGCCGTGGGAATAGCAGTTTTAAAAGCGAGTATATGTTCGTAATTGAATCCCTTGCGTTGGGATTAAAGGGGTAAAACGGCGAGCCCTTAGATTTAACAAAAATTCGAAAGCGAAGAAAGAGAAATAGCAAATTGGAGTAATTCTATTTTAGATTATAGAAGAGGAGGGTCTTCAAGAAAATGCACGCGTGGTCGGTACTTATCTAATCGAGCGTTTAAGTATTTTGTTATCGGAATTTCCCGAAATTGTGGGCGACGTCAGAGGGAAAGGGCTGATGATCGGAGTTGAATTAATTTCAAACGCCAAGACGAAACAACCATTAGAACATGAACGAATGGTCGAAATTTTCGAAGATATTAAAAATATGGGCGTTCTTATTGGCAAGGGAGGGTTGTGCGCGAATGTAAGTTTGACGGAAAACCTACGGGACACCTTCTATAGCATTAACACACGTAAATATTTATTACATTCAATATGCGCAGGTATTGAGAATAAAGCCACCTTTGTGTATTACCAAGGAGGATGCAGATTTTACTTTCGAAATTATTAAAAGGGCATTGAAGAAACACCAAGAAAATTAATTATTGTAGATAAGTATGAGAATATTTGAATTGCGATGTATGAATACAATCCCTTTTATTTGGTACAGTCGATAATGACATAATTTATATTACAATTTGTACAATGCAGTTTCTTTCCTTATACCGTCATTACGTTTAAATTTAGCATGCAAACTGTGTTACTACTGTAGATATACAGAACTAATCGTTTATAATGTCTGTAGACATTGCAGATCGCCAACTATACGCAAACTTGTTTTTCTGTTTGTTCTTTCTAGAATATTTTCTGTTTCATTCATGAAACGGGGTTTTGAAGGTTTCAGCATGAGAAACCAAATTCAAGAATATAATACAACTTAAATATGAACATTATAGATTGAGAAATATTATGCTGTTATAATAACAAACTAACATGAAACTTTCATTATAATTTCATTCGTTTCATAGTTTCAGTCTTCCTAATCAAATGTGTAACAAGTTTACTTCATTTCTGCGGTAAAACGTGTTTATCTATTACTTAAATGTTTCCTGTTCGCACAAATGCAATTAATGAACGTGCAATCGGACCTCGATAACTCGGTCTTTGTTCATTTCTCACCGTAAAACCTCGATAATTAAAAAAATAAATAAGTTAACTTGAAATTGTGCAGCACACATTTGATCTTTACAACTCGAATTTATATTACATTTATATAACATTTTTCATTATCCTTCAACTTTGAAATACCGAGATCCGATTGTACATGTTTTATAAGCATACACGTATGTATAATTTCTATATGCTATATTTTTAATTATGTATTGCAAGCTAAAATACTCTCTATAATCATACATATACAAAGCAAGGTATTTGATTTTGCTTCTTTTAGATTAACATATCTACCTTAATTTAAACTCAGAAGTTTGCTTGTAATGTTAAAGAACCTTCATGTTTTGTATACTTAATTCATATTACAAATCTTGTTCCTCAAGTCTTCATTAAATTATGTGACGTATTTTGAAGTGTTTTCGAAACTCAACTTCTTGGAAGACTTGTTTATAAATGCATTATACAAAGGAAATGCAAAAAAAAATATACAAAGCTAATAATAAATAACAATAAATCGTAAACAATACATATTAGGAAATATAAATGCAATAAAATCTGTTTAATCAAACGAAGACGTAACAATGATTTTTTTAATACTTGGAAATAAGATTTGGCACAAAACATACAACCTATTGTTTTAGAAAAATGTGCTCTATCTGTTTTTGTTATTGCTTAAAGAGTTCTATTACATTATATTTAATTAAATAGTTATCCATTAATTATTGTTTGTATCACAAAATATTCAGTTCTTTCACAGTAATATTATATATGGAGGAAATGATTGTAATCTTTTTTTCTATTTAATAATTAAACGATACTAATTTTTATACTAATATATCTGGTCTAATAAAATTGTTTGAAATAGTAGTCAAACAAAACCTGTTCATATTGTTGCCATACAGTAAAAGTACTAAACAATTAATTTGTATATATTGATCCAATTTTCTCAATTTTCATAGGTATGTCAAATAGAAGAATATTCCAATAGGTTAACTATATTATATTCGTATGATTGTTTGGTATTAAATGTATACTAAACCTTGTTTCTGTAGTCAATCACAAACAGTGTGAATGATGCTGTTAGGTATGAAACATGCAGGTACCCATTGAAGAAGTAAAACTTTTATGCGAGTCTTAAGCAATTAGATTTGTTAAAACTATTTTAGAATCTGGTAAGGTATCAAGAAGATAATGGGAGGAGTCAGCCATAGAAGCTAAATCAGCTTCTAATAATGCTAACTGAAGTTCTCTTCGTGCCTTCTGGACAACATATACCATTAACGAAATGCCTATTAGAATCTGAAAATATAATAGAGACATATATAGAATGTAAGTAAGTATACAGCAAATATATGTTCTTTTAACAAAATAACATATAAAATGATAATAAAGAAAAAACACAGCTTACTTGAAAACAAAAGACGATGTAACCAGTTGCTGCTGTTGATCTATCTTCAAGAACATCTTGCATAGACCGTAGACTACTACCCAAATAAATATTAATGATTTGGGCAGGTAGTAAACCTAATGCGCTAGCTAAATGGTATTGAACACCGCCCATGTTGCTCACCTAAGCATTGAAATATATTATTCTTATTACATACTTACATATAATTGGATGTCCCAAGCAACTATACTACAACTATCACCGCTGACTTGAAGTCCCACGGCAGGAATGCGGGAGAAGTAGAAGGGATACATGCATTTCCACATGTACATTAATCTCTAACTCTTGCCCCTGTATCCTCCCGCGGGACTTGAAGTCAGCGGTAAACTGTACTTTTTTGTACAGATTAAAGGAGTGCATCAAACAGTATAACAAATTTTAAAGTTTCAGATGCACCAATGCATAAAATTCAATTTTTATCTATCTTTAACCATTTTAAAGATACAGTTTTTCCCAGTTGTGTAGGACACCTTGTACATTGAATATAATATCATTAAAAGATGTACGTACTGCAAAAATAGTGTTTTGGAGACCAAAAGGAATAGGAGTTAATCTTGCAAATAACACAACTTTGAAAGCCTGTGGTCCAGAAATAACTCTGAGTATTGCTCTTGCATTATCATTTTGCAACAGCGCCCCAAGTGGTAACTTTGACGACAATGCACTAAGTGTAATGTGTGCTATAGCTATTCCTAGATTGGCTGATAATACCACCATCATGATACCTCTTAATATACCAAAGAGGTAACCACTAGCGATTATAAGGAATAAATAACCAATTACAATTGGAAACGAAACCACTGTGAATAAGGCAATAAATATTATTGCAACGATCCATATATTCTGATGTTCGATCCAATAGAGTAATACTTTAATGTAGTCTCTGCAGACAAAAACTATTGTCCCCAACAGAGCCAGAGTAGCAATTGTGACAACAATGTAACATATCGAATTAGAATTTATGCAGTTGCATTGTATTGATGTAGAATTTTTTGATGAACGAACACCAGTTTCCACATCTTCTATATTAAGTATATCCATGTCCAATGCTCTTATCCCTCATCATGTAGGTACAAAGAAACAATCACTTAATTGCAATCCTCTGCTACAACCTGATGTGACAAAAAATTCATAATTCCCTTAGATGCATAACATGTTCTGATTATTATAAATTTTATTTCTTACTAATTATTAATAATAAACTAAACAACCATTACTATAAGCATTACAAATATAGATTTCTATGATTTATCGGTTTTCCAATATATAAAAAACGTATTTTAAATAATTTCCGAATTAACTATATTATAGTCTATATCTCCTGGATTATAATAAATATAAAATGACTTTAATCTCAATATACTCTTCTGCAAACTGTACAAAAAATTAAATAAAACTTCTGTTATAGCATTTTTAAGACGAGCTGTATATATTCAAGACAAAATTTACTATGGATTTATTATTATAGGATTATTCATCGATTATCTTCATATATGAAGTTACATGTCTTATTTTTTTAAAAACGTACATAATACGAAAATAAAATGAGTAAATTTTATTCTGCGATATAATTACATGTTAACACATTAAATTACTGTAATTGTTAAACGGATATAGTCATGTAAATAACAAAGAGGAAGAAAATTATTTTTACCTCGGGACATTATCATAGTAAGGAATTTCGTTAATTATCGGTTTTCGTGTTTTTTATCATTACTGTGATATAAAAAAATATCAATTTTTATTCTTTGCTTTCACAATACGAACCATGTTTACGAAAAAATAACACGTTTCCGATTAAGATATAATTCTCGTAAAAACATTAAACACACGATCCTTAATTAAAATCCGTTTACGTTTCCTTCCTATCCGTCGTGTTAAGTGATGGATAGCGCCACGCTACGGAAAATACTCGAACTCTTGAGTTTAACAAAATAGTAGATTTACACATATTTATTTACTTGCTTAGTATGTACTCTTCATTTCTAAAATGAGAGTTACGTATAAAACAAGTTTTACCCAACTTTTTTGGTTATGTTTCAGCTTTGTATCCACTTTTTATGTATCTCTGTGTCAACAGGTAATAAATGAAAAAAAAGTTTTCATCTGCAGAAATTGTTTTGCAATCAGGCATGCTGTATTTGTATATTGTTTTATATACATCTTGATCTGCATCCATTCTATAAAAATCAACTAGACAATTTACTTTATTCTTAAAACAGTTGAAACCTTAAAATTTGAACGCTTTGTTTTGATAAACTCGAGAATTCAAGTAATCTTCGTAGTGTGACACACGCATCATTTGTGCACGACGAATTCGTACGGAAATGTATCTTGTTGCGCGTCCGGCGGCGTATTTCCGAAACTTCGTAGGGAATTCGGCGGGGAACGCTGCCCGTGGAGTCAGTGTGGCCAGATCGGGCATAATTGAGTGCATCGAAATCGACAACAGTGACGACGAATTTCCTTAGCGTCTAACGGAATGGTGGGGATAGCAGGCATACACTACCGCACGAGCCACGTGTACGTGAGCTCGGCGCTTGCGCACAACTTCGGGAAATCGATAAAGAACGCTAGTGTGAGCCTTTCCTTCTTGCTCTTGTAAAAGACAAAACAACTGAAATACGATCTCGCGATAAGTGGCATACGATTCCAAGTCTCGACTGCCCCAGCATATTTACTTTCCGACCTATATGTAAGGTATAAGGAAATTTATAAAGTATCATAATGAAAAAAATTTTGAAGTTTTTTTTTAGCGGAAATACACGTTTTAGGACCCCCTGATCATATTGTGACTATTGAAAAAAACATATTTTTTTTTGTTCCTATGCTATTGACATGATTGCGTCTAAACGGCTGAATGAATTTCAATGAAACTTAACATTTAAGTTTTATGTTCTCGTTTTAAGGTCTCATTATATTTTAAGCGTGATCAGCTCCCATATAATGATGATTATACGTTTTTAGTTTTATAATTATTTCGATACATACACATCATTTGTAACAAATTTTTAAAGCCATTTATATAAATCTTAAGAAGGGTTAAGATCAAATATATTTTTCTCCTATCTTTCCTAGACAGGAAAAATTAAACGAAATCTTATGCCTTGCATACCTACCTAAACCACATAAAAAACGTATTCCACAAATATTTTAGAATAATGTTGTTCAAAGCAGTCTTACTCGTAAAGAGTTAATTAAGGGTTAATTAAAATGAAAAACCACTCTTAGCCAGTACCGTGCACGCTACAGAAATAGATTACTACTGACTTTTCCCACTATGTTTTTTAATAACCGTATCAAATTGTTACACACAATCAAATGTTATATATTTGACTTAACTTTACATAACAAAATAATTGTAACGATAGGTAAAACAATAACGTGCACGCTACCGTTCAATGGAAACCACGGGAAGGTGGTGGTCACTTCCATCAGGAGGGAAATGTAAAAAATTGTTATTTCTTTGTAACATTATCACATGCCGTATATTAAAATGTTTTTATTAATGTAATGAAATTACAATATAATGAAAAACTAACTCGTGAATGCATTAATTTTTATTAATATACACACGAGCCATAAAAATGGAAAAATGATATAATTGTTTACATTTCCAAAGGATGGGATGTCGGGATAGGACGTTTGCGATTAAGCTGGCACGTTATGTCGTGCATTGTTGCTCTTACGGTACCGTGACGTAAGTGTAACAAGGCGCGACATTCTACGTCATAGCCACACTATCTACAGCAAGCAATTTCACTAACTAAAAATATACGGCAAAATATAAGCAAATAAATGAAGAAAAAAAATGATAGTTAGAGCAAGCAGAATAGTATTTACAGCAAACGAAATACGTAAAAAAAGTAACAACGCGAGACAAATTGAACGACTATTTACATATTAGCGATGTCCAAAAAAAAATATTTTGGACATCACTAACAAGACTGCGGTTGCAATGTAAGCGCTTTCGCGTGACGTTATGGCACATACATGCATCACACCTTGTTGCGCCTACGTCACGGTATCGTTGACGTAACAAGACCAGTCTACCGCGACGTCGCATGAAAACGTTTATACTGTCATTGCAGCCTAATAGTACGAATTTACTAAAGAGCTTTTCTCTGGAGAGAAAAATCTCTCTAGAGAAAAGCTCTGTAGTAAATCGGTACCTTAATTTTCGTCATATGACGTAGCGGGAAAATTCTCAAAGTTATTGTCATATGTTGCGTTTAATCTTAAATTACACTTTTGCTTCTTAGCAAATCTATGATATAAATTTTTGGAATACAATAGAGCTAGATGATCGTCATCTACCTCCATGGGTTGAGAGTTTTCCCTCTGCGCGTTTAACGAAGATTTCACAACGCAAATAGAGTTGACGCTGGCCGAAGAAAGTTTATTTCGTTTCTTTGTTTTTATGTCAGGTAACATGGAAAACAATCTTTCTGCATCGGCATTGGAATTTGGAAGTGATCTAATTGTATTTACTAATTTCATCAATTCAGGAAATTTAATTTTATAGTCCAAATTTCGCGTTAATAAAATTGTTTTCCAGAAACCATCGGATTTCATCTCGATAAGCGTCTGTCTACCTTTCGTTGTAAATTCCAAAGGCAATACTGACCATTCTGTTTGCAGTCCTTCTTCGTCGAAACCGCCGAATTTCTTAGCGATTAAGAGAACATTTCTGAAGGAAATGTCTCTATTTGTATCATTTAATATAAAAGTTGGTTCAAAAACATACAACATGCTAAGAAATTCGTCATCGATTGCCAATCGATGACGAATTTCGTTTGCAGCTGTAATATAAAACATTAAACAATTTTTCCTTACGGTTTCTACGATGTCGGACTTGCCTTCTGCATTCAGTTGATGCAGAAAATTAAGACACTCTGTTCCTAAATTTATACTATCAAATGGAAGTTGATTTTCGACTACAGAAAAATTCATCATTCTTACTAAATCCATGTGTTTCAAAAGCTGCGGTTTCAGAAAATTGCGTAATATATCGCATAAAAGTTCTGCCGCAGTCTTTTGAAGCAAATGAATTCTTGTCTCTTGAGTTTGAAAGAAAATGTTAAATTTATAAAAAAACTCAAGAGCGTAATTTAGAAAATAAAGATATGCTTTGGCCTCTGGATTTTGCATCGAGATTAACAGACGTTCCCCGGACTCTGATTTCTCGCTTATTGTCAATTCTTGCAAAAAAAGCAATACAGAGTCCCAATTCTCTAAAAGTGTAACTACGGATGTATAATGCGATAACCATCGCGTAGAACACAATTTTAAAATTTTTCGGTCGGTTATTTGAAAACATTGCTGAAATTCGCGGAATATAGCCGAACGTTTGGGACTACTGTATATGTTACTCTTTTTATAATTCTCAATGTGACACTGAGAATCTGCGTGATTATAAATCGTCGATAATCGACATGAAAATTGATTGTTGCAAACCGAACAGAACCACGAATAAGGGTCGCCGTCGACTTTATGCAACCATGGCTTGAAATAATCATTCTCAAGCCATTGAGGCATAAAAGTCCTTTTAGAAGTACTATTTTTTTTATGACACCCAGATTCTCCGTGTCTATACACGTTTGAGGAACCGCAAGAATAAGACTTATTGCATAAAGTACAATAAAAACGACTTCTATCATGGGGGTACTGCACGTATCCATGATTTAAATCTATGATCATTTATCCATGAAGATAAAAAACCGCGCTTACACTTATTCTTCGATTTCACAACCGTTTCCATGATATAAAAGCAGAAAAGCGAAAGAACAGAAAATTACAGAATACCTACGCGAAAGCTTTTTTTCAATTTAAATGTCTCAGAATGACCTACGGCACGTACGAAATAAAGTTCTATTGAATGAATAGCAGTATATAGACGACAATTTAATATATTTCATTTTGCAGAAATGAATTTAGAGGGGAATCAAAAAAAAAGGAAAGAAGAATATAGACGTTCTAATATATGGCATGTGATAATGTTACAAAGAAATAACAATTTTTTACATTTCCCTCCTGATGGAAGTGACCACCACCTTCCCGTGGTTTCCATTGAACGGTAGCGTGCACGTTATTGTTTTACCTATCGTTACAATTATTTTGTTATGTAAAGTTAAGTCAAATATATAACATTTGATTGTGTGTAACAATTTGATACGGTTATTAAAAAACATAGTGGGAAAAGTCAGTAGTAATCTATTTCTGTACCGTGCACGGTACTGGCTAAGAGTGGTTTTTCATTTTAATTAACCCTTAATTAACTCTTTACGAGTAAGACTGCTTTGAACAACATTATTCTAAAATATTTGTGGAATACGTTTTTTATGTGGTTTAGGTAGGTATGCAAGGCATAAGATTTCGTTTAATTTTTCCTGTCTAGGAAAGATAGGAGAAAAATATATTTGATCTTAACCCTTCTTAAGATTTATATAAATGGCTTTAAAAATTTGTTACAAATGATGTGTATGTATCGAAATAATTATAAAACTAAAAACGTATAATCATCATTATATGGGAGCTGATCACGCTTAAAATATAATGAGACCTTAAAACGAGAACATAAAACTTAAATGTTAAGTTTCATTGAAATTCATTCAGCCGTTTAGACGCAATCATGTCAATAGCATAGGAACAAAAAAAAAATATGTTTTTTTGTAGTAGTCACAATATGATGAGGGGGTTCTAAAACGTGTATTTCCGCTAAAAAAAATTTCGAAATATTTTTTTCGTTATTGAAATTCACTTAGTCGTTTAATGCATTCATGTTAATAGCATAGGAACAAAAAAAAATATCGTTTTTTTCAATAGTCACAATATGATCAGGGGGTCCCAAAATGTGTATTTCCGCTAAAAAAAAATTTCGAAATTTTTTTTTCGTTATTGCAATTCACTTATTGTTAGTCGTTGAGGAACAAAAAAAATGTCTTTTTTTTCAATAGTCACAATATGATCAGGGGGTCCTAAAACGTGTATTTCCGCTAAATAAAAATTTCAAAATTTTTTTTCATTATGATACTTTATAAATTTCCTTATACCTTACATATAGGTCGGAAAGTAAAAATGCTGGGGCAGTCGAGGCTTGGAATCGTATGCCACTTATTGCGAGGTCGTATTTCAGTTGTTTTGTCTTTTACAAGAGCAAGAAGGAAAGGCTCACACTAGCGTTCTTTATCGATTTCCCGAAGTTGTGCGCAAGCGTCGAGCTCACGTACACGTGGCTCGTGCGGTAGTGTATGCCTGCTATCCCCACCATTCCGTTAGACGCTAAGGAAGTTCGTCGTCACTGTTGTCGATTTCGATGCACTCAATTATGCCCGATCTGGCCACACTGCGTGGAGTGCTAAGGCACTCTGCTCCTTGGACGCGGGAGTTTCAAACGGAGATCGCTAGATAAGGAAAATAATAAATGGATACAACGATTTGAACACACGTAAATAGTACTTTAATTAACTCAATAAAGGAATATAAAACAAAACAACCAAGATTTCGCAGGAATCTTGTAACCCGTTCGTACACTTCCGCTCTCTTAATTCAAGATGCTTCTCTCTTTGCCGATTCAACTCTATTAACTAACTCAAATAATACAAGTACGATCTCGCTTAAGTTACAATGATACGTCCGTTCACTTTCGATCTCCGGATTCAAGTGTCGCTCTGCCGTTCGGTCGAGGCCCAGCCCACACGTAGGCCCCTCCAGATTGTCCCTTCCTTTATTCGGGCCGGGCGCAAAACTCTCGCACGCGCGTTCCTCGGCACACCCCCCGATTCCTCGAGAACGGTCCTCTGCGGCACGTGGCCGTTATCGGCTTTTGCACGCAGCTCGTTTCCGGCAATCGATAGCGCACGGCCCAAGTTCCTGGAATTACACACCTAGGAGAAGGGATCAAAGGGGAGCTCACGACTATCCAAACATCCGTCTCCAATAAATTATTGGCTAATCTATGACCCGAAGTGAAGTCATTAAAAGAATCTCTAACTACTTTTAAACCGTAGAATTGGCGCGGACTCCACTTTGTCTCCCTTTCCTATTACATTCGTGTAATCTGATTTAAACCTCGCGCCTCCCAGAGCTTCTGCTACACGGCGCCAGGCGACGACCGCAACAATCTTCTACTATCTATCTAACTACATTTCGTTGTTCGTGCCAAGCACATGCAACCGTACAACGGTTTGCCGGTACGTGCATACAAAAGTATAACCTAAATGCTGAGCAAATGTGAGGAAAAGAACGAAGGATTGTAGTCGAGTATTTTAAGAGGTAGTTTTTAAATAATCGCTTATAAGTCTGCCTTTTCTGTTTAATGCGACGATTTGAAGGAAGAACAACAAAATGGATCGCACGAGTATAGGAAATTCAATAGGAAGGAGTTTGACGTCTCCGAAAAAACGCATGTCAATAGTACAATCTTTGAAGAAAAATAACTCGTAAGTATATTCATAGCGTTTGTTTCACATACAATAAGAACTACGTTATATGAATTATTTGAAGAACAAAAGCATTCGCGTAAGAAAATTTTTATACAGGGTGTTCGGTCACCCCTGGGAAAAATTTTAATGAGAGATTCTAGAGGCCAAAATAAGACGAAAATCAAGAATATCAATTTCTTGATTGAGGCTTCGTTAAAAAGTTATTAAAAAATTAAATTAAAAAATTTTTAATCATTCTGGAAAAATTATTTTCAGTTACGGGGGTCAATTACAATCAATTTTGATGAATAAACACAACCCCGAAATCCTACGCATTTTCGAGAAAAAAATTTCTTACCGAAAATATATATATAATTTCTGGTCAAAAATGGTTCCTTGAAATTTTAAGCATAACTTTAAAAAATCATAACTCCCGAACAGATTGGAGGATTTTAATGTTTCAAAAGACAAACGACGCGTATTTTAGTGTAGAATATGTAGAAATTCTAACAATATTAAAAAAGTTGTTTCTTAAGCCCGTAAAGTTAGAAAAACCCCATAAAAATGGTCCAATTTTTAAACGGCCATAACTCCTACAATACTCAATGGATTTCATTGAAATTTTTTTCTGAAGTAGTGCTCGTGGGTACTTACAAAAAAGTATTAGACAACATTTCTGTACAACGTCAAATAAAATTACTAAAAGTTAAAAATGAATTTTCAAGAAAAATCGACAGGCAAATCATGCTGGCAAAATTATTTTCGGTTGCGGGAGCAAATACAATCATTTTTGGTCAATAGACACAATCCCGAAATCTTACACACTTACGAGAAAAAAATTCGAGTGGGTGGACAAATTTTTCGACAAAATTAAAAAATTTCGGATCGTTCTGGAAAAATTATTTATCGTTGCGGGGGTCAATTATAATCATTTTTGGTGAATACACATTCCCCCGAATTCCTACGTATTTTCGAGAAAAGAATTCTTTACCGAAAATATACTGTGTGGCTAGAAATGTTTCCCCAAAATTTCATGCGTATGTTTAAAAAATCATAACTTCTGAACAGATGGAAGGATTTTAATGATTCAAGATGCAAACAATCAGTATTAATGGAGCTCTAGAGCCCCAGAAAAATGGGCCAAAAAAGTACATTGGATGTAAGGTCTAATCGTATACCTCATTTGTAGTGAGAACTACTATCGCGCGCACACAGCTGTTCGCAAATTGTCGTTCTACGAGCAGAACTTTAAATGTTAATAACCTTTTAATGAAGCCTCAATCAACAAATTGGTATTCTTGATTTTTGTCTTATTTTGGTCTCTAGAAGCTCCTATTAAAATTTTTTCCCAAGGGTGGCCGAACACCCTGTATAATGGAACAATACGTTCCATTTTAGAAGGTTCATACAATGGAGGTTCTATTTTATCATTGGTATTTAAAAGTTGACTCATTCTTACGTCAATTATAAGATTGTTCTTTGAAAGAAAATCCATTTCTTTATGTTTACAGATCAATGAACGTGTCTGGTCGTTTGAATCAGTCTGCACAAATAATATGTAAAACTGTCAATCATGTGGTGGAAAGTTTTGAATCCCCTTTACCAGTCCTAGTTACTGAGGCTTTAACATTTGTAGACAGAAATATTGCCATTAGTATAAATATTTCGGAAGATGGCTGGGTTTGGCTTGTATGCGGTCGTAGATTGCTCGTTTGGCAATATAAAACAACGATTCACGATTCAAAGCAAAAGAGAACGTTTAAAACTCAGTGTCGCGAATTGTTATTGCCCCAAAGTGATTTAGCTCATAAAGCAGACTGCATAGCCATGTGGTTACCTTTGGGCCATCAGGTTTCTAAAATTTGCTATTGCTATATTACACGTACATTGCCTGTTTCAATATTTTCGATTTAAAACAAATGTTATCGTTTAATGTATAGGTTCCTAGTTGCATGGCTGTGTCTCCTGAAGGTATTGTACGTTTCTGGGCTAGTGTAGCACACGAAGAATCGTATATAGAAACAAGTGCGGAACTGGCTGGACAAGAAGTCAATTGTCTTACTTACATTCCTGGTCACGGTTGTATTTTAGCTACAACTACATGCACGGTAGCGTTATTGCAACCGCATTTTGCTAATGGTAAAAATAGCATAATGTGCCAAGTCCTTAGGACGAGTCAAGGATGGCTAGGCGGCATAGGACGTAGAATGACCTCTCTTATTTTTGGAGCTATGCCTCAGTCGCCGGTTATAGAAACGGTAAACATCGTGCCTCGAGTCTGTCCGTTTAAATCTGAAACACCTTGAATGATATGATAAAATCAAATCTATCCATTTTCATCTTTTAGAAATTACTGAAGGTTGTGTGTACAGAATTGGTTGATAGAGGATCGAGAGTTCTTATTTTAGCCGGTTCGTCTCTACAATATTGGTCTTTCCCTCGTAACGAACAGGAAAAAATGGAATTCGACGAAGATATCGGGCATATTATTTCGCAAATGTTTCAAAGAAAAATTATGGTACGTACGCGATATCGTTTGCGTTCAATGACATTTTATTTGGCTGTGCTAATAATTTTAGGAATTAGGTACGTGTAATCCGCAAAGTATAGGCACGTGGTTAATTGATATGCAACCTTGCGACGAAGGCATAGTATTTTTAATGGCAGCACAATGTACCGACGTATCGCGTCAAATTCACTTTGCGCTTGGTAAAATTTGCAGATTAATTACGATTAATTTTATTGTACATTTCAGTGTATAGAATAGTCTAATTATATTATAGGTCTGCTACCGCTAACTTCCACAACATTAGGAAATACGTTTAATTGGTTTATACCGATTAAAATTGATCTCTTTCTGTTCGGCCCCTGCACAGATTCGAATTTAGTTTCTTATCGGTTTATGTTCTCCGGCTGGGAAGCCATAATGTACGACGACCACTACGTATTCGTTGTGAACTGTGAGTGTAATTTAATTTTAATTTCCAGGAAACGTATCTTGCAAGATATTTGCGTGTTTTAAAATATAAAATTTGTACAGGCATGTCTGATCACGAACAAGATAAAATACGTTTAGCACGAAATGAAGATAGTATTCTCGGTGGCGCTTTGTGTTCAGGAATTCCAGTTTTATTTACCAAAAATTTTGGTTTGGTTTCTATCATGCCAACGGATTTCATGTCTCAAGATTTTAATATGTATACTTACGCTTGGAAATAATTTAACGCATAAGAATTTTAGAAACATACATCTTCATTAATGATATTTATTTATAGGACTTTTCCTGATACAAACGCAAGTACAGATTATACGTATCAAAATGCACAAAATTTTACTAGTCTCATAAGCAACGAAGAAGTTCAAGACATGTTTTACAGTTCCGATGGAGCCACGCAATTGCGCGCCGCGTTTCTTCTTAGTCTGCGTCAAAATAAGGTTAGTTTATTTAATAAGTTCTCTTGAGAATTTCATTCTAATATTACTGTTTCGTTTCAGTCGCAGTGCGAAGAAATTTTATCGCAACTGTTCCCTTTGCAAGAAGAGCCAGTGATGGATATAGATGCTAGCCTTGATACTCTGGTATTGAAAGTTGCTCAAGACTTGATAGACGATTACCCGGCAAACGATCCGCGTTGGTCAAATCACAGGGACTTGTGTAATTAAATTTCATGTGCTTCGTATTTAAGGAGATCTTCTACTCTGAATGTTGAAGAAAAATCGATTTCTATTCTTTGCATTTTCCCGAAATTTCTCAAATACAAAACAAAACTTTTATAAGAAAATAAAGAAGATATTCGAAAAGGAACGTTTATTCTTTTAGGATTCTAAAATAGAAGACTTCCGTAAGTACATATATAATAGATTCGCATAAACTTTAATTAGTTGTTTATTATTTACAGCCATGACAATAAACGCGGTTACTTCTATGCAAATATCTCATCAGTTGGAGGGGAAGCAGAAAGCATTGGATTTATTTGTATTATTTCTAAAAGAACATGATTTATGGAATCGAGTGAGTTACTTTGTTCGCGGAATGACAGTACATTTACGTATGTACGAATCAGTAAAATATTGCTACATGATATTTTTATTCGTTTAGTTCTGTGCTGTTACGTATAGAGGAATAATTATGTCTACTCCGCATGTTCTTGGTGAATACGCAGAAAAAATAGTTGCAGCATTGACTATATATAATCTCCAAAATAGGTAATTTTTCATAATTTGTTTTCATGTAGTTTACAATTTCGTAATACGATCGTGCTCTTAATTGTTTCAAGATATTCTAGTATCGTGGATGCTGTGATAGAACAAACTTTAAGCCCCGAATCGTACGTGTCTGATGAATTAACGACCCGCGATATTTTTTATCGTGAAGTGAGCACGGTGCACAAATTTTTTCCTACCTTGGTAAATAATACATGCCAAGTGACAGAATCTGAAAGACCTATTCAACAAGTAGCTCATTATATTATACAAGTGAACGCCATATTATTGGTAAGTAGAAATTAATGAAAGCAACTAGAATAGCTGAATATCCCCTTAACGTGTTAAGGAATAAAATAGAAAGCAAACTAAATGCTTGTACGTCAACTTATTATATGTACGTTAATGACAGAGTGTATTACACGAGGTACTTAAATACCGGCAACATAATGCTGAACGTTACATTCCTACGAGGCGTTCAAGCAATATAACGGAATATCTTCCTTGGACGGTGGCAATTGGTAAACATGGACTAAGAAATTGTCTTACTACGATGGTTGGTCTCGTCGTTTAAAAAAGTAAAACGAAACCTCGCTGGTTATATAAAGATTTAATAAATACATTTTATTGTTACAGTATAATTTAACTCTTAAACACGGCCTGACTGGAACCAACGATTCAACAGTGAGGAACGAATTATATGAACAATTAGTGGGTTTCATAGATTTAATATTAGACGGTCGTAAATGTCATTTAGAAAGTGTATGGGGTACAGAAAAGTATAATACGATACTCTTAAAACAATATGAAACAGATCGAACGAAATTGATTCAACCTCTGAGTATATATCTTCCGTTAATTTAAATAATTTCTGTATCTAAGCTACCGATCATACATATCAGGACATGCGACCCTATGATCGGTAGTGCATATACATATGTATTTACATTTAATTAATTTATAGTAAAGGAAGAGCAATACGATAGTGCCGCGATGCTAGCCGAAAAATATTGCGATTTTGCATCTCTTATACAAATATGCGAATTGACTAACAATAAAAACCGATTAGACGGCTATATGGAAAAATTCTCAGACCAAAACTTCGTGGAATTTTTATTTTCATGGCGAGTAATCGTTACACGAACGACGATTAAGAAAGTAAAAATATTTTTCCTTAATGTCTCTAAGAGAAATCAATTTTTAATTGCAGGTACGTGAAGGATGGTCGACAAGGTCAACTAGTAGAAAAGTGTAGACGCGGTGATACCGTTGAATTGTCAGAAAAATTAGCAGAACATCCTACTTTGTCTTGGGTTCAGTCCGCGCTCACGGACGATTTACGATTCGCCGCCAACACGCTTCATTCCTTAGCGTCTCAAGAAACCGAATTGGTGACACGCAAAAAGGTAAAACTAAATGTGATGTTGTTTTTCAGGAACAAGATAAACTGTTAAATTTTTTCAAATATCCTTTGTTTAATTACATCGATCAACAGCAAATATGCATTCTTCATCTAAGTGTCTTCTTCTTTTCCTTTACACGGCATTAAGTATTCTCTCGAAAATCAAAAAACAGTGAATTTTTTTACAATTTTACTGTATGAAGTAACTAAAGATTAAAGTAAAAGAGAAATTTAATCGAACGAATGTTAATTTTGTCTGGCAGTCGATGCTGTCATTAGCAAAATTGGCTCTTCTTGCTTCGGGCGATCCTCAGGAAGAATTGAGCGACTATGTGGAAAGAATCGACAACGAATTGGCGTTAATAGCTCATCAAGAAGATTTACCGACCCAAGTACTCACGACATATGGTTACGACGTGGAAAAATTACGAGTTTTCAAACCAACGGAATTAATTACGGTATTTACTTTTACGTATGAAATTATGATTATCTATAAAATAGTTCCCATAAACATAGATATGATTGGCACAGTTGTATACGTCCGAAGACAACATAGACGCGAACGAGTACGATTTTAAAAAAGCTCTCGATTTACTTGATTACGTGGAAGACAAAGACGAGAAAGCATCTTTGAAGTTACGAATTTGGGCGCGAGCTGCCAAACGGGATCAGTGGGACACTATAGGAAAGAATCCTGAAGAACAAGTACAAGAAACGATATTCTTCAAGTTAATGGATCTTGCACATTTTATGGGTACGTTTATTGATTGTTAAAACGATATAAAATAATTCTGCGTGAAACGTCGTCGTTCTTATTATTAGAAAAATTATTTTTATCTTGTTCAAACAACAGGCGACCTGGCGACTCAGTTTCTTCCGCCAGTGGATATGTTATTGGAAGAGCCTGAACTGGGAAGCCTTGCTGAGTCGAACAACTTTCAATTCCTGATAAAGTTCGTGTACGAGTATACATATCACAATTATTAATCTACCAGATCAGTTGTAAGTAATAATAAAATTTGTATTTTTTTATGTAATAAAATTTTGCCTGTATACATTGTTAGACGGCATTAAATTGCACCGGATCCTATAGCAGATATACATCCTGTATATCTATATATATATATAAATTTTAAGCTTTTTAATCTTTTTATTGAATATTAATACATTATTGTACTTTGTGCTATAATGGAGTTCTCAAGAATACATAATATATAAATAAAAACAAGATATTTAACGAGACCAATATTACACTTTTATCAGCGGAACTCTGGTAATATAAATTTTGTGCCCTCACGATGAATCTTACTTGATCCGGTGTTCTGCAATCTATTTCTAAAATAAAAGAGAAAAGCAAAGTTACATTCTAAAATTTTTACATCAATCATTATTATTACTATTATTATTATTTGTAAAATAATTACTACACATTAATTTTTTATCATAGTTGATGCTAGTGATGGGATTTAAAAGCGCTTCGAATTTAATCGACGTTTACCTGCGCATTTGAATGAAGAAGTTACATTTTGTATTCGAAAATATGTATCAGGACAAGGTGAATCGTTGATACACTTTGATTGATTGGTTAAAGTAATTTCTTTGTAACCAGCTAATTCAATACAATGATAGTTTTGGCTTTCGTTGGTCTTGTATTCCATCCACGTGCATACCTTCATTGTTCCGTAACCGAAGGTATGAATCTAAAAAATTAGGAATTTGATAGTAACGCATTAACACGATAGTAATTGTTTTTTAAAATACAAACCGTGATCGGTGATTTTTTCATGTTTTGTTTCCAGTACGAATGCAATTTATACGTGATAGACTTTGAGGGACTTATATAATCTTCGTAGCTAGGCGTGGAATTGCGTGAATTTGAGTCCGTAATTTTTATAGGTCTTAATGTTCGCGGTACTAAAAGTCAACATGAAAAATATTTCTATATACTGTTGCTGGAAACGTATAGAACGCACTGTTATGATACCAATCGCGTTAATTTTATTAATGATATAACATACTTCTTAACAAATGCTGAGTGACACTGTCGATATTAAAATTTCTTATTAAATGATCTTCGTTCGACGAGACAAATTCTTTAAAGAAATTACTATTGTATCGTGATGTGCAATATATAAAATGAACATCTGAAATCGTTAAGAGAGAACATTTTTTATAATCGTCGTATTTAATTATTAATCGAAACCTTACGATTTTTACCTGGATGATTGTGTTTTATTTGTTTCAATAATGTTATTATAGATTGTTTATCGTCGCTGGATATGTAACTTAACGGAATCAATAGTACAACCACTTGACCAAGATTTCCAATTATGTTGTGCCTCTGATTATCTTCCCAAGTTTTATTCAAATGCGTAAATATTGTTTCGAAAACTTGAGTATAATTTAATTGCGTAGGCCCTGAAGAAATATTCCATTAAATACTTGATAAAAATTTGCCCACAACGAAATCAATGATGATTATAAACATTTTTTTGCGATAAAACTTACACGAGGTATTTGTGAAATTATTCAATGCTTCGAACGCAAGCGATGGACTGTTAGTAACATTTAACAACCATTCTCCCGAAGTACCGTGTATTATTCCTATTTTTGACCCATACATCGATACGTCTAGGTTTTGCATTAAAACGCTGACAAAGAACATTTTATCAAAAATAAGAGTATTTGAGAGAAAATTGTATCGTTGCACGTAACTTACGCTAAAAAGTTTGTTGTGTACTCTATAGACCATGCACCATCAAATGCAATTAATGCTTCTATTCGAGGTGGATTAATTGGTTGTTGGCAGGGTACCTCTGGAAATAGATGATTTTCTGCGTATGTATAAAATTTGTCAGTTGCATACTGAGTCATTCGTTCCAATGCTTCTGGCGATATGTATGCTATGCTTTTGCGATATGCTAACATTTGAGCTATTGTGTAAGTCTGTCACAAATAGTATTTATAAATTAATCGTACGTTTTCTTTACATTATCTTTATGCTTTTATTTGTAGTTCTACGAATAATTATATGTCTGAATTTGACAAAAACTTTTTCTTTTGGTTCATTTAATATTATGAAATTGCTGTACTTCTGTTTACTTTATAACAAACCTGTTCGTTTAAAATAGTCCTCGATACAGCATGTATGAAATTTCGTGCTCGATTACAAGCTATAACATTTGTGTTGAAAGCAACGCCTTCGTTCGAATAGTACATGTCCAAAATTTGACTAAGACGAAGACTATAAAAATCTTGAACCCAAGTCTGCAAACTACTTGCAATAATCAAACCTAAAGTATTTCGTAAATAATACATGTTATTAATTCAATTCTTTTTTTTTCAATAATTCAAGTTTATTTAACGTGTAAACAGTATCTAAGAAAATGTTGAATCTCCTTTTTTAATTTACCATCGATGCCTCCTATCAATTCAGCACGAGTTGCATCAAAATTTTTATAGAAACTTCGAAGATAATAAATAGTTGGTCGTATTGTACTGTCCCAAAATCCGTTTGCACCGATAGACATGTTATTACCTACAAGAGGTCCTTGGTTCACTGCCATTTCTGCTAATTCACCTAATAAAATAATAATTTCTCCCATAGATTAATATTACACAATAAAAATACAAATATTAATCTGGCTGTATATTGTACCTGCAATTGTGGTCAACCATATGTTATCAAGTTTTGTAGACGAAGCCATCAAAGTCCTATACCACATGGATTGTTCATGTATCATTTGACTGTTTGGGAGAACAAAGTCAATTTCTTCATCGTTGTACTTTAAGTGTGGTGCATTTGTAGTATTTATCCCTACAGGAAGATGAAACATCGTTGATGCATATTGTATTACATTGATATTTATGCTAATTTTTTACCCGAAGAAGGTGCTTCCAAACTAGCGATTAATTGATTTATAGCAACATTTTGACGTTGAAGAGTTGCAGCAACGGCTCCTATAATCGGTCCAGGAGCAACAGTGCCGAACGGTGTTAAAATTATCCCATGTTGACTTGAACAATTCCACGTATCGGTAAGCATAATTTTACCTACGTAACGATCTTGCGTCTTTATTGTTCTAAATGGCTATTTTAAAACTTATCTGTTCATTGAAAATTTTTTAAATTGGCAATGTCACTGGTCCAGCGACTGAATTTCTATTCAATTACTAAGAAGCGAGATCTGTACATCCTAATTTTAAAAGTTTTAAATAGCTTTGTGGAAGACGATATAACAAAATGATTACTTACCCGTTTGTTTTTCAGTTCGAGTAATTTGACTGCAAGAGTTATTTTCACTTTGAACGTCATATTGTATAATTGTATTCGAAATGGCCCGGTGAAGTAAACAACGTTCAGTTTTCGTCAGCACGTGGACTGGTAAATTCACTGTACCGTTTGGAACCAGTTCCTCTATCAACTGATGTTTAATACGTTGCAGTCCGGTTCCACTGAATGGAAGTACTTTATCCGTAGCCTGTACATTCTTCTGATATTCGATACCGTCGAATTTAAATCTATCGTTCGATGACAAAAACGATTGTTATTTGCAATTATAAAATAACGTGCTATGGTTTATGGGCAATTCCGTGGTATAAAGTAATACCTGTGAAGCAACGACGACGACAACATTCTCATATCCATTGTCGTGTACGAATGTTTCTCCAGCTTTTGTATAATGTCCACTATTATACGTAAATTCAAGGGAAGTTGAGAATTTAACGTAACATTGTTTCTGTAACATTCTCTGAGTGGTTCTGGTATAGATACTTGAGACGACCACGCAAACTGCAATACTGTATTAAAAAAAAAAAAATAAAGTATTTGTAACAATGTTATTAAGATAGGAGTGATCGTAAAAATAAACGGTTTCTTTAATTTTTATTTTAATGTTATGAAAAATGTAGAAATACTAGAAATTTTCTCTTAATAACTTTGGTAGAAATAGTGTTAAATTTGTAATACTTTTTGCAATAGTTCTACATAAATTTAATTTTAAAAAAGATTCGGTGATAAGGGCATATTTTTCATTTTTTTCGTATGATGCAAACGAGTGTAAATATATAATTAAAAGTTGTACCAACTTACCATAGCACACTATTAATAACAGAATTTTGTTGATTGCCATGTTCGTATTATTGGTAATCCATGACGCGTATGTGATTAAAAATATAGTAGATGTGTACTACCTCTGATATCTTCTATATCTCTTCAATGACTCACGAGCATGTAAGGATGAAAAAAGATTGTGTGCTATTTCAAATCTGATAAGATAATTATTGATGAAAAATATTAAATTTCTTCAATAAAACAGCAGGTTTCGTACAATATTTTGTTCTTGCTGTTGATAAAAGATTCTCGTAAACACCAATCTACCTTTAATTCTTATAGAAATGACTGCTATTTTAAGAAATATTTATCGTAAGAATAAAGTTCATTGACGTTTAACATAAAAAATACATTACACGATGAGTTATTACGATATTTAATTCGTATTATTTTGCTGTCCATAAGATTGTTAAATAATTATTTATTGGACTCCAAAAATAACTGTGTTAGTAAGGAATACCTGTAATAAGGTGGGGACCTATTACTCACGATGTATCATATTATCTTATCAGATTAGTGATGATAGGTTTCAGTATATCTCTAGATAGGTGTGGTGCTGTACTTGTTATATGGGACTCAAAGGGTATTATTCATTTTGTGTTAAAAGTACGGGGAATCAATTAGTGTACGTATTATTTAGTTTCTTTTTAAACGTAATTTAATTGCTTTATAATTGTTCATTTAAATTATTACTTTTAGTAAGTACATTAAATTAATCATATTTTCTTCATCTTTTTTTATATATATATATATATTTTACAGTTCGATAGTTATAAATTTTATTTCACGTATATTCTTTATGCACGTGTATATTAATTATACAAACATAAAACGTTAAGTTTCATTTTTATCTTAGATTCAGTGAAATGGTGAAACTTTTCTATTTTCTTACTTTCGTCGCGTTAGGTGAGTATTTTTTTCATTATTATATTATATTACGAATCTTAAGAGATGTATTTCCAAAAATTATTCTAATCTTTTCCAAAACTCTTATTTCTTTTAGCCGTACACGCGCAAGAAAATGCGATACGAAATGTTTCGCCTTCCCTTCGAGAGTGTTATGAGAACAAGTATCTGTTACAAAGAGATAATAGATTACCACACACTTTAAACACATTCTTGGCAATACTTCGTAAAATTGAAAATGTAAAAAACCTTAATATGGATCTAAGAAGTTTAACCGTTGCGCTCTTACACCGGTAAAATTCAATCCCTTCACGAAAGAAGCATTAATAATTTAATCAGTAGCAACCGTTTGATGTGTTAATTAATATAATAAATATTTCATTTACAGTTTTCGACAAGACGGGATTGTACCAAATCCTGCTGTTCCGATACAAGACGGAGTAACGCCATACGCGCCAAACGCTTACCAATTTTTTCGCCATGCTCAAACTCTTCGTTTCATACCAGGAAATGCTCTTCTTTTTCCTAACAGTAGTCTCACAGACGTTGAAAGGGTATATACATATATATGAATTTAAAAACCTTTACCAGATCTACGTATCATTGTCTGATATTTAATTATTACGTTATAGTGTACCTTACACTTCATGATATCAAGCAGCATCGAAATTTTTCAAAGAGGAGACGAAGCGTCGGTTTGCAAATACGCGAGTGCGTATAGATACGGAAGAAGTGTTGAAGACGATAAAGTGGTAACTAGCGAAGGTGCTATTAATGACGTAGAAACATTGACATCCGATGAAATGTAAGTAAATTAACTACGCGATGATAAATAACTGTCCAATAAAAAATTATGTTTTGGAATCACTGTTGCGCTTTTGAAAAATTTCTGTAAAACTGCACAATTTTCGATAAAAATAAATTGTTTAAGATATCTAAAAAATTTAAGGTAGCTTATTTTTTTTTTAAGTTATCATTATAACAATTACAAGGTATTTCAGTAGTTATTGCAAAACAAAATTTGTATCGGATAGTGTAATACGCGTACGTAAAAGCGCAAAATTTAATGTTTATGGAATGTTCACGCAGAAAGAACATGACCAGTCATAAAGATGGTCAAGTTACAATTGATCCAAACTCGTTGTATCCAGAATTACCGCCTAATCACCCAGACAATGCACGGATAGTTGCGCTACCACCTCTTAGCAAATGTCCTGTCGAAAATGGTGTTATAAAGACTCCGTACGTTTAATATTCATTTAAATATTTGGAATAATCGTATAAATTGGATTTCATGAATTACTTAATATTAATGCACGCTTTAGATGGGGCGTTGTTTCTCCTGGTTTGATTCTTGCTGGCATTGCTGCTGCTACGCAACCCGAAACATTCACGCTTCAAGATGTACAGTCTGATATATCGAAGAAGAATATTAACGAAGATCTACTATCATTGACTTTGGACAATAAATGGATCGCTACTTTAGCAGGTAATACTGAAATGTAAATCGTTAATCTGTTATTCTACAGGGACTCTCGCGTAACTGAGAAACAACCATGTCTCTAAAACGGTTAGAGATACAAAATACGTTGACGCTGACATATTTATTATAAAATTTATAGGCGACTTGGCGGAGGTGGCTCTGATACAAGGCCCCAGAGGTGAAAAAATTAGCGTTGGAGCAACTGGAAATTGGAACTCTACCTCATTACCGCGTTGGTATTTTTTGAATACCAATGAAAAATTAGAAATGACAATAGCAGAAATTAGAGGCGATTTAGATGGTTTAATTCTGGCCAATGAAATTAATAAATGGTATTCGAAGATACCAAACTTGAAACTTTCACAGATATTCGATATGTACTATAGCAAACAAGGATTCTTTGATTCCTCGATCAGAGCGTGCAATCGAAGAACATTATTTACGGCTGTTGCCCCTAACGAGACCATGTCTGCACAAGTATAACATTTTTAATATTTGTCGAAAACATTTTCATTGACTATAATATATAAATTTTTTCTTATACTTGTCGCTTATCTCTTTTCGTAGACGTATAGAGCTGCTTTATTATTGGATCCATTTATAACGAAGGTAACGCTTGAATCACAAGCGATAGAAAAGTTTTCGATACAAGCAGTAAACGAATTAGCAGTACATGTGCGTAAGTATCGGTTCATAAATTTCAGACAAATTATATACAGTAGAACCTTTTTTTACTAAATTAATCAGATTATTAATTAGAATAAAAATAAAAACAAATGCTTAGCGATACGTGCAATGTTCTTGCTCTTCATACTACATAAAAAGTCTTATCCATAATGATCTTACAGCTGCGTCAATGAATAAGGATGTCTCGTGCCTGGACACGGATAAATTATACGATTTCAATCAAATATTCGTTGATTTGACAATCATTTTAGATACAAATTGGCCTTTCTCAGCAATACAACCCATCCTCGCGTAAGTTTCTAAATATTCACTACAAAATTAATGAAAATGTATACTAAATTAAAAATGATCTTTTATTAGGAATCTGTTGGATAGCATAGACGTGAATCAGTATAACAGCAATTTCACGTTAATTAATGGCCACGATGGTAATCCAATTATCAACAGTACTTTTAACCTCTTAGAATTCAACGCATACAATTCATCCCACTATGAAAATAGTACGTATTACATTCGAATTTCTAGATAGTCATTGAATTAAATCGTAATTTAATTATTATGTGAAAAATCGTTTTTAGTTACCCACGGTTTCGATTTACCTAAATCGCTCGACAAATTAAAATTGCGTTTGATGGATGCGCTGGACTATGAACGCAGTCGAGATATTGGCGGTGCAAGATCTAACGTTGTTCTACTTATTCCATACAAATCGAGTATCTCTGACAGCGACAAAAACTACTGCATACAAAATATAATACGAATGCGAGAGAAAATTCCAGGTAACAGATCGTATTGTACTCCTTAAAACATTGATATTTATTGGGTTGAATCCCAAAAGAAGTAATTACCATTTTTTCATATCAACTTTACTCTTTTAAAAGAGTTATAGAGCAATTTGAATTAAAAAGTATTCTTTCTTATTACATATATGTTTTCTCTATTTATTTGATAGCTTGTAAATTCCTGATGTAAAAGGATGAGCTTCTCTCATTGAAAAAATCATTTGGACGAATTCCTATACTTGGTTATCGTTATTGAATTTTTGCCCATTTAAAGAGTTTTGTACAGTTCCACAAAAAGTTGTACTAATACTTGACCTGTGTCATTTGGAATACCTCAAAAAGTTCATGATTCACTACCTGGGCAATTATTTATGACTTAACCCAATATATAATTTATCGGGGTTAACGTAAATCTTAATGAAATTTACGATCAATAATTTTACTCCAGATACGACGCTACTTATTATGACACATAATTCAAAAGATACATGGTCCGATTTAACACAGACTCCATCAACGGATTTGTTCTCTATCGGTGTAGGCGATACAGATAGTGCTTTAGCACCGATAACCGCTTTAGTTTCAAGAATAAAGCAAGGTACACGAATAATTACTTTATTATTGTATGTAAAATTTTAATGAAAATTAACGATAAAATATCATTACAGTTCCTAAACGCTTAATAAACTCGGAGTGCGGATCAAATTACAGTTCGAGTGGACTTTCAAATTCTTACGACGATTACGTCGCACCTAATGGCTTTAATCTTTACAGATTACATCCTAATTACTTCTTCAGGCATGAAGGTCATGCGACGATAAAGGTAAACGATCGTTTCTTTGCAAATCTGACGTTATTAACGTATAAAATATTATCTCTATGGTATATGAATAAATTTTTCTTTAGATACAAGCTTCTAATTCGAATAGCTTAACCGTGTGTTCGTCGCGGGAACCGTTGCATATAAATGCGACGGAAACCGTGGCATCCAAATCGTGTACGTCGGTGACTAACGAAGCACACAGTATTACTGTTTCTTGTGCCGATGCTACTTACATTCATCAATGTCCGCCACTTTACATATCAGTAACTTCCAATGCCACAGGTGTTTCATATCAATGCACAGGTGAGCACAATTATTCAATATAAATATCAATTATGATTATCATTTAATTTTGAATACTAATTCTATTTCGAATAATTTTCCAGATCCTCAAGTGTGCAGATATCCCTATTTAATAAAATATACGATATCGTATGAAAATCTAGTATGCACTAGCGGTGCACATACAATTGCACTTAATTATCTTATTTTATTCGTAGCTATAATTTTCTTTAATCTATAATAAGCAGCGACAAAATTTACGTAGATTCATGAACAAAATCAATCATCTAGCATCTTTCTTTCAAAGTATTAAAATCATAACTAAGAATCGTCTTATATTAAATATATTATCGTCTCTAAAACGCGCCCCACTATTATTTGATTAAATTTTATATGGTATTTTACAATATAAAATTGATACTAGGCATGCACAGTATTTTTATAACAGATTGAAATAAAAAATCGAGTTGTACATAATTTTGATAAACAATGTATTACCACGTATAATGGAAAATATATTAGGTTTCAAACAAAAGGTTTACAAATGGTAACTGTATGATCTATTCCGCAAGCAACTTTTTTTACTTGAGCTCCAACATTTACCTGTAATGTAAATCATCATTTCTTATTGTGTCGTTTCTTTTTTCTAATAAATATAATTAACTTACTTTTAATGGAAAAAATTGATCTTTCGAATCTCCTAATCCTAATGCTCCAAACTTATTACAACCCCACATATACAGATCGCCTTTATTAGTCAAAGCTGCAAGATGACTCATACCACAAAATATGTTGGTCACCTACAAAAAACAAAACCGTAAGTAAATTTCATTATTTTATTTATTTACCACTTTCTTACTTACTTTCGTACTTTTGTCGTATGCATTTTTGCCAAATAAAACAGATGGAATTTTGTTTGGCTGCGCGACATGTGTAACATTTGGTCCAAAACCAAGAATACCATATCCCCATACATAAACGTTACCTGCATCTGCGATATATGTATAACATTAATATAACGCTAAACTTTAGAGTCGTAACAAAATTAGGGACACATTTAGAAATTTCACAAGTATTTTTCTTGAACATATAGAGAAACATACTCACTGTTCAAAACCATACAAAAACAACCACCGCTCGCGATATCAGTGATATGGCCCAACTCTTGCAACTCCTTCAATTCCGTAGCTATGTTTATCTGATGATTATCACCGGTAGTAAATAACTGACCATACTCCGAATTACCCCAACCAAATACTTTTCCATGATCTGTAATTGCACATTTAATATTAATCGATCGACGATGTATTATATTGCTATCATCAATTATTGAAATGCAAAATAATACGATATTATTTATTATAAAATCAATACATGAATATTGCAGATACCACTGAGTGCCAATACGCAATCTGCAACACAAGCAACTTTTATAATATGCTGTCCAGCCAAGTCTCCTTTTACCAAGCTTGGTCTATATTCGTTTCGATAATGTGCTAAGCCTGTTTGTCCATCTGCACCCCAGCCAAACGTATAGACTTCACCAGATTCTGTTAAGAGTATGCTAACGTATAGCAATAAAAGAAGACATTCAAGCATATCGATTACCTATTTATTACGCGATATTAAATTTCATACCTGTGGTCTTGGCCAGCCGATACAGCTATAATTTTGTTACCCTTAATATCAGGTATATGATAAACTACTCTACTTTTGTTATAATTTTCATTAGTTATTATACGCCGGCCGCATTGTCCATATGCATTGTTCCCTAACGTAAATAAGCCTTCATTGGTTAACACTAATAAATGTGCTCTTCCAGCTGCGATATCTATAACATTGGTCGAAGATTCTTTGAGTGGTAAAGTAATAGGTCTTGGCTCGATTATCAGGTCATCTGGAAACTTTTTGTCTCCTTCGCTGAATCCTATTAACATATTAGAAAGTATATTTTATTGCATAAAATCTCAAATTATGAAATATTTTCAAAACGTTTGTAAAAAAGTTTACACGCAATTAATATTGCTCTGTCAATCCATGTATATGAATCCAATAGTGACTGAACTTGTTGCATATAATATCCGTTTTTTATACAAATTTAGTTTTGTTCTTACCAATCTGCGAATCAGTGTTTATTCCACTTCCATACAGAATGTTTTTATCGTTAGATTTTATAGCAAAGGCAGTGAAACCGTAACCACAAGTTACATCCATCACGTCACACTTTTCACCGAAAGCCAATCGTCTCGGCTTCGGAATAAAAGAAATGCCTTTTTTATGCAAGGTAGACTGTGATGTTCCGAGCGCACCATGCGCTGCCATACCCCAAGCATATATTCTGTAATCTCCTGCCTTACTTATCGGATACTGAAAAACTATGTGAACATACAAATTAATATATTAGAATGATTTGTTTTTAGATTACTTAAAATTTTCAATTTAATACCTGGTAATGTTTTTGAAGTAGATTTTTTATTTTCCGGTTTATTTAAGCGTATATTTTTACTACGTTTCTGTACGTAAGTCTTTAAACACGTTTTCATCGTATTCAACATGATTTATGAGTGTTTACTTTTTACAAATTTAGAGCGGACATGCAATTTACAATTTCGAATATTGTTTCACCGATCAATTAAATCTTTAGTCTTTTTGTAAATGGTTCCATAATTTATAACACGATCTTAGTTTCATCCACTTTGAAATTCACACAGACGCTCGATAAACTCGATTGTATGTACTCTGTGTCAGTGTAGCTAATAGTCGCTATGTTCGCCCAATTCGCCTACAAATCAGTGATGTCAGATTGAGCATCGGGTGCACTACTTACCCTATGCCAGATCACGCGTACGTGAGCTCGTAGAGTTTCGGAGAATCGACAAAGGCAAACTGACACATGCCCTCTTTCTCGATTCTCCGAAGCTGCCCGAAGTAATTTCGGACCGTCTCGTGGGAGTTGAGAGAAGAAGGCTCACATTTGCCTTCTCGCTCTTGAACAACTGAAATTCGACCCACGTCAACGGCATACAATTCCAAGTTTCGACTGCCCAGGCATTTTTACTTTCCGACCTATGTAGACGCACATAAGCAAGGTACTATAATGAACAAAAATTTTGTGAAATTTTTCTTACGGAAATACACGTTGTAAGACCCCCTAATCATATTTGAATTATTGAAAAAAAAAATTCTTTTTTATTATTTCTATGTATGAGCGTACATATGTACAGTGAAAACTCGATAAATGTCACTACTCCGGGTCCGGTCAGGAACACTTATGGAATAGGAGAATCGTTTTTCGAATTTGATTGTAGTTTGTCAAAACCTCGAACATAGAAAGAGTCAGTAGCTAAAGAAGAAAGAGGAACTGAAAACCAGATTTATCGCCCCAGTTTAAATACCCGTTACGCATTACATTTCAGAAAATATTTCAGTTTGCACAAAATCTGAAATTGTGTACCAAAACATGTTCAATTTTGAGTGATATGTCTCAGTGGAGTTAGGGAAAGGTATTTAATAGCACCTCCAAAACATGGACGTATTAGTATCTTCGCAAGGTCAGTGGATAGTACATTTATCGAACAGTGGTAACTAACGAAACCTCCTATCTCATAAGTGTTGCAGTTTCTGATCACTTACGGAACAGCGGAAGTGTTCCGTTTGAAAATAGCTACCTCCTATTCGATAAATGTACCCAGCACCTCGATCCGTCGTTCTTTGATGTTTCCGAAGATAGAAAAGAACATCACAAGAAGGATTAACAAAGAGAGAAAGACTCTCAAGTACAATATTTAATTGAATATTATACTAACAAATATTGACCGATTTATATCGTGTTTAGTCTCATTTTAATTAGAAAATCTCCCCCACATGATAGTAAAATTTTTATTAAAAAAAAGTAAAAAATAAAAAACTTTCTTCTTGTACAGTAGTGTGGTCACACTGACAGGGACATTTAAACGAAGATGACGAAGGCAATAAAGATTTTTAAAGAAAGCCGCTACGTTTCCGGTTACACTTCGCCTCATTGATTCAAGGGGGATCCCCGTAGTGGTGGGGATAAAAATATATCGAGTTTTCACTGTATATCATTTCAGATATCACTTCTGATATATCTGGCAACGTATAACCATTACTACTGGCTACTGCCAGCCTCTCGCAGCCTCTGCTGGCTTATGCTGGCCTCTGCTAACCTCTGCCAGCATGTGCGGGTTCTGCCTGCTTCTGCTGGCCCCTGCTGACCACTCCTGATACTTCCGACAACGTATAACGATTAATACTGGTTACTGCCAGCCTCTCCCAGCGTCTGTTGGCCTCTCCTGACCTCCGCTTATATTTCTGACAACGTATAACAATTACGACTAACTTCTGTCAACCTCCGTTGGCCTCTGCTGACCATTGCTGATCACGACATGCCTTTATTGGTGGCTAACTTGAGTTAGCAGGTAATGTCATAAAACTGTTTTACCTAGTTATACCCCTTTTTACCTGAAGTATAAAGTAAAAAGTACGACGTATAAGGTACGACTACATGTACTTTAAAATTTTCCTACAGTTCTCCGCTGGCTTCTGCTGACCGCTGCTGACCACTCCTGATACTTCTGACAACGTATAACGATTACTACGGGCTACTGCCAACGTCACCCGGCCTTTACTGGCTTCTGCTGGCCTCTTCTGATCACCGCTTATATTTCTGATAACGTATAACAATTACTATTGAATTCTGCCTGCCTCCGCCGGCCTCTACTGAACCCTGCTGATCATTCCTCATACTTCTGACAACGTATAACGATTACAACTTGCTATTGCTTGCCTCTGCTGGTCTCTGCTTGCCACTCCTTACCGCTGCTGGCCTCCACTGGCCTCCGCTGACCAACCCTGATGCTTCCGACAACGTATAACGATTACTACTTGTTACTGCCTGCCCTGCTGGTCTCTGCTTGCCTCTGCTGGCCCCTGCTGGTCCCTGCTGGTCCCTGCTGGCCACTGCTGACCACTGCTGACTACTGCTGACCACTGCTGACCTTTGTTGACAACTTCTACCATGTATATGTATTAAAACTTTGTAAAACTTAATTCTATGGCAATAAATGATATAATTTCAATGAATTCTATGTGTTCTTATCATTTTTTACCTTTCTTTTCCTCTCCAAAGCATTCCCTTAGTTATAAGATACGTGCCACCTCTCCGCAAGGCCGCCAACATTTTAGAAACATTCCGGACACTTTGTAAATCCGGATTTGGCCTTGACTTTGACTTTGACTCAATTTCAAGGCCAAGGCCACTCGAATTTTAGACAAATTCCGCGAACTTTGGAAATCCGGATTTGGCCTTGACCTTGACCCAATTTCAAGGCCAAGGCCACTTCAATTTTAGACAAATTATATACGTTTTGGAAATCCGGATGGCCTTGACCCAATTTCGAAATTAGGTCAAGGTCAAGGCCATTTGAATTTTAGAAAAATTTGGGATACTTTGGAATCCGGATGGCCTTGATCTAATTTCGAAAGTGGGTCAAGGTCACCGACATTTTGGAAATGTTCTGGACACTTTGGGATTCCAGTTTTTACTGGAAAAACGGAAAGAAAGGTAAAAATGATGAGAACACATAGAATTCTTTGAAATTATATTATTTATTGCCATAGATTTACATTATACAAAGCTTTAATACATATACATACATCATATTAGAAGTTGTCAAGAAAGATCAGCAGTGATCAGCAGTGGTCAGCAGTGGTCGGCAGGGGCCAGCAGAGGCCAGCAGAGGGATGCAGAGGCATGCAGAGGGATGCAGAGGCATGCAGAGACCAGCAGGGGCAAGCAGTAACAAGTAGTAATCGTTATACGTTGTCAGAAGTATCAGGGGTGGTCAGCGGAGGCCAGCGGAGGCCAGCGGAGTACTGTAGGAAAATTCAAAAGTACATGTAGTCGTACCTTATACGTCGTACTTTTTACCTTATACTTCAGGTAAAAAGGGGTATAACTGGGTAAAACGGTTTTATGACATTACCGGCTAACTTAAGTTACTGTTCTAAAATCAAACGCTATGTTTGTACCTGAAAAAATATTCGTCTATATTCTTTTAAAATTTATAATCCGACCCATACTTTGTACTAAAATGGCATATAGTAAACATACTCAAAACATATCGAGGAAAATCATTATTAATTAATTTCTGCAACAATTAATTCTTCTGTTTTGTTCATATTATAAAAATAAGAACACTTCTTATTGAAAAATGCTACAGCGTGCACGATACTGGCAAAGAGTGGACTCTCGTTTTAATTTATTAACTTTCAATCTTAAAGTATCTTGATTTTGAAAAATCGTGTTAATAATATACATATGTACGCTCATACATAGAAATAATAAAAAAGAATTTTTTTTTTCAATAATTCAAATATGATTAGGGGGTCTTACAACGTGTATTTCCGTAAGAAAAATTTCACAAAATTTTTGTTCATTATAGTACCTTACTTATGTGCGTCTACATAGGTCGGAAAGTAAAAATGCCTGGGCAGTCGAGAATCTCGGGCCGAGAATCCAAATCGTATGCCGTTGACGGGAGGTCGGATTTCAGTTGATAAGAGCGAGAAGGCAAATGTGAGCTTTTCTCTCTCGACTCCCACGAGGCGATCCGAAATTACTTCGGGCAGCTTCGGAGAATCAAGAAAGAGGGCATGTGTCAGTTTGCCTTTGTCGACTTTCCGAAACTCCACGAACTCACGTACGCGTATCTGGCATGTGTGAGTTTGCACACGACGGTGCTTTTCTGGCATCACTGCTCAAACATCGGCTTTTGACAGAATCAAATTATTTAAAAATACCATTTAAGTAGTTCCATAATTTGTAACTATTGTAACTATAAATTTCTTTAACATACATTTCAAACAATAATAAGATTTAATGACACTTATCTCGTATTTCAATGGATAATATGCTCTTTTTTTGTCTAAGAGCCCACGAACTGACGGGGATCGCGGAACACAGTTTGAGAAACGCTGTTTTAAACTCTAATGAAATTTTATTCACGATTTCACGAATTAAATGGTTATTTTGTAAAAACAAAAAGAAAAGAAGGATAGGGCGAATTTTGCCACAAGACACAGAATTTTTATCCACCTGTACGAGTAATAAATTTTTTGCTAAATATTACTAGAAGGAAAGAAATCTATTTCATAGACATTTATCGGTAGAATTCACGTAAATGAAATTGCATAAGTAGACGGTTGCACTTGGCTGTACTTGTTTCTCGCGGTGTGCGTACCGTTTGCGGATGAAACTTGACTTTCAGTGAACAGTCGCGAAGTCGCAGACAAAGATGGTCTAGATATATATGTAATTCGTGGCAATTCCGTGAGTGAATTAGCAGCCATTTTTAAACTGCTCGATTGCTATAATAAAGTACAAAAGGATATGGATAATGAGCGAACGTACCGCGGGATGGTAATATGTAGACGAACGAGATATTAAATGTAGCGTGATCGGCCGTATCGAACTAGACAGAGGACGATTTTCTAATTCGTGAATAGCGTTACGGATGAATTCGTTTCGAGTGGACGGTACTCGAGCAAATACACTTGTTCCCCGTGAAATTTGATGGAAATGGTGAACTGTCAACACCTATGCAGTATGAGAATATGAATTCGATTCATATTGGTTCGGATAGTAAGGATCGGCTTGTTTGAAGGGTGATCCGTGGAAATTGTGACAGGGGCAAAACAAGACAAAGCCAAAAAGGGTCCCGGCTAAGAGCAATGTCGGTTTTACCATGCAAGAGAACAACGAATGCAAAGATCGTGGCTCTCGAATGCTAAGTTCCTATAATAATGGCAGATAATGTACACAGAAAATCGCATAAGCTGTCGGATGGTAGTAGTAGAAAAACGTCTAATCCAGTGCATCGTACGACCACCGAGACAATTCGGTTAGGTGAACCAGAAAAGCTATACCAGCCGGTTAGTTTGACCACATCGAGCAACGTGACGGCCAGTAACCAGTGTCGAAAAAAGACATCGTCGTTTCAAATCACCAGTATCATTGTCGGTAGTCGTATGAGCAATGACGCTGGCGAGGATTCGAACGACGACCTGGACGAGTCCCACACGGAGGACAATTCCGTCGAGCATTCGCGCATTACTGACATCGATATCGAAACGCCTAGTTACTCGGAGGATACCTTCTCCAAGGAGGATGTATTTTTTAATACCAGCAATGCTGCTCTCAGCACGGCTCCGGTGATTCCTACCAGTTCTCAGTACGGTCTGGCGATCGTACCCTCGGAAGGAAACAATGTCAGCAACTTGGTAAATGACAATAACATTAATACGTTAGACATCACCTCTGTTACAGACAACAATATTATTAATTTACTTTCGAGCAATGCGAAGCAAGATGCCGATCTGCGTGAAGTACACTCGCATGGTAGAAACGAGCGATTCAAAGTGGTTAAAATCGAAAGCACCGAACCTTTCAAGAGAGGTAGATGGACTTGCATGGATTACCTGGATCATACTTCGGTTAATCAACCGACCGCGATCAGTACTCCTAAAGTATCCGATCCCAACGAGGTGTGCATATCGTACGGGGTAACGGACAGTGGAATTGTCATACCAGATGCGCCTAAACAATCCGTCGTCACCGAAGACAAAGGTATAAGCATCGACGCCAATGGACAGGTGTCCGCGCATCCAGATGTCCATTCGTCGATCGGGGTCCCAAGCAATCCTACAACGGTCACAAGTGCAAATTATGCTGTGAACAATTCGATTCCTCCTAATCCACAGCATAATCCAACGCAAGTTCAAGCTCAGCCAAAGGTTCAACCTCCCTCTCAAATTCCTCAATATTTTCAATCTTCGGCGCAGCAATTGGCATCTCAACCGCAGCAACAACAGCAACCAGGAGGACAAGGATCTACATTACCTTCAAATCTGCAACCCGCTCATGCGAATAATTTGACTCAACCTCAGAGTATGCCCCAAGGTTCTATTCCTATTATAACACAGACTGCAAATAGCAATGTGACGGCCCAGCAAACTATACCTCATTCTAAGGAAGACACGTACGTAACAGTGAACGCGCAGAATCAGCCCTTACCAGTGCAAAATGTTTGCCAACCATCTGTGCAACAAACACCTGTTCCAACGTCTCAGCCAACTAACCTTTTGGTCACTCAACAACAGCAACAACATGCTCCTCCACCTCAACAACAGCAACAGCCACATCCACCGACTCAACAGCAACAACAATCTCAGCAACAGCAACAGCCGCAGCAACCATTGCAGACCCAAAATCCAATAACACAAATCTCTGAACCATTGACTGCCATACAGGGTATACAGGGCATCCAGAATATTCATAAAGTTCCTCAGACAGGCGCACCGCAAACTTCCTCTGCTATTCATGCTCCGGTAGCACCAGTACAATCACAAGTAATACCGCCATCTCAAATGCAACCTCAAACATCGGGTAGCAGTGCTCAAGTGCAAATGGCGCAAGTGTCAGCTAGCTGCCAAAATGTTGTTGGCGGTATGCAACAGGGAAGCATGACGTTTCATCAGTCAGACCCGGAGCAGGACTCCATTTCAGGCATTGTAGCTGCATCCACAACTCAGTCGGCTGATACAGCACTTCTAGAGTCTTTAACTGAAGTCACTCAAGGCAGTGACGAACATCACACCCTCGAAGATAATGAAAGGTAGGTTACAGTAAACATCTGAATAATTTAGATTGAATTTTAACAGAGGCATTGTTAAAAATATTGGTAGAGATTCTTGTGTGTACAATAAAAAGGAAGACAATTTTGTGGTCTTAAATAAGCTTTTATTCTATGTTTCGATCATTTGATTTAAAATAATTTTTAAAATATTGACAGGAAAGTGGATTTAGGAACAAAATAATAATCATAGAATTCTGGATAATATTTGACAACCATTACTACAATTATAAACAAAACAACTGATTAAGTAAGAAAAATTGACTAGGAGAAAATATTTACAAAATTGTGATGATCTAAAATTGATGAATAATAAATATAAACAAGATAAGATTGATGTAAAATTATTAAATATATATTCTTTTTACTTTATTAGTTGTTTTATTTATAATTCATTATACATATCATAGCAAGGGTTATTGAATATTGAATATTCATTTGTACAACTATTAACTCGTTTATCAAATGTAAAGTAGTTGTAAGATCGAGAATTTAATTGCTACAGCATCTGCATGTTCTGTGAATAAATTTTGCAATGTCATTTTCATTGCAGTATGTCGGGGACTAGCGCTGTAGCAATTGATAATAAGATTGAACAGGCCATGGTAAGCGTTCTTTGCTAGGGGCAATTGCTGAATAAAGATAATGGACAACGAATGTTGGGAGTTAACAGAAGATCTTTTTGTAGGATCTTGTTAAAAGTCATTTGATGATTGCTGTACGAGAGGAGGTCGAGGTACTCAAAGAAAGAATAGCAGAACTTATGGATCGCATCAATCAATTGGAAGCTGAAAATTCAATTCTGAAAGCAAAATTACCCCAAAATAGTTCTGGAAGTGGTCAATAGGTAACCATTGTACATAAGTTTCTATTAATACTATGTCAAGTACATAATGGATAATATAATTATTGTATATAACTTTACGATTTTTAGAAATTTATAAACAATGAGATTTATTATATTATACATATTAGCATTAGCAATTTTTTTTTAAGTAAATTAAAGATAATAGATTATTTTTTACTATTTCAGTTTATTGTTTAGGAAATATAAATAATAATTTAAATCTGTAAATTCGATTTTCTTTCAAAATGATAATCATTTTGGAAATATGTAATGTTACAATCCTAGAACAGAAACAAGAACATATGAGTGCATGCCAAGACTAAGCAGCATAAGTAACGGAGTTGATATTATTTTATAATAGATTCAAGATTTTGAACCTGTTAAAAGAAAGTATATAACAATACGAAATAGGCAGCTAGACATTCCTAGAATTATTTTTCCTATTACCTTCGCATTTGGCCGATTTCATCCGCAAATTACAATAACAAAATTACAAATTCAATGTTCGAAGAATATTTATGTCTTCTAAATTACATGCGATGATTTTACATTGATATTTTATCATCATTCATTCATTCATAAAAACAGTTTTTTACATGACACTACATAATTTTCACTACTATTAAATATCAAATCTCATATATTATAATTTGTATTCGTGCTGTAGTCTGATTTTTACAATATGTATTATAATCAACAACATGCTGATATCCAGAGAAAGAGTTACTACTACTGGTGTGCATTGAAAAAAAAAAGAAAAAAAAACAATTTCCTGTCAAACATTTTATGTTACATCTTAAACATGCCTAATAAAAGAAATTTTTAATTGTATAACAATCTCTTACAATTTCTAACAAGAAACACAAACTTGCATGTTTACGTAACGCAATTAATGATTTAAAATGTTATTCGTGAACAATGATACGGAGAGGGGGTGTATTTATCAATCAAATCGTACAATTATAATTTTTGAGAAAGTTTTATTCGATCACTATAAAGACTAATGATGACACTTTAACATAAATCTTATCATGATGAAAACCACTTTTTCAATAAGAGAAATCAGAATTCATAATTACACCTTATAAATTTATAAATGTTATAAATTTTTTTCTAGGAAGGAAAAAAATAACAACATACAACTTTTTTTTCTTATATCATTATCAGTAATGTGACTTCCTTTTAGAGCTATTGCGCACAAACATGGTCACAAAATATCTATATATATATATATATATATATATATATATATAGATATTATATACATATATATATATATACATATATATATATATATATATATTCATACAAATCCAAAGTTCTTTGTCTTGATAGCAAGAAGTAATTTATGTCTTAATATGTGACGAGAGCTGTACAATGGAACGTATAGTCGAGAGATACATGTATTTGCAGTTGGTAGATGAGCATCGTCTGCTGGCCGTAATGTTACACTTGGCATCGGTTGAAAACCATCTTCGCTCGCTGGTAATGCTGGCGATCCGGTCCAAAAGTACACCTATAATACGATAACAGAAAAAGAAATACAAATTGCACAATTTGTAATCCATTGTATTAGGTCATCCCATAACGTCCAGCTGAATTTTGTACTAGAATTTAAATATCTCGAACATTGTATTGAATTTTCTGAAAAACCTTTCTCATTCAATAACTCCCACTTTGTACCAATCCTTACCAAATCTTGTCGTTCGGTGTGCGACATTTTTTCGACGATGGACCACAACCACCGCTTGAATTTCGCTAATCTATCCATGGATTCTCCTGATTCGTCGTTGAATGCGGTATACGATATCAACACGGAAACGTTAATATCACCGACGCCATTTAGAAGAAGCCTCAAGTCCTCTGAAGTTAAGCCGTCTAGGGCTCCTTCAGGAAGTACGTCGAATACCCCTTCCCTCATCGCGTGCAATGCTTTCTCTTGTACTTTAATCATACGCACTTCCGCATACTTTCGCACGTAATCGTAAACGTTACTTGCCGTTACTACCATGTCACGGCCGTTAGGTAAGAGTTCATACGATCCCCCTCCTTCCTCGGGACACAAGTCAATACTGAAATAGATGAAACGTGTCGTAAACAGTTGGTAAGATCCATTTTAAGAATATTTGTATCTTTTAAATTGTGCAACTCTTCCACCGTTACTTTAACACGTTGACTGTCTGACCAAATTCGTGAAATTTTCTACGAGATCAACATTTTGTTTTTAAACAATTAGATGATATATAATTTAATATAAGATTCATTTCTCTTAACTTTTTGACTGCGAACAGTACTTGTGAGCACTCAATTAATCACTCTTCTGTACACAGCTTATGCTGGTATAAAAATCGTCCACAGTCAGAAGATTAATATCTCTTCATAAGACCTTATTTTTTTTAATTTCCGAATAACGTAACGATCAACGTGGTAACAACGAACTTTGTAAACATTGGTAGTCACCTGAACATAAGATCGAGAGCAGAGAATAAACCATTACTGTCCTTGGTTTCGGAATCGATAACGAGTTGTCTCAGGCTTTCATAAATTACAGAGTCGAAGAATGCAAGGTCGTGGAACCGTATTGGCCTCCCAAGAATGTATTTTATCACGTGACGATTCAAAAATATCGGGCACAGTTCGTTTTGCAACAGACACAATCCTATAAGTCTGCAGAAGAAATTTGATTCATTAGCGTTTCAGGATTGTTAAGTTAGTTCTATTCTTATTACTCTTTTTATTATAGATTACAATGTTGAAAGTATTGCAAAGAACACGATATACAGTAACTATAATTCGTATTATTACTTTCATAACCAATTTAGTAAATAAATCTGTTTGAAATTATCGCGCGTAAGCTGTAAAAATGACAGAAATCGAACCAAGTATTTTCACCTTGAAACTGAATAATTTTTTTGAAATATTTAAATGTAAAATTGTTAAATGGATACCATGTACGCGTGAAATTGAGGGTTGTTCTCTTTATCTTATTACCAACCTGCCCACGTTTCTGAATGCGTTCAATCGTTCGTAGCTAGCCCTTCCTTGCCGCGGTGTGTAGAAACCCCTCTTTCCTGGCGAATAGAAAAGAGGAGCATTGTCCTCGGTGTCGTCCAAAATGCTGTTTTCTATTTTTTTCTTATTAGCTCCGCAGCGTGCTGTTAAACTGAATACGTCCAGATCTAGCAACGCTTCACTCGCTAAGTCCTGAGTATGACTATAGATCAATTCGTATGCTTCCTCTACTTTTTGCCGCAAAGCGTCTTCCGAAGCCAGTAACATCAATAGTTGCGCGGGTGATAGCTCCAGCAACATGCCAGTTATTTTTTCAGCTAACGCGGGCCGTAATGTGAAGACCTGAATAAGGTAACAGCGTTATAAACACAACGAACTTCTTCAGCAAACATTACATAATGTTACATCAATTTTTTATATCTTTAAAAATAATGTAAGCAAAGCTGGGGCGATTTATTTAGTACTACGAACTTTTGGGTATAATCTGTCCCCGAGTTGCTGTTGATGCATAGTCAAGTGATCGTTAATTGGGTGACTAACAGGTAACGGATGGGAATTAGAGGACGAGCTACCAGGCCCGGAACTGCTGCTTCCTTCGACAGAGCCAGATGGATGAAAAGAACGAGCTTCAAAAGACAACGCTCTACGTGTCTCGCGACATTTTCCAGAAGATCGAAGATTCTAGAATAAAGCAGATCACGTGAATAAAGGATTCAAGAAAATCATCGTTTGCATCTATTGCTGGAATTATACTCACTTGTCGTCTTAGATCACGATCACGATCACGACTTTTCAGTTTTTGAAGAACGTTGTATTGTGTATATTTTGATCCCACTTGCGCCGCTTCGAGATTAGGCAGTTTTTCATTTGCAAGCAATGCCTGTAGAGAAAAGTTATAAACGAGTATAAATATTAGTACAACTTCAAATTAAATACTTTTATTTAAATATTATAATCGCAGCAATAATGAATTTTGTTTTAAACATTACAAACCTCTGCGATTGCAGTATAAAAGCTTCTAGTAACTCCAGAACCTTCGCCAGGCTCGTCCTTGAAAATCACTTTAACACGATTCACTGCTAATGGCGGTGTGTTAGAGGCGCGCCTATTATATAAATTGTATTGTGTATTTAATTCCTTCATTGTTTGTACTAGTAACTGAGTTCTGTCTCGTTCGACCTTAAACAGAAGATGTGTTTATTGCCAGTCAGTCTTTCTATGAGGGAATCTTAGAGATTGCGATTAATTACTTTCAACAGAGTAATATCTTTTTGTTGAGAATTTCGAAGCTTCTCCATATCCCTACGGAATTTCGCTTCTTTTACCGGGAATCCGCCCAATTCGGATACAACCGAGCCAGCTTCCAAACCAACATCCTCCATGAAAACGCGTCCAAATAAGTCAAGAGACAATCTCCAACGACCCAATAAAATGTTATGTGATATATTTGTCCCAATCGACGAAACTGCTCTGGCGTTTTCCACCGGACTCGTTTCGACTGTTTCGTGAGCCGATATTTCTTGATTCGAGCCCGCTGGATCGACGTCCTCGGATACATTTTGAGTTTCGACGGTCGACACGACCAACACTTCCGGTGCACCAGCTTTATTCGTACTTGTTTCCTATAAGATGAATAATTCATCCGATACGTTTAACATGCAAACGATACATCGATTTAACATTTATAAATATTCTTGTAACATTTGAGTGTTGTTTTTTTTTTGTTTGTTAAAGTTTAATGAAAACAGTCAATTTACATATTTACCGAAACAGTTCCAGCTCTAACAATAACGCTTCTATTCGTTTTACATACATCCTTATTATTTTTGGTACTTCCTGCTGCCTGATCATTTTGATTATTAGTAGAGACTATAATCGGAGCACGATCGATTTGTTCCGCGACTAGCGAATGATTATCGTTCGTGTGATTAAACGATTTTGTCTTCTCCTATAATGTGTAAAATAAATCTATATATTTTATTATTCAAATAGAGAACCATATTTAATTAACTAAGATTATGTGCCAGGAAAAAGGAAACACAGAAAAACGTATTTCGATTGATTTTTAAATGATCTGTTGTTCTAATGTTAAATCATAATGAGAGAGATCGGAATGAATTCGCAATTTACCGTAACTGCATTGGCAATATTTGATTGTAAACTCACGGTCCACTTGCAATCTTTTTTAAAAAAACTTCTTTCGCCAATACACTAATTTTTGTTTATGCTTTAGATTAAAGTACGCCATTTGTTAAATTTATCGTACCGAAGAGGATTGAAAACTGTGGCCGTAACGTTAATTTGTTAACATGCTTATTAATACTAGATACGTATACACAGTGAACCATGTTACTTGATTAGATTAATTTATTCTATTCACTACCAATTTCAACGGAACGTTTGGAATCTTCTGTCCAGTAGTAATAGAATAAATTAAGCTGTCTAAATCGTGTGGTTCTCCCCGTATTATCGTTTGGTTTCTGAGAATAGCAAGTAGATACATACTATTCGTTTAAATATGAAACTGTTTACCCAAGCTTTCCTATATAAAAGACATTACCGTATATTTCGTAGACGTCGAATCTCCGACCGAAACGGAACCGCGTCTTGCGTCCGTCGATGCAAATGCAGGTCCTTGAATTACTTGGCTGAACGTTGGCGTGACGGTATTTTGGCTATCGGCGCTTCGTGCGGATAAACTAAGTCTCGTGGGCAATCCTGCCAAAGGATTCTGATTAGGGCCCGCGTTCGTTGCCGGCTGTTTTGGAATACCAAACAGATCCTCGCGCCTCGAATGGGGTTGCAGTAAATGCGGTTGATCGGCCAACGGTAAAGCCTCGCTCATGACTGTGTCAAAGGGATCAAGAGGCGGACAGCCAAGACACAAAGTGGAATCTGATCTTTGTAAGAAGGGATGTTTCCTTCCTTTCGGTGTGCTGTTGCTATTATTTCCGGACCCGCAAATAGGAACCTGAAGTAAATCAGGATAATCAACGGAATCTGTCTCCATTGCAGCGGGCACCGGCGAATTATATTCCTCCCCTTCATCGTTGTCGTTTTCGTCCTGCAAAGTTACAAATCGATTAATTCGTGTTCGCAAGCACCGCCGATCGACAGACAACGGGGGGAAAAAATAATACGGCATAGTCTAAGTCGTGTTAAAATGCATTGTATTTAAATGTTTTCGACCAGCTTATTAATGTTTATTGGACTGTTTATTAGACTTTACAAGCAACCAAATTAGTTCTTTCGACCCTTCGATTTGGGTCCTCTTCGAAACCCACAGAGCTGATCTAGAATAACAATCAATATTATAGTAAAATAATATAAATAAATAAATGAATAACCTATTTATTTAATTTAGAGGAAACGAGACATCGTAAAAAAAAAATATTACTTTGTTATAACTCATACCTTGAATTGTTTTTTAAAGAATTGTAGATAATACGACTTGATCTTGTTTGGTCGCGAAGGTTTCTTTTTTTTTTAAATTTTGTCTGTTCTGAAGAGAATGTTATCGGTTTATGTAGAATTTTTGTAACAAAACCTAGTAACTGTAAAACTAATTATGAACAAACTATTTTGTGGCTCGTTTAGCCATCCATTCCACAGCATTTCTTCTGTCCTACGTACAGAATACCGGCGAATTAAGGCTAGAACGTAAAATTCTTACGTAATGTGATATAAAGGATAGAAACACAGGTTGCTTTGGTTTGTATAACTGATGAGGTAAGAACTCCAACTGTCCGACTTGAACTCTATTGAGTTTTTACTCGAGACAGTTGGAGTTTTCTCCGTATAAGAGCATGAGATACTGGGTCTCGTTTTCGGCAATGTTTGTTGATCCTCCTCGAAAAAGAAATTAAATTTTTTTTTTACGCGCCGTAGTGCATACATATTGGTAAAAATGATGAAGCTATCGTACACGTAACCTGAGAAATTGAGGACAACACATGTGTATACTTTCTGTTTGGAAATTTTCCTTTTTGAAGAAGATTACCAAACTTGGTCGAAAACATGTAAATACAATATGCTTGACATGACTATGTCTACACCGTATTATTTAAATCATACAAGCACAAATCCTCCAAACTACGTAACATGAACAAATGTTTGCTGCAAACCTGGTCGTTCCAACCCGAGTAGTTCGAAGACTCTTTTTGGGTTTCGCCGCGCGATGACATTGGTTCTGAGAGCGAACGCATGTAATACACTAATGCATCGAATACGTAAGCCACGTGTCTCAGAGCAGAAACGTCCAGTACTGGTAAGCTGTCTCTGTGTTCACCATTGTGGGCACGCATTAAGGACAAACAATATGACAAAAATTCACGCCGCGCCGAGTGTACATCACCACCTGAAATGAAAATCAATTAGTGCTGTAACTCGGAATAACTTGGATTAGCTTAACTAATCAACTGGTGGCTGGCGCTTTAAACCTACGTGGTTTAAATAAACAATTTAATGTTCATAGATTACGATATTATTTGTATTTTATTTAGTTGAGGGATTAACTCTAAAAAACTATAGTTCCTTTTTGTGTAAAAATACAAAAAATTGATACGGGGACTACAATATTTCAAGTATACAATTTTCAATTTCAACAATACAATTTTTCAGATTGCAGTTATTATACTTGCACAATTAGCTTTCATGTTAACTTTCGAGTTAACGAATACGATTTATCTAGTAACGAGCTCTATAAGAAAAAATGGACGACTCTGTTAGGTATAAAAGTAAAAAAATTCCATTTAAAAATCAAGTGCAAGTGCATATTGCACATGAGATAAACTGGTATTATACGTAACCCATATGAAGTTTATTATACGTACCTTCGCGTTCTCTACTATTTCGCGAAGGTTCGCCAACGCCTGCAAAACCAACGGTGAGTCTTGTAGAAGCTTGTGGAGTGGAGATATTGGAGCTCGTAGTGATACCACTGCGTTGATTCCGACCTGTATTTGATTGTAACGTCAGCGACAAAGCAGCTGTGTTCAGTAAACCAGTATAATTGTTTCCGGAGAACGTGGGGGCATTGTTCAATGGATGTTCAGGATGCGTGGGATCTGCACTACGTGTCAGAGATACACCGAATCTTAACTGTGCCTCGGTAGCGTCCATCACTGTCAGTAGCCAATCCCAAGTGGGTTTCAAATGCGCCTCAAGATACATCTACAATTATTGGAAATATTAATGACGCAATAATAACAATTTCAACGATCGCTTTCAGTAAATTAACCTTTACAAGGTAAAATCATTCAAAACATTTTTAATATTTTCTTTCGCTTACAATCTTTGATTTCATTAATTCACATTTTTATTGTTCAACACATTTTGCAAATCAAATTCACCAGTTTAGAAATCAAGTTTTTTCTAATAAATTATTTTCCAATATGTTTGGCTTGTTAAATTGTTGTGCAAGTTTAGAAACATTAAAAATGTTTGGTACGACTTTACCTAGTAATGATTAATGCTAAATTTTATGCTTTTTATTAAATTCATTAACGTTTTATTAGACCGCAGTGGCCATACCTGCAAGTTCAACGCATCTTGGTAAGAAATTTCCATCAATCGCGGCAGAAAAGGCGCCAGCGTTTTATAGTCTTGCATCATAACTAAAAGATCGGCTATTTGTCGAATAACAATTCCAAATGCACGTGCAAGACAACTGGTAGTTGTGCCCATAGTAATGGGTTCTTGTGCGGCTGCAACAGCGGATGCTGCAGCAGTGCGTCTTACAGAGTTAGACTCAATAAAAACCAAATTACTGCCACCTGTTACCCGCAATCCTGATGTACGTGTACTTGATTCGCGATTACGTATCGCCCATTGCATAGAAAGAGGCGCGAGATTATTACGATGTAAATGGCCAGATGAACCACTGGAATAAGGTATCAATATAGTATAGAAGTTCTCGTCTGTTAACAATGCCTAAAGATAATTAAACTTGTGGTAAAAGTGTCTAGACTTGTTTTAATCATAAGAATCCTAGAAATGCATTGGTATTTGTTTTTAAAAAGGTTTAAAAATTTTAGGTTATGAATCGTGAAAAATTAACCGTACATTACTGTGAAACCATTAACTAGTTTAAACAATAAGAGCGAATCAGTGACTGTTCTGCAAATTTTGAGCGAAGGTAATCTCAATCTATGGGATAGTGCATAATAGTCGTGGTCTATAACGTTCGTTCTGTAGGCCGCAAATTGAAGGAATTTGTTCTATATTCTTTCTAGTAAGAGCTTGTACGTATTGTAAGTTTGGAGGCCTTCGCATCTTTGTGACGTCAGGACAAGTTTTGAAAAGTACTTGAAAGTTACTTGAAAAGTAACAAAAGAAAAGGCATATTTTTACCTTCGACGCTCCAGTTGCTCGTCGCCCATCTGAAAGTCTTCGTTATCCTGTTCGTCAGTTTCTCCCGCCTCGCTCTCGTCGTCTTCTTGTTGGCTCGATTCTCCGGACTCGTCCTCCGGGAACAATAAAATAGATCCCATTCCGCCATCAGAGCCTGCTGTAGCACCAGTTTGCACGCTCCGTTGCGCGGATGCTGCATCTTGATTACTGTGATTGTCGTCGGAGTCAGATTCTGTTTCCGCCTCCGCTAAAAGATCGAGCTCCGCGTCGGATTCGCCATCCCCTGGTTGTTCTTCGCCTACACCTCCTGCGTTGCTATCGATTTCACCCAATGGTTGACCAGCCACTGTCCCGGAAACTCCAGATTCCTCGTGTTCGCTTATATCACCATCCACATCCATCGGCACTTCTGTTCAAAAAATGGAAATATACAGGTTTTTATTCAGTTTTCTTTGTTCCGAGTATCACAACCAGAGACAAAACTCGGTATAATACATATAGTATATATTTGTACTTTTAAGATTAAAATAATAAAATAGACATTATACGATAACGAGTACCTTCGCCACCTTCTGTCTCGTCCATAGCAGAAACGTCTCTGGCGATAGTTATGTTATTATTTCCCTGCTGTGTCTGTAACGTAGGATCTAGAGTTTGGGAGCTAACGCCGCTATGAGGTATCAACGGTTCTATGGAGAACAACTCCTCCGAACCGTTGATCACTTCAATCGCCGAGCTAGTCAATATGAAAGGCGCCGTCGGACGAGCAACGCCCAATCTCACAGGTGCTATCAGAGAATCGGCTGTCTCGCATAATTCCTCGACGGCTAATTTAATCAACGCTTTGAAAACTTTGCGACATTTCATCAGAAGCTGTGAGGCCTGACCAGTGCTAAAACATACATTCAAATGTTAAGTAGAAAAAGGAAAAATACAAAAGTTTCAACTTTGTCATTAAAACTTGTTTCGAACCTTCTTCTTTTTGTTATCGGTGCCATTTCTATCGTAAAAATAACAAATATTCGAGCCACGGATCGAACGAATCGACGAGCAACGTTGTTTGCTTCCTCTTGCCGTCCAGGCACAGAATCATTTTGCAATTCTCGTATTAGGGTCGTCAGAAGGGTGTCAAGCATCTACAAGAAATTTTACAAAATATATTGAAAACATAAAATCAAATATTTAAAATGTGATGGAAACATATTTAAACATCTGCTTTGATAAAGACATTTTGTCGAAATATCGGGACCTGGATACTTTTTTTTACAAAACATTAATTTGATACATAACCGATTTTTAAAATGTACAACTCGTTCGAATTTTTGTTTAACTCAAATATTAAGTGGCGGACAGAAATTACTTATACAGGGTATTCGGTCACCCCTGGGAAAAAATTTTAATTTCTAGAGGCTAAAATAAGACGAAAATCAAGAATACCAATTTGCTGATGGAGGCTTCGTTAAAAAGTTATTAACGTTTAAAGTTCCGCCCGTTCTGAATTTTTTCCCCGAAAATGCGCAGAATTTATGTATGTCTATTCACAAAAAATGATTATATTTGACCCCCGCAACGATAAATAATTTTTCCAGAACGATTCGAAATTTTTTAATTTTGTCGACAAATTTGTCCACCTACTCGAATTTTTTTCTCGAAAGTGCGTAAGATTTCGGGGTTGTGTCTATTGATCAAAAATGATTGTAATTGATGCCCGCAATCGAAAATAATTTTTCCAGCATGATTTGAAATTTTTTTTTTTCGTCGAAAATTTCCAGCACTACCCCCTGTCGATATTTCTTGAAAATTCATTTTTAACTTTTAGTAATTTTATTTGACGTTGTACAGAAATGTTGTCTAATACTTTTTTGTAAATACCCACGAGCACTACTTCAGAAAAAAAGTTCAATGAAATCCATTGAATATTGTAGGAGTTGTGGCTGTTTGAAAATTGGACCATTTTTATGGGGTTTTTCTAATTTTACGTGGTCAAGGAACAACTTTTTCAATATTGTTAGAATTTCTACATGTTCTACACTAAAATACGCGTCGTTTGCCTTTTGAAATATTAAAATCCTCCAATCCGTTCGGGAGTTATGATTTTTTAAAGATATACTTGAAATTTCAAGAAACCATTTCTGACCAGAAATTATATTTTCGGTAAGAAATTTTTTTCTAGAAAGTGCATAGGATTTCGGGGGTATGTGTAATGACAAAAAATGATTGTAATTGACCCCCGCAACCGAAAATAATTTTTCCAGCATGATTTGAAATTTTTTAATTTAATTTTTTAATAACTTTTTAATGAAGCCTCAGTCAAGAAATTGATATTCTTGATTCTCGTCTTATTTTGGCCTCTAGAATCTCCCATTAAAATTTTTCTCAGGGGTAGCCGAACATCCTGTGTATGTAAATATCTTCTAAAGTAATAGTTTTTCGATATGAATCAGTAAATACGTTTTTATGTAGTATAACGAGCTGGATTAATTAATGTGGAGTAACCAATAGAGGAGCGATCGAATAATATTAATTTACGTTCCAACGATCGAATTACTGAGCACCATTATGGTGAAAAATATTTCAACTTACCTCCGCACTACACTTAACCAAAAGTGAGTGAGTGAATTTGTCAAGTAATGCAGTACCACTTTGTCGACACAATTGTCCCTGATCTCCAAATAATTGATCGTTGCCATTCACGGTCACCCCTGACATTATCATACACTGAACAGCTGGCCAATCGTTTAACAATCTTTCTAGAGCTTTTCGACTGAAACGAGGAGGTTCCAAGTCATGATCTGGCATGTCCGAGTCCGGACACATACCTGTTTCACATGTGGTCATAATTATTCTGCGACTTTCAATTAAAATTATTATCGAACGTATAGTATTATCTTGTCATATTTGAAAACCAAATAATAATATATGTAACATTAACAAGCATAGTTTCCAACGCAAGAGGTTAATAAAACTTTGATTGTTAATGTTAGATCGTCATAATTGTAATTTGATTTTTGAAATTGATAATATTTTTCGAATAATACGATAATTTTATAAACGTTTTCGACCTCCTCTACGTGTAATTTTCAAACAATAATCTAAAATCTTTATATCACGTCACTTTTTTTCTATCAATCAAGCAGTTACTTTGTTTCCTTTATATCTTTAGATTATTATTAAATATTATTTTATTTCTTGTAGATGCGTGCAGTCGTATTTTATTTAAAAATGACCCGAAATATATCGAAAATATTTATAAATTTAGCGATTATATGCAAAAAGAAAAACTCACCGTCAGAGGATGGTCCTTTACGGCTTGCAGACGTCGACCGCTGTCGAGGTGCTGAACGGCATTGTCGTTGTTCCACTAATTGCCTTCCTACAGTCTGAACCAGAAACAGCAAAATGCTCTCCCCTCTGCGAAGTTATAAAAACGATTCGTTATAATTTTATTTGTTTAGATGTTTCGACGATTGTACGTTCACATCCTTACCGCGAATTTATTTTTGTAGCTAGATCAGTATTGACTACCAGACGACACAACAGCTGATAACGAGCACCTTGATGGCCAGCAATCAGAGCACGACATTTACATTTTTCCCAGCAATCGCAATAAGCTGTAGGAGACGTTACTTTTAATTTACAGTCGTGGCCTCTGTGACATACGCGAGCACATTCTGTACAGCAGCATAAAGACCCGATTAAGCCACAAGTTCTGCACTCGAAAATATCCTGAAGAAAAAAAAGAAATAATAATCTTTCGTCAAAGTGAATTTGCAACTGTGTTATATCGATTTCGGTATAGTTTTACTGGCATAACGTCGATATGAAAATCATACCGGTATTAAGTCCCTGGTATCCAACGGTATCGTACCTGATTAATGTGATCAGCTCCAGTCCAAGTGAAGCTACAGGTATCGTTGCAACAAGTAACGAACAATGGCGACAAATCTGGATTCGCGTCGAGCGGAAGTATCATAGCTGAACATTCTTTCTGATCTCTTCCGACTCTCTGAATAGTGTCCAATAAGATAAGTGCTGCGTGATACGCACGAACAGATACAGCAAGCATCAACGGTGTCTGACCCTGAGCATCCCTATTGACAGAAGAATAAAAATATTTTCATCAAAGTATGAAAATACTTCGCACTTGATGAAACACACTGTTAACAAGATAATTACTTTGCCGTGAGTAGTTCTTTTAAATGGGGCGCTAATATGTTACTTTCGCACATATACTTTAATATAAGCAACGCGTTGCTTCTTCTTTCAACGGAGTCTATAATATAAGTATTGTTTGACGTAGCTCCAACACCTATAAACAAGAAAATATGCATTTAATTATTTATAATATGAGTTATAGTGATAAGGAGAAGATAGAAAGGCATTCAATACACTTTTACCTGATTTATTCATCATAGATATACTGGCAGCACCAATACTAAGTAAACTATCCTCTTCTCCGGACGTGTTGTCAAACGCTTCGGGTGGCCAACTTAAAGTTGGAATTGGTTCCTCGATAGGTGCAGACGCGCTGTCGACAGTATTCGACACCAATTCACGCTCGATACCTTTCAAAACGATAAATCAGTTAGAATATACTAGAATTCATGTGGTACATTCGACATTAACCCTTTGCACTTTATTGGCGTCGTTACGACACAATATTAAATTTTTGTGAGAAACAAAAACACTTTCTATTCTCAGAAGTGGCACCACAAAATTGCCCTAAAGTTGCTAGTCATTCATGTTGAAAACAATTCTTGAAGTACAAAGGATTCAAGAAGACAAATAAATAGATAAAATACCTTGATCGTTCTCTTTGTTAGATGTTGGTGAACACATACTGATACAGGCATGTAAAATATTACGATTACTATCACAACGTTCGGTTAGTATTGCTTGAATTTGTGCTGCATTGTTTTCTATAAAAAAAAATACAAAAAATAAAAAAAAAAATTAATAAAATAAAGTGAGGCATTGTTATATTATTTTTTTTTTATCGTCTATATGGCCACAAAATTATATGGGCATACTTACTGTGATCTTGTTCCAAATTACAGAACACCTGTTTTACACTATCGTAGTCGCACCTTAGTATACGTGGCATTAGTAAAAGGTTATCAAATGCTAATGCAATAACCGCTACTTGATTTTTCATATTGGTCGAATTCGAACAGCTTGGTATGGGAATGGTTGAAGCACCAATGCAAATTACCGGAACTAAATCTAACCAATTCGGATCGCGTATAGCCTCGGCACAGTCTTTTACCAACGGATATATCGTATTATTTCCGTCTCTAAGGATCATAGAGCATTCGATATTCTGTAATATAAATACATAATGTATATCTATGCAATCTAAAGTACAACTATTACGATTCTACCTATGTACAGGATGTGCTGTGAGGTTTTTTCGCTAAACTTCGAAAAATTTAATCTAGAGAATCTACAGATTAAGTTTTCGAAATTTAGCAGAAAAACCAGGGGATAACCTGTATAATCACGATGGTATACCTCTCCTGCGCTTGTAAGATGGATATTTTGAGGCTGCAGCCCCAAAAATGATGATATATCTGACGGAATATAGCAATCTTGCACGTATCTACCAGTACTCAAATTATACACAGCGTAACTTAATTTGTTCCCGCTTTTCACTATTGCATGGATACCTATAAATAATCAATGACTAAGAAATACTACCGATAAAGATAATCGGTAATTAGGCTCAATGTTCTACCTCTTCCATCCGTAGCAATGGTTAAAATACTATCGTTTGACCCTTCGACAATGTTTACTCTTCTAGGAGTTCGTTGGAAACAATCCGGAGCTCTTGGATTCATAGATGACTTGATTACCTATGGGTGCGATATTTTATTATATTTAAATCTATACAAATATAAAAATCGACTAGCAACCATTTAATTTACCTGCAGCTCATCTTTTCTTAACAATCTACAATCGGCTAATAATTTGATCGATTCTTCTGCCGTTAAATCCTTAAAATCTGACGTATTAAAGTCCTTTTCTTTAATTTCTTTTTCCTTTTCTTTCGAATCCTTCGAGAAGAACTTCACGGCAACGTAACAACCGTCAACTTTTATAACTTTACCTGCGCATAAAAAAGAATAAAATATAACGCAATCTCAGGAATGCTGCTTGCTAGTTGCAAAGTACGTACCAATGGGTACAGTTTTAACATCTTCTACAAAAACAACGTCTTTTAATTGCCATTCCTCTTCGTCTTTACGTTCAGACTCTCCCTCACTTCGAGGTGCAACCCGTTTTTGTCTCTCTATAGAATAACAAAATTTGAATTATCAGATTCAATGCAAATAACGCATTTAGCCATGTAAAGGCTTTAAAGGCATGCTACATACTTTTTACATATTAAACATTTTTAATATTCTATCAATAAGTATTCCCAACCCAATTATTTTTATTTTAACCAAAATAATTTATAAGAGAACGATGTTGCATACGTATTTAACGTGGCACCTTTGTTTTTAGAGACAAGCCTATCAAAGTGACCATTTTTAACAATTTTTTCATCTTACTCTGAGTAAATGTGCCTGTCTATAAATAAAAGACAATAAACAAAAACATAACATCATCTTTATTTAAAATGTTAAAATGTTTAAATAAAGTCCATTAAAAAAATGTAAATATATTTTTTTATATTACTAATATTACTTTTTAAATTTGATACCGTCGGCCTTTGGAGCACGACATAGCGTTTAACGTGTTAAAAAAAATTTGGTTAGTTCTGTAAAAAAAAAATTCCCCAAAGATACTCTTTTATTTGTTATCAGGGTGTTCCACCTGTTCCCCCTTGAACAAATTATATAAAATTCTTACTGTGACTTGTTGTGATGCTACCAGTGTCACTACATGTGCTTGAAGCTGGTGAAGGTGGTGGAGGCATATCGAGACGATCAGCAGTCTCTTTATGATTCGTCTTATTAATAGTACCAGTTCCACTATTTCCGCTTGTTTCGCGTTTGTCTCCGTTAGCACTAGGCAGATGACTTCCAGCTGGCAATACTTTAAATCTGCAAGTAGATTCTAAATTCCAAGCTGCTGCTAACAATTGTCCTACTTTTGGAACTCTGTTGGCAATTGTAAAACCTGAAAAAAAATATCCATTTGATATTTGACGCTATATAATTCTTTTTTTTTTATCGTTCTTACTCGACAACTCACCTATTGCTCCAGGTTGATATATAGGACTATTCTTCATACAAACATGCGTGCCATAACTAATATCATTTGACGATACTGTCGACGGCCTATGCTTGCGCGACTTAGCCTTATATTTTTCCCACAATTTCTTACGCTGCGCGAAAGGTAGCACACCCCTACGAGAACAAATGTACAATTATATTTACGTAATTGTAGTTATACGTACGTGTACCGATAATAATGGCGTTAATTTAAAATAAAAATTAGTAACACTAGATTTATGAAACCCGTCACATGAAACTCGTGACACGAAATAATCGACAAAATGTCAACCTACCACCAATATAGCGCGCCACTTTCAAGTCTGGCAACTGTATACAAAGCACAAGTGTGGAGCGATACTATTTTGTCCAATGTAAATTCGGTAAAAGTTTGAGCAGGATGTTCTAAACGGGAAGCAACATGTCCCAGGAGTTCGTCAAGCCAAGTAGCTACTTTACCACTCTCAGTACTGACAGAACATCGAATTGCCGTGGCAGATATGTTAACTATCTTCTCTGTTGTTATTGCTAGCCACTGAGCTTTTGGATGATGTATATTTGTGTTCTGAAATGAATGTATGTTTATTAATGTTTTGTTTCGAAGACTCGAGAAGACTTTTGTTTCATCATTAGGTACCTCTGGATCTTTGTACGGTTCAGATTCTGACCATTTCCACTGATACAATTGACCACCAGCGGAAACGGCAATTAATTCGCTGTAAAGCGAAGCGATCTGTACAAAACGAGGAGCAGGATCGCTGCTACGTTCGTGCCACCATTCTAATTCCTCTGATATCCATAATGGACTTTGAGAAGCCAACTCCTTCTTTTTGTTGTCTGATACAATTTATACAAAAATATAATTAAAATTTACACAATTACAATTCAAAATATTCGTAAAATTCGATCTAGACGTATTCTTTGAATTTCTACTAAAATATAGAACACTAAAGAAAGGTAAATTATTCTTTTCGTATTGATCCTGCCAAGTAAAAACAAATTCTAAACACACGTGTAAAGAGATTTTATTATACAGGATACCCTTTATATTTAGATCATAACGAGTAACCGATTAATTAATTAAAGTTCTACCAGATTCTTTTTCCCATGAGTCTTTAAGCGCTGTTTCCAACCAACGGCGTGGCCCACAATATTGGCGATCCCTCCATCTGCTGAAACTATCGCGATCTCTGTCCCGTTCAGATGTGCGTTCACTTTCTCTATCATTGCCTATTCTGCGCGAAGAATTTCCACGACTAAAACAATTACATAGACGTTTAAGAACCGTCCCATTTATTGAATAGATAAAAACTAATGGGAAAATAGTCACTTTCTCATTCCTGTATACCCAAACATGTCTTCGGAGAACATGGAATCTGCATCAATTATGACAGAATGTTCATTGAATGAACCACCATCTAGCAAAGATATAAGTTCTTCCGGGACGTATGTATCCGCCGCATCTTCTGCATCATCACCTTCTTCATCGTCTCGTGATAGTAAATTATTTACTGCTAAATTTACATCTAAATTTGTACGCTATAAAACATATATAACGATATTATGCGAACTCTACTGTATAAATAATATATTACATGTTCGATGATAATCGCGATAGAACAAACCTGCAATTCTCTAATAATAAGATTGCGACTTTTTCCTTGCAAAACTACTTGAGCCTGCGAAATAAGGTCTTCTGGTACAAACGGCGCAGGTACTGGTGCAATGGGACGTGAACTGCTACTAGTTCCACCTCCCATAATTACACCCGGAGGAGGGCCTACCCTACTTCCAGTGCCACTTCCTCCGCTGCTACCACCACGAGAACTACCGCGCATAATTCTTGCACGTGTTCTAGACATTCCTCTACCTCCACCTCCACTATTTCCACCACCATTTGATGCTGAATTGGAGTTTCCAACATGATTCTTACTGGTGCTACAATAATAATATAAAATTACATGTCATTTTTAAGAAAATTTTTTCTTTCTATGCCTCTTCCTTAGAATTTCTCATTTATTACAACGCACTTTCTATTTGGTTCATTTTTGCTTAAGTCCAACCTGTCCGACAATACTGTAAATGCAACTCTGCAAACTTTATGGTCTTCCGTTAGAAGAGCAATATGTGTTGGTCCAACAACAATACGTTTCACAGAAATTTTTAGTCCACTAAATGCTGGTAACGTTACAAATCCGTATCTATTGATCTTCTCTGCCACTTCCTTTAACCTAAAAGAATTTACATTCAAATTGGATTAAATTTAAATTAGAATTGTACCATTCTAAACAAAACTAGCTATTAAATTTAATAAAAACGAATATTTATTCGCGCGCATAAGCTACATTCAGGTTATGTCAGTCCAATCTATATACATAATTATATACTATGACAAATGATGGAAATGGTTTCTTTAATTTTGCAACTTAAATGTTACATTACATAACGACAAAAATAATAATAATCGACACACAATCATTTCGACAATACTGCAAAATGTAAATATAAATTTTTATTAACAATACAAATTAATATATCACAATTCTGCATTTTTGTTTGTAACAAATTATAATAATACAATTAAAAAATTAATAACGATAAAGTATTATTAATGATCTTCTGTAACATATATACTTATATATATATACATATATATACACATACATATATATATATATATATATATATATAACAGAATAAAAGCATAAAATAAAGCTGTATAAAAGATCATTCAAACATAGAAAGTATAATATATGAAACGTAAAAAAGAAAAAAATAAAACATTACATTACATCGTGTAAGAACAAAATAACGTATTAATCATTGAAACGTGTAATCATGACTCATGTGCACGATACATTTGTCGCAAACGATCGTATTTCACAGAAGATAATTCTTCCTAGCACAATTCGAGAATCGAATTTTTTTTCGTAACCTACAGGTGCAATGAACAGAGCAAAGACAAAGAGAGCAAAAAAAGTAATTCGGGCAGTTAAATCATGCCCGCAGAACTTTTAATTACGTTCAGCAACGTCGAGGAATTCCGAAACCCGTGCGCACGATGGTTGTACGTAACGATGTGACAACAAACTTGTACAACTCCCCGAATGGTTCTTAGAAAATCGTTTTGCACCGTTCGTTCGAAGTCAAACATCCTCTCAATAAGATACAGCATCGATTGAAAAAAAAACTAGAAAACGTACGCCAGCCGTAACCAGCGAGCATATACCTAGTAACGATTCACGAACGAATCGTTTCGATACGTAGAAGAGGAGAGACAGACATACCGAAATGATAGATACATTAATGGGAAACCGATAACGAATACGTTCTTCTTACCTATCGTTCAATTGATCGTCGGTTCCGGGTAACGGATGCACGACGAAATGTATCGACGTCATATTACCGGCGATTAAACGTATTCAAGAGGCCAGGATGTCGTTTTAATAATTCTGTACACACAATTTCACCACACCGTCGAAACGATATTCGGCCATGTTTCTGAGGAAACAACCAGTTACGTGTTCTCGAACGCGAACGAATTGTGCTGATGCTCCAAAGTATTCGTAAATGCACCGAATCGTTTCGGTTACACGGGTGTAGATATCGTGTACAGCACAGGCGAGAAAATTTTTTGCGAACCAAAATATCTATGCGGATAGACTGTTTTTTTTCCTCGTTTCTTTCATGTAACTGCCACTGACTTTGGTCGAGATGTTTCTACTACGTTCGCGTAGCGATGTCACGGATCCTCAAATATGTATTATGGCGACTCCACGCAAATGGCGACCTTTATCTTGGTGCCACTTTCCGTGATATGTGTTAGAGGCGAGACGAATCGAAGAATTTATGTGATGGTATGAATGCATTAGTTTACACGGAGCTCATTTTTGATTCGCTGAAGAACACGTACTTTTAAGTCTTATTTGGTAATTTTTTTTCAAAGAACTGTACAACTTTTTTTTGTTGAAATTTTATACATATTTAGTGATTTTTGTGAAACGCATAGAAATTTTTTCAAAGTAAAATAATTATAATTGGCCATTCTGAATATTCTAAAACTTAGCATAGTAGAAATAAAGGATAAAGGGTCGTTTTATAATTTTCATAGTTTCAGCCATTTTACAAATTTAAAATGAAAAATGAAAAAAGGATTCTTAATTAGGATGAGTTTGGTTATAGCAAGTACTAAAACGAAAGGAAAAAGTCGATTATTAAATAAATGGTAACATTTTGAAATTGAATTATCGATTTTTTAGCAGTTTTATTAAATTAATATTTACTTATCGCTGCAAAGTCGTCACTTATTCGCCACAATTCTTTTTTTTTTCGTACATTTTAATTTGCACTTTACTTAATTTGTAGTAAACCTTATAAACCTTAACATTAAATAACAATTACTATTACACATCTGTTTTAAGCTCTCGTAAATGTTTAATGAATATAGATAATTATTTTTAAAAACAAAAACAGAAAATGTTAAACAAGACGAATGAAATATCTATTGCCAAAAAGGTAAATGTACATAAGATGAAATTTTAAGAAAAATTTTCAAGTATAATTTTCAAGTATAATTCTTTTTCTTTGTATTATTTATAAACATGCTGGTGTCAATTACATTTATAATGTTGAAATGTTGTTTCTATTTGGAAGTAAATTTCATTTTACTTCTTATATAATAAGTTCGTTTATACATAGAAAAACAATATTTTTTGTCTTTTCTTATTAAGAGGTTTATTGTAGTTTAAAAACGAGTGACTTTAGTTTGATATATTACAATCTTTAAAAAATAATTGATAATTTTATTAATAAGCTATGCGCTGTACACTGTAATGCTATACACATGAACTTGTACATATGTACACTTATACACAATATGACTTCAACTATCGACGAACTTTTTATGTCTAATGCATACCTTTGTTCAATTGTCAAATCTTTGCATATTTTCTTTGTTTAGTACTTAACTTAAAATATCCACGGCGAAAAGATATTTGGCGTTCGGTATAAATTGTTATATCTCATATTACTCGACATTTCGATGTCAAGATTTGAATATATACAGAGACAATTTTACTAAAATTTGCAATATTCGCACATGTCAAATCGTGTACATGCGTAAAACTATGAAACATAATTAAATAATTACATTAGAATTCAATTAGCTGTTCCGAAACAGAAAGCTAGTAAACGTAAAAACGATTATAAGTTATAATGTACATTTTCTAACACAAATGATAAACGATAGTATCGTTCAAATATATTAAAAAAGTATCATGACAAAGTTTAGAAAAATGAATTTTTCACTTTCAGTAAGCGATTATAATATAACTTATTTTTATTTTCTATTTCTCTATAACGATCAAAACATTTTGCAGACTTTATAAAATTTCTATAGCTTAAACTACAGGTCCTGATTGAACATTATTGTTCCATTAAAGTAATAAATGTTGGCATTCATCCCTGATAAACTAATGTACACATTGTAAATCCTAATTGGGATCATTCTCGTCAATACAATTGAACTGAAAGCAATAATAAAACACGTCTCGAGTTTCACATATTTTCCAGTCACATATTCAAGTTAATTTTTGTTTAAGTTCCAACTAGACTCACGAGCAAGCTATATACACTATACAAATTGTTCTGTACTACTAGCATTAAGATCAAGCAAGCGCCACGCTGATTTTGGATTAAGTTCCGTAGGATCACGACATAATACCCAAACATAATTAACACGCATTACTTTCTCAGGATCTCCTTCTACGACTTTATTCTTAGCATCCCTCACGCACATAATCTGCTGACACTGAAAGCTGATCATTAAAACTGGCCCTTGCTCCATTATTTTACCCATTATTAAATCCACATTGTTAATGTCTGAAATTGAGTATATTTTATTTCGTACGTAGAAACGATATCGGACGAAACGAGTAAAATGTGTATACAAAATATAAATATACCTAGAATTTTGCTGTCCAAGTGATATCCTAATTTTTCAACTTGTAGTAACGGTTGTGCTAATAAATTATACGGAATTTCGTGGCACCAGTCTTTTAATATTTCAAGATTCCCCCTTACCATTGCTTCAAGAATGTTTGGTATAATATCTGTCTCGCAGTCTCTCAAAAACTGAACTCTGTCAAAGTTCGGATCCAGTTTACAAATTTCTGTCAACGTCTCTGAAAGTTCCGTTTTTTGAAACAGACCACCCATTATATCTGTAACTTTCTCTGTCAACAGTCTAGAAGCACGAATTACAGGATTATCTGATTCTTCGTATTTCATTTTCCAGTCCAAAACTTTATTCACATAGGGATTTTTATCCTTTAAAAAATATAATTATCTAATATGAATAATTCAATCAACACGTAATATAATGATAGTGCTTTAATGTACACACCTTAAAATTTTGCCACGATTGGTAAAATTTCGAATCTTTGTGTAATTCAACACCCAATGCCTCCTCGTTTGGCGCAACACATTTATCATCTGCAGTCTCAAATACATCTTTTCTTTTTCTTAATTTTTTAGGCGGAACATAAACTCTTCCTGCAGTGTAAAAAAAAAATATTCTACATTCAAATACAATTTTATACAGAGTGAACAATATTACTCGATCGCCATAATTATTTCCGAACCAGAAACAAATAGGTTGATCACGTTATATTGTTTAGCTGGGACGTTCATTTGATGTACCATGCATTCCTTGATGATCTAGCTCTTCGCGTACAGCTTCTGCAGTTTGCGTTATTGTTTGAAACGCGCTTGTTTTACCTAAAGCTTGACTTTTCTCAGTGATTGTTTCCGCTGCTCCTTTTGCGGATTTTGTTATCTCTTCGCCTAACTGTCCAGCTTTCTTACCTAATTCTGTCTTACTAGCTTCTTCAAGAACTTCTTGTACCTGCGCAATCAAATTTAGCCGATGCTTATAATTCTCACCAATGAACGAAAAATATTTTTATTCTTACCTTTCCTTTCAAGGAGTCTAATTTTTCTTTAAGAACTTCTGAACTTTTGCTCGCCTCCGACTCGACTGCTTGAAACTTTTGTCTCGCGGATTTTAATGCGTCTGACTGTTCAAGTTTTTCTGCTTCTTCTCTAAATTTTTTCAAGGACTCTTTCATTTCTTTATTTTTTTGCATCTCTTGCTTGATATTTTCAAGAAACTGAGAGAAGAAGCTAGGTCTTCGTGCTGGATTGGAATATAATCGAATCTAAGAAAATGAATTATTATTAATTGCACTATAAACATTGTTTTATAGTTTTGCAGAAAGAGCTTAAAATGTAGGCATTCCATAAAGCCAAGCTACTGTAACAATAATTGTGTAAAATGCATATACGAGCATATACCCCACATTTATGATTTACCCTGAACACATATATGTGTTGATCATTACCAAAGAATTAATAACATCGTGAAACAAAACTTACTGATAAACCTTGTATGTCTGTCGTTTGTGGTAATTGTAATTGTACCAACATGTTATAGGTACGTAACATTGAATGATTCGTGAAGCCATTTCCAAATTTCTTTTTAGAGTGTGCAGAACGTGTAATGCCAATAAGGCTAGCTCTACACATTGCAAAATTCTGAAACTACAAAAATACAATTTTATAAATTTCATGATTCCATTAGAAACGCAAATTTTCTATCCAAATGAGTTGTATTATTATTTATCGTTTTTTTTTTTGTTATAAATCTATACATTTGTAGAGAGAAATTAGTTTTGCATCGTAAGATAAGTAATATTTAAATAATTATTACCACATTACGTGAGTACATTTTTTGACATATAATTATTTAATTCATTAACATTCCCGTACAAAATTCTGATGAAACAGAATTTGAAGCATGGATTCAAAGAGTCGAAACTTTATGATGCAACGACACGAAAATCGTGAATATAAGAGTTGGCTGAAAGAACATAACCTCTAGAAAATACGAGAAATATGACCGGTTTGCAAACAAAATATTATAAATTTACGTATAAGCAAGAAAAAAGTGGCCAAAAACACTTGATTTTTATCCTTCTATGAATGAAAAGTAAACGTTCAGTTAGCAATCAAAATCATTTACCATTATACGCAAGATTTATCTGTAACGACATCAAAAATCTTCATAAAATATGCTGTTACTATGAAAAGGACATCTGTTGACAAAAAGTTGAACTTATCTTAGATGAACAATACGTAACATTAGCACATGATGTTTTATTTTTGTATAAAGAATGTACACATTATAACGATTAGATATACATATTTTTACGTATAATTCTCTTATAATTCTTTCTAACACTATTAACAATTACAAAGAATTTTATTTCATAAATAACAGTTAATTTTTTAATCCGGGTGTTCTGTACAAAAACTCTCCATCGTCGTCGTAATAGCAGTCCTTTATCCTATACGTCATACCTTCTTTACGTACATTCTTAGGAATCTTTATAGAGTTTGCATATTTGAACTCTGTATCTATGCTTGTTTTCCATTCTTTTACATAAGTATCTAAAGCATCACGTTCTTTATTCGATGTAACTACTACATTGAAGCACATTTTATCTTTGCTAACTGTTAAAGTGCTTTCATTAGATGGGATTTTTACAGTGGCAACATTTCTCTCTTCTGTGTCTTGTTTTTTCTCAGTATTATTTACATCAGAAATTACGTCTTTTAAATTTGTGGATTGTACATATTGTTTATGTGTACTTAATAAATTTATTCCCTCCTCTGGGGATGTTTCGTAGAGACTCTTTAATTTCATTTTTATAAAATCATTATTAATTAATTTATTATTCACTTTATTGTTTTCCTGGTCACTATTGTATGTATTTGTGAATTTATTTGTTTCTATCATAGATTTTTCTACAGATTCTTTTTTATTGTCGATTGTAGTAACTTTGTTTTCCTTTGTGCTTGGTTCTTTTGCAGTATTGTTTATATTAGAACTTTCATCTTTTAAATTTGTGAATTGTGTATGTTGTCTATATGTTTGTAATAATGTTATTCCTTCTTCTGGGGATGTTTCATATAATTTCTTTAATTTTGCTTTCAAAAATTCATTCAATATTAATTTATTACTCATTTTATTCTTTTGGTTACTACTGTTTGTATTTGTAAATTTATTTGTTTGTACTATAGATTCTTCTATAATTTTCTTGTCTGTAATGATTAATTCTTTCTCGTTTCTGCTTACATCACTTGTACATGAAATTAGCTTCTGATTATTCAAAGATTGTTCTGTATTTTCTACTTCTGTTATAATGCTTGAAAATACAGAACTTTGTGGTTTTGGAAATTCCATCTTTGGTGGAATAATATTTTTGAGCAATGATTCTCTATCGGTTAAACTAATTTGCCTATTTTTAAACTTTGTTAAATGCTCGTGCAACCTATCATTTACCACCAATTCACCAATTTTAAAATTTTTCCAATTTTCAATAACATTACTATCGTATTTTATTGCTCTATCCATTGATTGTGGTATCCATTTTGTTTTTAAAATTTTTCTTATTGTTTCAGGCAATGCTGGAAAGCTTTCACTTAATTTTTCTGGTGTCCATTCATCTGGATTACTTGCATGTAATTTTTGTATTTGATCCCTCTCAACTAATGTAAGAAAACTTGGCTCTACTTCCTTAAAGTATTTTCTTCTCACCATACGTATTTTCAAAAGTTCTTTCTGTTTCTTTTCTTCTCTAAAAACGATATGTGTTTAAATTAATATAAGATATTAGAGTACTAGAATGTACATTCAGATTATATACAAACTATAATTATTCTGTATAATAGATACATGTACCTCCGAGATGCACATGTCATGTCAAGGTTCATAAAATCAAGTTCATTTAGATCCGTATCATCTTCCATTAATTCATCAGGATTGGTTTCGGTTTCAGTTTTGAAAGTTTCCATATTTTTAAATTTTATTTGTGCTTTAATACCAGCATTTCCGGACGGATATTTACGATACCTTTTATATGTCCTAATTGTCATTAATCTAATATTGTTCATCTTTATATCTATTCCTTTCCTTTTTTAACAATATTTCAAATAATTTACAATGTTAATACAACACCTTCAACTTATTCGTACTTCATAATCCACATGAATTATTTATATATATATATTTATATATATATAAATTTACAATAACGTTGAATTAAAGCCAAAGACAAATATTTCTAGCCGTAAACCAATGTCTCTAGTGACAAACTTTCCAACTAATCACGTAATTTAGAACGGGGAGAGCAATATATGTATACATGTAAATACATGTTACGATGTTACAATAATTTATTGCCACGTGAAAACGTACCTTACTGTGTAACTAAATCTTTAGCTTTCCAATATACACATGTTCATATATTGTATTGTATGCTATATTTTTGAAAAATAAGAATTTCATCAAAATCATCATTACTGTTACTAGTAAATTAAAATTGTAGATGATGTTTAATACGTGTAAATTAAAAATAATTAAATTTTAGTTCCATTCTAACAATTTCAGGTGGCACTGAGCTGTACGTGAAACGTGGCAGTTTCCAATCTACATTCATTTACACGCTTGGTAGAAATATACCGCCTGAAATGTGGTATAATCGGTCATTGCAAATGGTCGTTGGTTTAGGAAGAACGGAAAATATCCACGAGCATCTTTATTTAAGATCGAGACTGCTCTCAGATTTAAGGTAAAATAATATTCGTTATATTTCTATATTTGTAAAAATAATAATATTTTCTCTCTTCTGTACTTAATTTACTCTGCAAAACGTAAAGCATTTTGTTCTGTAAATTTGTTCGTTCAAAGCCTTTTTGATATTTTCGTTACTAGATTTTTACCTTTACGACTACTAGCAAATATCCTTTTCAAGCATTTAATAATATTCTATCTAGTAATCTATTTACACGAAAAATTTTGGGTTAATAAATATAAAAAGATTTTATTTAACTTGAGTAAAAAGCTTATGTTACGAGCTGTGATATTGAACGCTTCCATTTTCTTTTTTTTCTTTTTTTACCTCGTGCTTGTTTTTCTTACCAATAGTAAGGTACAAAAGTGTTCGTAAAGAATAAAAGAACATATAAGTAAATACAAAACTTTAACGAACTAATAATATAGAATAAAATCGTCATATTTTTAAGCAATTTTAAATATAATGGAATAATTTTGATAATTTTATGTATGGTATTTATTTCAGAATGGATGTGAATTTTTTTTACCAATAAACTTTAAGTTTTTCTATACATTGATTGCATAAAAAAACAAAAATAATGTATTTATACAATTTGACCCTTCAACGTGCAACGGGTATTACCCATGCAGTGCATGGGAATTTTTCTGGCAGTAAAATGCAGGAGATTTTGGTCTCACGTGGAAAGTCATTAGAACTCCTAAGACCTGATCCAAATACAGGAAAAGTCCACACCTTATTAACTGTAGAAGTGTTTGGAATTATTCGGTCTTTGATGGCCTTCAGATTGACAGGTGGCACGAAAGATTATATTGTCGTTGGATCAGATTCTGGACGTATTGTAATTTTGGAATATATTCCTGCGAAGAATGTTTTTGAAAAAGTACATCAGGAAACTTTTGGTAAAAGCGGATGTAGACGAATCGTACCTGGACAATACTTAGCTATAGATCCCAAAGGAAGAGCTGTAATGATAGGTAACATATTTATTTCATTATCTTATTTATATTAATTTACACTTGCATCAAATGATTAATTTTGTCGATCCGTGTTTCAACTGATTAACATTGATTATAGTTCGCAAATGATGGTGTATCTTTGTGAAGATATTTTCGATGATGGCAGTTATTATTCACAAGTATTCATGGTAATATGCTTATTTCAGGTGCAATCGAAAAACAAAAACTTGTATATATTTTGAATAGAGATCCTGAAGCCAGGCTTACCATTTCTTCGCCTTTAGAAGCTCATAAAAGTAATACGCTAGTTTATCATACAGTGGGCGTGGATGTGGGTTTTGAAAATCCTATGTTTGCCTGTTTAGAAATTGATTATGAGGTAATATTTTAAACATTTTCAAAATATTACAAGATTCGAAATAATATTTGTGAAACGGTAGAACTGGATAATAACAACCATATCTTTTGTTGTGCAGGAAGCAGACAGTGATCCCACAGGGGATGCAGCGGTAAAAACGCAACAAACGTTAACTTTGTACGAACTTGATCTCGGTTTAAATCACGTTGTACGCAAGTACAGCGAACCGTTGGAAGAACACGCGAATTTCCTTGTATCTGTACCTGGAGGAAACGATGGACCAAGCGGTGTCCTTATTTGTTCAGAGAATTATCTAACGTATAAAAATCTTGGCGATCAACACGATATTCGTTGCCCCATTCCCAGGCGACGTAATGATTTAGATGATCCTGAGAGAGGAATGATATTCGTATGTTCCGCTACTCATAAGACCAAAAGCATGTTTTTCTTTTTGGCTCAGACTGAGCAAGGGGATATCTTTAAGATCACGCTCGAAACAGACGAAGATATGGTGACTGAAATTAAACTAAAGTATTTCGACACAGTACCTGTCGCGGCAAGTATGTGCGTCTTAAAAACAGGATTTTTGTTTGTTGCCTCAGAATTTGGCAATCAGTAAGTACATCATTAAAATAATTTGTATTTTTAACACAGAAAAGGTAAAATTATACCTTATAAGAGATTTGTTATTGTTCTAGTTATCTCTATCAAATTGCGCATTTGGGGGACGACGACGATGAACCAGAATTTAGTTCTGCTATGCCTCTTGAAGAAGGTGACACTTTCTTTTTTGCACCACGGCCGCTTAGAAATTTAGTATTGGTAGATGAAATGGATAGCTTGTCGCCAATAATGGCGTGTCAGGTAAACGCGATTGAAAACTGTAAATCTAACAATTTTCAACTAAGAATACTCAATATTAATTTTTATAATATCGTTGGCCTTAAAACCAAGGTATCGATGCACCTTTAAGTAGAGAATTGACGTTTTATACATCTTTTTTCTGTGGAATGGTGCCAGAAAAAATTATTCTTAGTCGCATTCAATTTGTTATTGCAAACTGAAGTTGAACCTAAGAATGACAAATTTTAGTAAATCGTAAGCGTACGTACTAGAGGTATACGGAGTACCTGATATATCCAAAAATCACACACTTCTATCGTATGCGTGTGAAACATAAATTTACATGTACAGAACTGGTATTTTAATTCATGCAGGTGGCTGATTTGGCAAACGAAGATACTCCTCAACTATACATAACGTGTGGTAGAGGGCCACGTTCGACTTTGCGAGTACTACGCCATGGTTTAGAAGTTTCTGAAATGGCTGTCAGTGAACTGCCGGGTAATCCAAATGCTGTGTGGACGGTTAAAAGAAGAATCGATGGTTAGTTCCGAAACATCTTACACAGTAGTTGTTTTGCATGTTTTTATCTCTATGTTTACAATTGACGATGCAGAGTAAGTTTTAGCTTCTTTTTTTTTTCTGCATTGATATAATTTCTTGCCAATTATGGCACAATATTCACATATTATCTACTATAGCATAGAGTTGTTCTTTATAGTAGCAGCCGTTATCGCTTGATTTTAATCACGGTATTAAAAAATACTTTTTATACAAAAATTAAATTAAATGTTATGTTTCAACGATGAGCGTTGTTCAAAAATTGTGGAGATATTTGAGATGAGAATATTTTTTTTTTAAATGAAAAATAGATTCGGTATTTAAGTACATATATATATATATATATGTGTATATATATAACTCTACAATTTTTTAATACAGTAAATGTAATAGAGAAAGAAATTGGTTTTTGTAAATGATATTAATGAATCTGGTGGCTTGATACACTCTTATCAAACACCAGTTCTCTCTTTCAGACTACCAGCATGCTATTGGTTGAACTACAGAACACACTGATAAAAAGGTAAGAACACTCGAAATTGACGAAATCGGGGATAAGAAATTGAATATGCAGTCCATCTACTGTTTGCGTGTAGAAAGAAAGAGCGTGCTCGACTGCCATGAGGGCGATCTATTATTTCATACAAATTTTTTTTCTATTCTTACACTATTTAAATATTCAGAGTGAGCTTTATAATTTTGATTACAGAGGAGTATGATGCTTACATCATAGTGTCCTTCGTCAATGCCACGCTTGTACTTAGTATCGGAGAAACTGTAGAAGAAGTGACAGATTCCGGGTTTCTTGGTACGACACCAACATTGAGCTGTTCCGCATTAGGCGAAGATGCGCTGGTCCAGGTACAGTCATTCGATATAATAATCTACCATGTTTGTGCACTGCGGTATCTCCGACGCCTGGTCGACCACGTGTCGGTCGCAATAAATAGTGCTAGATTATAATGAGTTTACCGCATCGTTGAATGTTTAGCTTACATCTAAACACTTCTGGTACTACGAACTCGACAAAATTTAAAAAATTAAGAGATTACACCGTGGGTGGACAAAATTTTACATGAATATTTGTAGAAATAATGTCTTTTTTTCTTCAAATGAGATCTAACAATTCTGAAATTTCTGTCATACTGTTTAAACGAGTGCTTTCGTACTTTTTTATTCGTTCGGAAATTTTTGTCAAGATTAGAATTTTGCCCACTCATGGTTCAGTCATCGCGTCGTCGCGTCATCATGACAATGACAACACAGGGTATCTGTATGAATTTTTTATAATAAAAGAATATAGAGAATGGCAAATTCTTTAGACATCTTTTTTTACCTACGTAAGTATTATACAATACTTATTATTTTTTAGGTATATCCTGATGGAATACGTCATATACGTGCAGATAAACGTGTAAACGAATGGAAAGCACCTGGTAAAAAGACTATAGTCAAATGTGCAGTGAATCAACGTCAGGTTGTGATTGCCCTTACTGGAGGAGAATTGGTATACTTCGAAATGGACCCTGTATGTGTATACACTTTTTTTCCTATAATTAATTCGTAGGTGTTTATATAGCATCAATTGTTCTCTCTTCGATGATATTTATTCTCAGAGATGTAAGAGATGCATAAAGTATATTGCTTCTTCATCTTACGTTGTTGGCTATTAATTAGCCAAGGTGGATGAAAAGTGAACATTTCGATAAAAATTCGTATAGATTTAATAACGTTGGTCATTTTGTACATCGTAGACTGGACAATTGAACGAGTATACGGAACGAAAGAAAATGCCATCGGAAGTGATGTGTATGGCTCTTGGTAACGTGGCGATCGGAGAACAAAGATCATGGTTTCTGGCTGTTGGTCTTCAGGATAACACAGTGAGGATCATTTCGTTGGATCCGTCCGATTGTTTAGCACCCAGGAGCATGCAAGCTTTACCGGCAGCTGCGGAAAGTTTATGTATCGTTGAAATGGGTGCTAAAGACGCAAACAGTTCGGAAGAAATGTTACCTCAACAATCCAGTCTATATTTAAATATAGGTAAGTGAAGTTGAGACTAACGTAACGAATATAAGAAAGTTTAAATGGTAAATTATACAAACAACTTCGAGATATCGCAATAACAAGGAATCTTCATTTTTCCCCGTTTAGGCTTGCAAAATGGCGTTTTATTGAGAACAGTGTTAGACCCAATATCCGGCGATCTCGCAGACACGCGTACACGGTATTTAGGATCGCGTCCAGTTAAACTATTCAGAATAAAAATGCAAGGGAACCAAGCTGTGCTCGCAATGAGCAGTAGATCCTGGCTAAGTTATTACTATCAGAATCGTTTCCATTTAACGCCGTTATCATACGAGAGTTTGGAATTTGCATCGGGCTTCAGCTCCGAGCAGTGTCCTGAAGGAATTGTCGCCATTTCGACGAACACGCTCAGAATTCTTGCTCTCGAAAAACTGGGAGCTGTGTTCAATCAAATCAGTTTTCCGCTTGAGTACACACCCAGGAAGTTTGCGATTCACTCGGACTCCGCACATTTGATTGTCATCGAAACGGAGCATAACGCGTACACAGAAGAAACGAAGCAGCAGAGAAGGTTACAGATGGCTGAGGAAATGCAAGAGGCTGCAGGCGCTGAGGAGGCTGTAGTAGCAAGAGAATTGGCGGAAGCTTTCTTGTCAGAAGAACCCAATGAGTCGGTGTTCGGCGCACCAAGGGCTGGACCTGGTTTATGGGCATCATTGATAAGAATAATAGCGCCCACAACGGGACAAACATTCGAAGTTCATCGGCTTGAACAAAATTTAGCTGCTTTATGGTAAGAATGCGAAACTTATTATAATTCGAATTGTAATTTTTATTGCGTATCTCTTATTCAAAATTCCTGTTTAAATATAAACGTTGTCCGTTTCTGATGCGAGAAGAGGGAGAAAGGATTTAATTTACATAATTTTGCATTATAGTCTGTGCCTCGTAAAATTTGCTAATCAAGGCGATCAGCTGTTCCTTATAGTTGGTGTTGCGAAGGAATTTCAACTAAATCCTAGAGTTAGCAGCGGAGGCTTTTTATATACATATAAGTAAGTACTCGTTGAAATATATGTCAAAATTATAAGTATATATTTTTTTATCATATGTAAAACGAATATAGCGTATGTAATTCAGACCGGTACAATTTATGTAGTAATTGAAGTATGCATTTTATTTTTTCAAGTATCTTTGTTTGTATAGAGCTTACAGTTTGTTACAATTTCTAGAATCACCCTGTTTGTGGAGTTGAGCAAATAAAAATTTTAGATTCATTCGCGAACTAACTTCCGTTTATATTTCATTCATAAATCTAAAATTTGCCCAACTCTGTGTATGCTAAAATATGTATTTAAATATTGACAAAAAGGAACTATGTGATGACAATTATACACAATCACTGTATTATTATTTGATGATATTCCTGCAGTACTGATACAACGTTTACGTTAAAATTTATTATTTAAGAAAAGAAGAATAGGTATGAACGCAAAAGTCTTTTCTTTTTTAGGGTAAATGCTGAATGTACCAGCCTCGAATTAATTCATAAAACCACTTTGGATGAAGTACCGTTGGCGATATGCCCTTATCAAGGAAGAGTATTGGTCGGCGTTGGCAGAATGTTGCGCTTGTACGATATGGGCAAAAAAAAATTGTTGCGAAAGTGTGAAAATAAGCATATTCCTAATGCGGTTGTTTCCATCAATGCGATTGGACAACGAATTTACGTGAGCGACGTCCAGGAATCAGTGTATGCCGTGAGATACAAACGACAAGAGAATCAACTTATAGTATTCGCCGATGATACGCATCCAAGATGGATTACAACAACGTGTGTACTGGATTATGACACTGTTGCCACTGCTGACAAGTTTGGAAATATTGCTGTCGTAAGTAATACTCTTTGTTAAGTCTTAAGATTCAAATCCAATCAATTAAATGAGGTTTTGTAGTGATACACAGTGAGTCGCGAAAATATTCAAATACTTGCTATTAAAATTTTAAACAACGAAAATCCGGAAGCAAATTTGTGTTACATTCTTATTGGCAAAAGTTTAAGACTATGCATAAAAAGAGAATTTTTAATGAAAAAAATATATAAAACTTTTATATCGAAAATGATTGAAATTACGAAAGAGTTCAATAAAAGTTTAATGGATACATATCATGTATTTGCATATTCAGTCAAGAGATTATTTTTAATCAAAATAATACTTTGCTAAAAATTGCTATTATGCATCGTTTAGAAGATAATCGGCATCTTGTGCACCCTGTCATTCAAATCTCGAGTAAGAACCATCTTATGTCATTTCTTGATTGAACCATGTAAATAATTAGTGTCATAAAAGTTTCTCTGTATCCACTTGCCCCACTTGTCCCTGTTTCAACTTACTTTAGTCTTCCCTACCCTTTGCTTCGAGTATGCGTATTCATCATTTGGACGTGAGATGTACAAATGTTTAATTTCCATTTACAGATACGGTTGGCAAGTGGAATTAATGATGACGTAGACGAGGATCCAACTGGGAACAAGGCGTTGTGGGACAGAGGTTTATTGAACGGTGCTAGTCAGAAGGCGGACACGGTCGCGTGTTTCCACGTCGGTGAAACGGTTATGTCCTTACAGAAAGCGACTCTCATCCCCGGGGGTTCTGAAAGTTTAGTTTACACGACCCTAAGTGGAACGGTGGGGGTTCTTGTTCCTTTCACGAGTCACGAAGATCACGATTTCTTCCAACATTTGGAAATGCACATGCGGTCCGAGCATCCACCACTTTGCGGAAGGGATCATTTATCGTTTAGATCGTATTATTATCCTGTAAAAAATGTCATTGACGGCGATCTTTGCGAGCAGTTCAATTCGATAGAGCCGACAAAACAGAAGAGTATATCCGGCGATCTTGAACGAACACCATCCGAAGTGTCGAAGAAACTGGAGGATATTCGTACGCGTTATGCATTTTAAATTTCTACGTATGTATTTATTATCAATTCATTACAAGTTACATTTAAAGTGTTTACATTCCGTGTTCATCTTTTCATCATCTCTTCTTTTTACGATAAATAAACTCGCGTGATGTAGGTTGCTCGGAGAAAAGTTGTTCGAAACATTTGACACGCGTGGGTCAGAATGGGTTTGACATACGGTTACTAGCTTTAATATTCGGATATTACAATACTTTTAAATTCAAAAAAAGCAAGCGAGTGAATATTTTAATAATTCAGAAAAATATAAAGCATTAAATTTAAAAGTATTGCAGTGTCCGAATATTAAAGCGAGTAGCTGTACGTGTTCACTCAGTTTGCAACAAATGTTGTCAACGATGGTATTTAAAAACGAAGGTAGAATATTTATTGGTATGAAAATGTAATCATTTTTGTTTTGGACGTCGAATGATATTTCATTCGATTCACACTTAGAGGCGTATAGAGTAAACTCGTTAAATTTTGTATAGCACCGAATGTGATCGTAGATAAAATCTTTCTAATTTAAATTTAAAAAACAAAAAAAAAATTCATTACTAATAAGCAAATGTATTTTTAAATTACCTCGGACCGTGTACATTTTTACATCGTATCATTAATGTTACATCATTTTCATGGAAATGTAAAAAAATTGTGATTTTCAAATAGTATAAGATTACTATATCTATAACATTATGCTACAAACTTCGTGATACGATTTGTGTATGCGTCGACGAAACTGTAAAGTGATGCAATATTGAAAAATACACATGTTTTCGATAACGAAATTTGATATTTTAAAAACACCATCCTTCAAAATGTTTGAAAATTGTGTGCACGCCGCGGTATATTATCATCGAGCAATTTTGTTCCCTTTTATAGTTTATCCTTGTTACAGTTTACGATGCATTGGTAAGCAAAAAGCTATAAGTAAGCTGCGATGTACAGTTGAGAAAAAATAGAAAACTTTTTAGCGACCTATTTTAATGTTATAAATACAACATGCATGCAAAGTACACTGTCCTCGCTACGTGCAATAATCCTGGACTAAAATTAACCCATTGACATACGATTATAAATAATTTTTCAAATATATATATTTGAGTTTGTTTAAATTTGTTCATACATATAATACTCACAGCAAAAAAATGGATTTGTTTTACGAATACCTTGCAAATGTGAAAATGTGTTGATTTTAATATGTTAAGTTTTGTGGCGAGGAGTGTAGTCTCGTCGTTGTGAGACTTGATACAAATTTGTAACGAGTCAAGACTCATCAACAAAGGGATGAAATATAGTTTTCTTATTTTCTTATTTTGATTATGAAATAATAAGTAAATATAAAAATTAAAAGACGTAAAATATGTTACAAAAGGGGAAATCATAATTGACATCAGGACATAAGACATTTGTCGTACAAAAACTGTTTTAGCAAACGTAGACAAATAAAATAGTGTTTTTTCGGATCAAATTAAGCATATTTTACCCTTTTTAAAAATAAACGCACGTATAGCTTCTATGCGTTATTTGTCTCATTTTTTGCTTGAATATTCTGCGATCTCGTTTCTTCCCTACTCTGGTTCTGCCCTAGCTTGTGTGCATCCCTTTCGACCTACAATTGATCCCCAATAGCGGCAAACGTTGTAGCTCGCGTTTTTCTCGTGAAGCTTCGAGGCGCGAAGTTAATCCGCGTGCCGAAGCGTATCGAGGGTATAATACAACGTTATTACCCTCGTTTAACCTTCAAACAAATAAGTAGGGTATACGAGAACTTTAAACGCATTATTCAAAAACAAGAATGCGTAAAAACCACCGTAAACAAACTGTACCCTTTTAATCTTTTAATTTTTTTAAAGCAAATTGCTAGACAAAAGAAATTCGAAACATTATTATTCTGTGTTTAGAATGTTACTAACATCAAGTAATAGATTCAGACACATTTTCATTTTGAAAAAAGTAAGGGCCAGTGATTCCACCAGCCAAAAATCACTACACAGTAACTTTTTGTGGATACAAGGGTCGTTCGACTATCGACTGAAGTTTAATATTTGTACAAATTAAACATCTCGCTTATTGGCAAAGCCATTCGTCCAAAAGTGAGCTTCATTTTTTCGTAAAAATCAGGATCAAAGCACGATCAGCAAATTCGTGACTAATACGATGATCAGCAGCCTTTAAAGTATGTATTATTCTCTGACGAGAGTAAATTTAACGTTTTTGGTAGCAACGAACGTAAAAATGTTTGGAGGAAACGAATACACAACTAGAACTACGATATCTACGACCAACTATAAAACATAATGGTGGATCGATATTAGTTTATTTACATAATGTAAATATTTGCTGTTCTTAACGGTCAGATCAGATGTTGATTGTCTTTTCAAAATATTTACGACATACATTTATGCTATATAAATTCGGAACCGTTTCAGACGGAATCGTAACGGTTATAGAATCTATACGAGAACCGATGCAAGAACTTTATCTTAAACCGATATAGTTCGACTTTTAGGTTCTTCGTAACAGTTATTCAGAACAGAAGTTCTTCGTAACAGTTTCGACCAGAACTTTCGACTAGAACGGTTTGAAACAATTATTTTCAGAACCGTTTTAAGTACAGTTTTCAACCCTTGGTTGCAACACGTAATGAGATTCGAAGTAATGCGAAGCGATTCTAAGTCCTACCATTTACTCGCGACGAATTCGGGTATCGTGATCGGTAGTTACGTCACTGCGGTATACGTAGCATGCTTTAGGGCGTCGAAACAGGGAAAGAGAGTGAGAGAGAGAGAGAAGGACCGAATGCCGATCGATGCATTGAGGCGCCAGGTCCTGAGCTCAGCCCCGTTTCGTTCCATCACCCTTACCCCAGTATATGCCTTGCAGCGAAGCTGCCCTCCGGGCTTTTCTCTTTACTGTGCAGTTGCGCATCAACCTCTTGACGGTGTAGAGCTGCGTGTTGTTCGGTCACTGGACTCTCAACCTCGTAGGAACGTTGCCTCGTACTTGTTTCCGTCGTCGGCGTGAAACGAACCGCTGCAGGGTGTATATTCCGTTTATATTCATACACGTTCTTATTCCTGTGCGTATCCATCAATTCGTGACTCGATCGGTGACGGGTGTCGATCATCGAATGTCATTCGTTATCATAATTATGTCGCCTGTCGTTACCGCCATCGGACATCATTTCGATGTGTTTGAACCACTTTCAAGACGCATAATCCTTCGAGCGTAAAGCTTTGAAATATTCCGTGTCATCGATTCGAGCTACCGTTCTCGGGCTTGTGTTGTGATGTTCGATTCACTGACAGACGATTATGGTAAATCATACTCACGTATCGTCGCAAAATTATCGTATGTGTGTTTTGAAGATTGATGCTCTTTTGACGTATACATCCGGGGATCTTGCACGGCTGAGTAATATTGAATTTCGAGGGTTGTCAATCGGGATTCACGGGTTACATTGTATTATACGAAACGAATAATCCCGAAATGATCGACGGATTGTATGTCATTGGATTTTTATGTATTATTAATTATAATTTAATCGTTATCTAAAAGCATTGCGTTTTGTACGACGCAGGCCGTTAGCAATTACGCGTCACGTGTCGGAATTAAGAGAAAAGGTGCTATTCGAATTAATTACATGAGAGCAATAAATGCGTTCAATAGGCTTGTCGATCGTGCTTTAAATTATTAAAGGGCTAGTAGTGAACTCTGAACTATCACTTCTTAGAATAAAATTAGATTCGCGTAGCTTTGAAATATGAGATTCTGCGCGATGGTGAATATAAATTAGTATGATAATTGCGATCTAGATTTGATTTTATCTCACAGAGTAGCATTTACGTATGATTCAATTTGCTGGATTTTCTCTTAATAGAACGTTCGTGACCGAATGTGTACGAAATGGGTGTGAATGTATGTGGACAGCAATTACATCCTCCTTTATTTTTTGTACGACTCTCGATGTTTAATTGAAAATTTGTCGATATACTCATTCGTAAACAGTGATCGTAAAATTGGATGCATTAAAATGAAAACCTTTTTGACGCGTGCCGAGTAGCTGTATCGTGTAAATACACATACAATAAAGAGGTAATCAAGTACCATCTCGTGAATTGAAACGCATTGTTCGCCGGTACCCATACATCGACGACTTTTCGCTTTTCATTGGCGCGCAGAAATGTTTGATTTATTCTCTCCACCTACTTCGAAGAACAGTTCATTCCGCTTTTTACGAGACATCATCGTACAATGATAATAAAACAGATTTGTTTCTCTATACGTTCGATTAACATTATTTGTGAATATTTATATTTAACATTTCTCAATAATATAATATACATTTTATTTTTTAAATACCTTTCGTAGTTCTATAATAAGAGAATTAGATAAGCAAGTTACAGTTAATTCTTTAAAAACTGATTAATGTGTTTGTTTTATAGGAGATAGCTGATGCTGGAGGTGGTTTTAAACAGTTTCAAGTGACTGCTTTGATTCTGTCGATATTACTTCTTGGATGGGCAGACCATGTGGCAGGTGGTGATTGCAGTCTGGCAGAGTTAACTTGCAGGGATGGACATTGCGTACCGATAGATGCATTTTGTAATGGACAAAATGATTGTGGAGATAGTAGCGACGAACCAGCAATGTGTACACCCTGTAATCGTACTTATCATGGGCGAGAAGGGCACACATACAAGTTGGATCTTCCAAGGCCTGCAGAGGAACGATTACCTTTCCTCTGTCATTTAACGTTCACCGCTGCTGGTCAGGGGTATGGAGAACTGGTACAACTTTTATGGGATGCATTTAGCGTGGGTAGTGTAGATCCAAATACTGACAGTTTTGTCACAAGCTGCCCTGAAGGATCGTTGCAGTTAGCAGAATTAGGTAGACACTTTACCGGTGGTTCGTGGTGTGGAGCTGGAGAAGGAAAAGCTTCTTATTATAGTGAAACTAGTACTGTCACAGCGTCTATACGACTGTTTCATGCCCCTTCCTTTGTACCATTTGACTTCCGTTTACGATATAAGTTTGTGGCACGCAATGAAGCAGTCGCTAGATTAGGGAAACCAGATCTTCCAATTGAACGGGGCTCTTCAGAGCCAGGTACATACTGCTCTAGAAACTTTCATGAATGTCACTTGAAACAGTGCAGATTACAGAGCCCAAATTACCCTGGAGAATATCCGAGAAATGCGAGCTGCCTGATCACTATAAGGCAAAAGGAGGTGCCCACGTGCAAGCATGCCATGATTTCCGTAAAATCTACACCGGCTGGTCCAGCTGGAATAACTACCACTAATAGTACTTTAAGCGTATGGCAAGATTGCCCTCCGGAAAAAGATCGTCTCATCTTCCACGATGGTGACCGCCCAGAGGATCCAATTTTGTTGATTTACTGTGGAGGGCCTTTACCACAGATCACTGCCAGAGGTCCAACGATGCAGGTGGAGTTTCGAAGTTCACCGATAGCCATTCCTCTCGGTGCTTCTGCTTTACGACTCGAGTTAGAAATTCAAGTAGTTTACGTCGATTCCGACGGGCTCGATTACGCTAAAGAGCCGCAAGGCTGCCACTTTTTTGTAAATGGTACTAATAAAAGGAGTGGTATATTACGAGCACCGCTTCACGCACTGCCACCGAATTCCAGCTGCACCTGGAACATTAAAGGATCTTCCGGAGACAGAGTGTGGATTTATTTTTCTTCTTATTCTCAGAGAGATTTAACCGGTAGCGTTGAAAATAATGCTAGCTCACAGTCGGATGTACCGTGCGCGGTGAAATTAATTTTTTGGGACGGTACAACGACTACTGGATTCCCAATGGCGACGCTCTGCGACGATACACCCAAGTTATGCGCTCACGCAGCTTTAAGAAACGTTACCAGAAGTACAAGACCGTGTAAAGAAGAAGAAAGTTACATTACGGTAGCACCATCTTTAACTTTGCGCATGGAAACGATGTTGGGCACTGCTCTTCACACTGTTAATTTCAATGTAAGCTAATTTCGAGATATATTATTCTGTTATAATACGAATAGTATGAAATATAAAAAAAATATATAATTATATAAACAAAAAATAATTTTATAGATTCAACATTTAAAATTATAATTCTTGATAAAATTAAATTAAATAAAATTAAAAAAATAATTAATTCATTTAATTCTAATATTCAATAAGTAAGCATGATTTAACGGATTTCGGATTTAATCAATAGAATTCTAGGGTCCTATATAGGTATGTCTTGATGAAAAATTGGGATCAGTAGACATCATTCAGGGAGACTCAGAACTAGCGATAGGATTTGGAACTTTTCTAATTATTTCAAATCTATAAAATGACTACAGAGCATTTTACATAAGTAAATGTGTTTATAGATTCATAAAGCTTTACATTAATTTTTCTTTCCAAAAATTTATTTAATGCACTCCAATAGCTGTTTAATTAAGTAATATACATACAAAGGAAAAAGTTGTTTGAAACTTTGTATTTGTCCACAATAACATGTCCAAAAATCATCGAAATTGGCGGATAGGCCAAACTTCTAAACAATTACCTTTAATCGTATTGTGAAACATCGTTACAGGCACAATACGAATTTATCTCAACCATTCAAGTTGGCGAACCTTGGGGCGACGGTGTGTGCAGCAGGGTTTGGCGTAAAGTTCGCAGTGGTGAAGTCACGACGCCACGTGATGTTCGCCTGTTTGGTCGAGGTGGATCCTCGAAATTAGAATGCAAATATCGAATCGAGGCTGGCGCGGACGAAAGAGTAAGACTGACGTTGCACAACGTCAGTTTGGGCGAGTCAACCATTTGCACGAGCGAACCGGATCCTCATACCGGCCGACCACGTTGTGTTCAGGAAGTGGGTTCCAGAGAGGCTCGTTTAGTTTTATACGAAGCGCCTTGGCGGGACGTGAGACTTCCAAGAGCTTGTTTATGTGATAATACGTCGCATCTTCCATTGACGCACATTTCTTCGAGCAAAGCTCTGGAAATTACATTCTTGGTCGATCAACAAGCTCCGTACGAAGATTTCGAGACGCTTTTCTTTTATGCCAGTTTCGAGCTTGTTCGGGCACCCGAGTGTCCCAGGAAACAAAGAGTACGCGGAGAAGGTGATTACACTATTATACCTGTGCAGGATTAACCCTTTGACAGACAAATAAAACGTAATTTGATGTGACTCGAAAGTACTAGTTAATTCGGCTTGACAGAACAATTAGATAAACTTATTGTTAGAAACAGAGCAGACTATTTATATTTACAACCCGGATTTAATAAATTAATGCACGTCATTGTATGCCAAGGGGTTAATTTCGTCCACGATAATTATTTACTATAAAAAATGTTTAAAGGTGGTGAACTACGATTCGTTGCGCCGCCGTTGTCAAGGCCGGACATTTATTGCGAGGGTCTCCCCTGGCTGGTAGAGGCTCGCGGGAACAGGTCACTGTTCGTGTTAACTTGGGGTTGGTTTCTTCCTCTTGAGCCATTGCCTGTATCAGAAGTGAACGAACAAGTGAAATGCCCGACGAGCAACAGAATCCTTCTTTACTCCGGTTGGCCACCGAAGCTCTTGAAGGTCGTGTGCCCCGCAGAGCCAGGAGCAAGGGAGTTCACTGTTCACGTGTTCTCGGAAGAGTGGTTGGTAGGAGCCGACGAAGGTAAATGGCCAGGTCCACCGCGACCGCCGGCGCTTTTGTTAGATTTCGTCGCGAGGGAATCCGGTCAGGCTGCAGCCTCCTGGCTCGAAATCTCGAAAAGCAGAGCCGCGCTTCGTAGACAGCTACGCTTACCCGAGAGAGGAATAGAAAATGAAACAACGAGTCACGGAGACTGTCCTCATAAATGCCCTGAACTGAGTGCTTGTATTGCCGCGAGTCTTTGGTGCGATGGAAGAGCGCACTGTCCATCCGGACACGACGAAGCTAGTTGCGGTAACGGTGCAAAATTACTCGGACTACTTCCTTCGGAGATGTGGCTTGTACTGGCAGGCGTTGCTGCGATTATCGCTGCCTTCGCGTGTTTTTTCGCCGTGCTCATTAACAGGTAGAATTATCATAAACAAAAATCAGCGACATCTTACAATATAATGATGCTTTCGAGTAATGACCGCGTACAACTTTATTTTCTAGGTCGAAAACGCGCACAAAAGGACTTCATTATAAAGGTACAAAGAAAAGCAATAGACCGAGACACACGCCAACGGGAGAGACACTTCTTGGAGCGGCATCCTGACAACAACAACCCGGTTTCGTGGAATATATCCATGTGGACCGGGAAACAACAGTTTAGCAATATTTGTCTATGCTTCACCGTCCACTAACTTAACACTATCCCCAGGTACCATAATGCAATTTCACGTATTTTCTTTTCTAGTCGTTGGTAACTATATTCGTTTAGTCATCCTTATCTTTTAAACGCTGCTATGACTGTATACCTAGCCAGAGTTCATACTAATTAGTAGCAATGCACTAAGGAGGGCCACAAGATATATCCGTGTTTTTGTTCCCTCGAACTATTTAAAATTTGCCCATCTATAACGGTAGCAATATTTTTATCCATATTCTATTCTCTTATACAGGATGTATCTTAACGTGTGGGACCCACTTAAGTGGTTACATTGTAATTACATAATTTAGTTTACCGGTATTTTATAAACCAAAGAGAACAGTAAGTGCAAATGATATAATATACAGGTATACATCTATAATTTAAAAAATATCACACACATTGCTCAAAGAACATTGTAACTGCCAAAAAATATTTTAAGTTCCATTAGCAAACTGTGAAGTTTCTAGCAGCGATTGAAATGGATAATAGACAAAGTATTGTGAATGTAAAGGAATGACATTTTTATATTTTAAACTAAAAATATTTTTAATTGAAAAGAATTAAAATTGTTTACATAATTATAGGCATATTTTATCAACGAAGCCAAAGGTTAATTTTAATATATCTTGAAAGCTTGATAAATTCACTAATATTGTATCTTGGCGTTGGCAGTGCTGATGCGTTATTTTCCTTTTACTAAGCGTAGAAGATTACATAAATATATACATTTAAGGGAACAATTGTAGGCGAAGTTCCAGCGCACAAGAAATTGACAGAAAAATGAAGAAAACAAAAAAAATTAGTTGAAATTTATGGTACAATATTATATAACAGTGTTTTCCTCGTTTTTATAATGAGCCGCGGACACAAGACAATATTTTTTTTAATTTTCAAATACCATTTTAGAAATTATCGTTTCATAAACATTCTTTCATTACGTATGTATATCTACTTTGCACACAAACTTCTTTGATTCGCAGTAATATATAACAAATAGCGAAAATATATTCTTATTATCTAAGTACAATCGAAAAGTTGTCGATCTAATTAAAATATAGAATAGAGAAGTGTAGTAAAACACTTCTGCAAATATTCTAAAAATTACGTATAAAATCGCTGTTATATTATATTTAGTACTATAGTTTATAGTTGCACTTAAAAAGAAATAGAATCAACATAGCTGTGACACAAAGTGATGGGAGATTATAAAGCACTCGGTAATATTAGAGGATTGTTGAAGTTAATTGTTGTCAAATGAACAACTCATACATATTATTCGAACGAGGATGGATACATTTGCCTACTAGGTTGTTTAAAATTAGACGATTCATACTTAAACGATCCATTGTCATTAAATATTTTAAGCGGAAATTTACTCTTAGAAGCACGAATTACAATCCACAGAAATAAATCAAACATAGTTTTTAACTCGACTATCGTGTATCATCGTACATGAATCACAAGTTAAGGGATATTCTTTAAGTACCACTATAAGGACTGAAAGTAAATTACAAGATGCAGTAAGACTAAGTGAAAAACAAAATATATCGTAAGTGCTATTTGAAAATTTACATTAAAATATATTATATACTTAGTTTTTAGAAAATATACAAATTAGAACGTTCGGTATCTGAAATTCAAAGTCTGTTTCACGTAGCGCGTTAATTCCTTGTAAACAAATTTGCGAAAACTTGCAGTATTAAAATTAATTTACAATCTATTCACATGATAAAAAAAAGAAAAAAGACAAAACTGCACGCAACAATAAATTTACTGTAAGAAGTATAGAACGCTAAGATATTAAATCTGTATCACTGTCATTATTTTGCTCTTTACTGTAAACGCAATGGCTATTTTAATTGTCGCAAAAGACCGTCTCTTTTAGAATTATAAAACGGAGTACGAATCGTGCAAGTTTCTTTGAAAGAAAACCTAACAATTGAATACAAAGAATCATATTTCTATTTCTTTTTTGAATATCGATAATTTGCAAGGAATCTTACAATGTGAAATGGATTTATTAAGATAAACATTCGTGTACATAATACATACTGTATGAGAACTGAATACATATACCACGGTCCGCTTAAAATATTTTTAACTCTAATATCTGAAGGTATTATTCACGACATTATGTTTCTATGCGTATACAATTTTTAAGATTTAAATTGAAAACTGTTGATATCTTACTCTTCGTCGATGCGATCGAAAGAGATGTTTAACATGAAGAGAAAGAAGAAAACTAACGATTAATATATTCGAAATATTTTTTGCTCAATCGACGAGGGATCGAGCTGTTCACAGTTTTAAACTTTAAATCAGAGATACTGTATACATGTATGTATGTACATACATGTACAAAATGTTATGTAAGAATTGAATAATATTTTTCAAAACGTTGTGCACCAAAAAATGTTTGTACATTGGGGCAAAAAGTAAATTATTCTCTCAAATATATATACACATATATACATACGGAAGTTTGTCTGTTTTAATTACATTTTTCAAATAATTTATACCGTTGAATAATTTTTAATAAAGAAAGAGATACGTACTTCTTATACGTATATTGTTTATTAGTTTATACGTGATACGTATAAGTGTACAATATTTTGAAAAATAATTCTTATTTTTAGAATTAAACCTTAAGTATAGATACATAAATCATTATATTCGATATTTTTGTTAATCGATCTGTGATTTTCATTTCGTCGTATGGAAATAAGGTGACATGTTCTCGTTTAATATAGGCTGTGTTATTTTTATCGTTGTGCTCGGAATATTCGGATATCCGAGTGCTCTCGGATCGTTGCAGGCCGTATAGCTCAATATGTAGTAAGTATTAGAGAAATCTTTGTAGAGGATTCGACAGATAGCGCGTCCGTTCCTCTAAACTATTCTAATCCAAGACGTATTGATTTAAAGTTTTGAGAAAAAGTACATTTTACGGAGAGCAAAAGTATACTTATTAGAATCTACTTTAGTAACGAATTTACTGAAAAAGAAAATGAAAAAAAAAGGAAAGAAAAAGGAGCAGACGAACGATCTAAATATTATACACGTACATAGGATATATACATATTCAAAGACTTGTACTCAGAATGTGTACGTATTCGTTTAAAGTTTGTAGAGTACAGACACGATTTATCTGTATCAAGGAGTTCGCTCTCGAAACGGAGTACAGAAACTTATTGCCTTTTACGACATAAGTGCGATATAAGATCGCATATAATCTCATTTAGAAGTAAAGAGGAATATTATCGATTACTTGATCATAGAAATAGTTGCCCAAACAATGTAGAGAAAATTATAATTTTCATCGTACATATTTCTGAAACGTCTACTTTTCTTTTTAGATTCTGCGTGACTATTGATAAACTATGTGCACAATAGTTTATTTCGTCGCGAAATTTTCTTTTTATCCGAATAAATATAAAATTAATAGGAATTCGAAGATGTTCGGAGTACACCGCTTTATTGATTTATTTGCATACATGCTTCGGCATTTGTTATATTTACTTGAACAGTCTCGCAGAGTGATTCGCAATTGATGTTAGTACTGTTATTTTCGATCACAGAAGCGAGGAATCTAGGGTCAGAGAGTGAATAATTTTTCATTTTCGTCGAACATACATTTGTATTGATACTTTCAATTTAAAATAAATATAACGAATCTGAAGTTCTTTTATTGTTAGTCGAAGAACCGATCATGTATTATTACGATTAGTTGTTTTCTTCCTTAGTCTAGCACTTTTATTCCCAAACATGATTATTATCTTTTTTAAATACATTTTTCGCGTGTCTAAAAACAAAATTTTGAATTCGTAGAAAATTTTACAGGTTTGATCTAGCAGTCAACGTGTCAAAGAGAACTCTGTACGATAATATCCGTCGTGTCCGTTTCGATGGAGCACTGTCTGGTCAAGTCGAGGCTTCGTTGTTCTGTATTCTTTGCTGAAAAAGCCTTTTCTGCCTGCTCGTAAAGAGTCTGTGCCATTGTCACTCCCGTATTTTCCACCATCTGCGAGAAAATCCCCTTGGGTCTGTCGCGCAGCAATGTGTAAGGACAACCGAACTCCTGTCGTAAATAAATGACATATCGTGGTTGAATCCTATAAACTGATTGAAAGTAAACTCGTGGTAGCAACGAAACATACCATGACGCGTCCAGCATCCATTACTATGATCCTGTCGCTGTCGATGATAGTGTTTAAACGATGAGCAATAGTTATGACAGTGCAGTTTGCGAATCTCGTACGTATCGTTCTCTGAATCAAGGCGTCCGTACTGGAACAAAAAAACGCATATTATTATTTACTCCGAATAAGATGAAACCCATAAATTTACATATTGAGACTGTAAAGTATCGTTAGATGCTATTGTGGGGTCTTGTGGAAGAGGTGAGGAGCGTATATGTATACAAACGGAAGGTCGGTCGAGTGTGTGCGAGAGGAACGATCCATCTCGAATGGACCCCACACTGTTAATTTACAGTAGGAAATACTACAGCAAGTGTTAGGTAAGTAATTTCTAATATTTCCAATATAATTCAGTAGTTTCCAATTGACTAAAAATAAAATGTTTACAGTTGCGTGGGAGACTCTGCACAAGAAGATTGGATAATTATACAGATAAGGAGATTAAACACCATTGACCTTAACCATCGCATATATTATCAAGAACATTCTGCTGAGTAACATTCAAGGACGAAACCGGTAATTATTTGATAGAAAAATGAAATAAGAATTACTGGGAGTCGATATTTGCTGTGGCTTCGTCCAGAACGAGGATCCGGTTGTTTCTCAGGATCGCCCTGGCCAAGCATATCAATTGTCTCTGACCGATGCTCAGGTTGCTACCGCTGTACATCACCTTCTGATCCAGAACGAGATCGTTCAGCTCTACCTGGTGAAGACTGTCCCACAGCAGCATGTCATTGTAGCTGTTCAACGGGTCCAAATTGTAACGCAGAGACTCGGAGAAGAGAAACGGTTGCTGAGGGATAATCGATATCCGCGAGCGTAGTTCGTGCAGACCCAGCGTGCTGGTGTTCGTTCCATCGATCGAGATCTCGCCCTCCAATCCCTCGTTGAACAAACGAAAGAATGCCGATATCAGAGACGATTTGCCAGCCCCAGTTCTGCCTACTACGCCGACCTTCCATCCTGCCTCTATCGTGACGTTCAGATTCTGTGGAAGAAGAGCAAATGTAGCTGTACAGTTCGAATAAATAAAAAATAATCAAAAAATACCTTCAAAACAGGAGGCTCGTCTGTCTCGTACTTCATGCTGACGTTTTTCAGGCTCACGCGACCGTGTTCCGGCCAATCGGATGGCGGAGGATTATCGCTCTCCCACGATCCTTCGCTGGGCAGCCGGGTGTACTGCATGATTCTCTCCACTGACGTTATCTGCGACACCATCTCGCCGCTTTGCCTCACTCCGTATTGCAGAGTACCAATTATGATTAACGACTGCGATATAGCAAGTCCAACGTACCCTCCAAGCGTGTCACCTACGTACGGTAGCGTTTTGTTAACATCAATACGTTCATTGCGAGATGGAAGAATGTGTTTTTTAAAGCGATCTATCATATAAAGGTATACCATTGGCTCTAGTCTCGTTTACCTGTATCCAGTAGGATAAAAGAGAAACAGATGCACGCGACGAAGAAGCAGGCAATTATGTCCAAGTACAAACCAAACGTAACGTGTGTGACTATCGTCATGTACCATGCACCGGTGTGCACATTTTGCAGAACGTCGAATTGCTTCTGCAATAGCTTCGCAATTTCGGGTCCGCTTGTTCTGATGGTCGTCAAGCCACTCAGCGTAGCGTTTATATGCGAGAATACAGGACTCTTTGCTAAAATTTTATTTGACAATGATGTCACTTTCCACATGTATATTCAATTTACACAACGACTGTCTACTTGCCTACGCCCTCGAGACGCTTGATACTCTGCGCTGTTCTCAGATACAATAATCCCATGAAGTAGAACAGGATACCCAGGATTGCTAGTGGAATGATCATCCAATGATTCATGATCATCACCATAATAAGGACACCTATGATTACGAGGAATATTTGAACCGCTTCCAATATTGCTCTTGGCAGTTGTTCATCCATAGCTCCCACGTCCTTTGAGAATCTGTTCAAAATCCTACCTGTATAGACAAACGTACAATAAACTCAGTAATATGGCAATTCTGTTTTCAGCTTGCAAGAATGTTTACCGGAAGGGTTGCTATGGAAGAAGGACAACGTCGTCTGCAACACATTTGAAAACATCTTGTTGTGAAGATTTTGGTTGGCGATCGTGCAGACCTTCATAAAGAAGATGTTCCTTGCGAATACGGTCATGATACAGGAAAGCATACAAAATGCGTAAATGTATATGGCGTTGGAAGTGGTTAAGAGGCCATATTTGTCAAATGAAACGATGCTCGATAAGAACGTGTTGTTGAACATGTAACTGTTTTGATAGATCAGCGTTTGCGAACCATTTGTTACGGATCTCCTTACGACTTCTAGGTTCGTCCAATACGAGACCCAGTAATCATTGCCACTGGTGGCTGCTTGGGACACAATGAACACGAGTACCAACGCAAACAATGCGAAATAAGAACCGCCGTGGTGGAAATATTCTGTGTACAATTTGGAGAGGCTACCGGTTGCTATCGTCTCTTCCTCTCCGTCCCGCAAGGATGTGCTGTCTTCGTAATTGTAGGATGCCTGAAAACAGTTGTCTCTTTATCGTAGTGTCGGGCAAACATTGTTTCGTTCGTTCGTCGAATTATTCGTTATTCGTAAATTGTTACCATACTACTGGCATTAGACCTTATCGAAAGTCTGCCGCGACAGCTTTTTCTGCTGAGTCTCCTATCCGCGAAGAGCTGGTCATTCGACGAATCTATGATCTCGCTTTGTTTTCTAGCTTCCGTTGTCATTTTAATAAGGTCGATCAAGTCTGCGAAATCACTGTTTGAGTTGGATAGTTCGTCGTAGGATCCTTGCATTTTCACGTAGCCCTTTAAAAAGATGATCCTGATTGGAAGTTTATACAACAAATTGCAATTGGCCTCGATTATTACTTCCGAAGTGCAAATTCTAAAGCCGTAGTCGCACTTTTAACCAAACAATTATCAAAACTCTTACTCGATCCAACACCACGATCATATCAGCCTGTTTGACGAACTGTAACTGGTGGGTGACCAAGATTCTCGTCTTTCCTTGAAGAAACTCCTGAATGCACTTGTCGAAAAGGTGTTTAGCCACGCGCGCGTCCACGGCGCTCAGAGGGTCGTCCAACAAATAAATATCGGCCTGCTTGTACACAGCCCTCGCCAGATTCACTCGAGCTTTTTGTCCCCCAGACAAAGACGATCCACTTTCGCCCACGTTGCTCATGTCGCCGTAAGGCAGTTGTTGGAAATCCTTCGTCAAGGCACATGCTTTCGTCACCTGGAATATGTATCGGTTCCTTCGTTATCCATTTTCTGTATTCTGGTATCGTGGCTAAAAGTCATCCTTCTTAATTCATGTCTGATAAATTATATTCAATGATAACGTTGAACGAAACCGGAAAAAATCTTACAGCGACGTATCTGTCTCTGTTAAACGGTTGACCGAAGAGGATGTTCTCTCTGACGGTCCCAGAGAACAGCCACGGTTCCTGGCTAGCGTAAGAAATCTTCAAATTTGGATTGTCTGCGACGTACCCTTGATTATTCGACCGAACGTTCTCGGATATATTAGATCGCAGGGTCAATCGTCCAGCCCCTACCGTAAGTTCTTTTAAAAGAAGATAAAGAATGGACGACTTGCCCGAACCCACTGTACCCACGAGCGTGCACAATTCCCCGCTACGAATGTGCATCGACACGTGGCACAAAGTTGGTGGCAATTGTTTGGGGATCCAATTCGCGGACACGCGTTCCAGTTCCACGGAAACTGGTGCGCTTTGTTCGTTCTCCTTGGGAGCCGTATTCGACCAACCGTTCGTCATCTTGATGGCCTCCACCTTTTCCATTTCTTTCTCTTTCTTTCGTTTCTTGAATATCAGGGAGCCGTTCGCGTGAGCTGGGACCGGCGGCCATTCCTTCTCCGACTGCTCCTCCAGCAATAAAAATTGCTGAAAGGAAATTGGAATTGGAGGTAATGGTGTTTGCTAGCCTAACCAACAAAGGTCCTATTTGAGGCTGTTTATGAACTATATACATATAACTTGGAAAATTGTTTCAGGGATCTGCGACCGATCGTTGCAATAAGTTTTCAAGCATTAACCTGTATTCTTCTGAGAGACACCATGACTTCTGCGGAAACTATAAAGGCCTGTGGGCAGAAATATGCTATCACTAGTTGAAGCATCTCATAGTACGTTGCTAACATGAACGTCGTATCTGGTTTCAGCTTGTTCCCCATCGACACGTACGACAGAAGGGTGAAGAAGAGGACAGCACGATTAGCGAACACCACGAAGGACAAGTAGGTGGCTCGAACGTACGACCATATACGTATTTTCGCAATCTCGGAAGCTCGTATGTTGGCCAGGATCGTCGCGAATGGTTTCTCCCAGACGTACATTTTGATCACCTTTAATTGTAAGAAATAATTATTTTTCTAATACATTTAATCTGCACGCGTAACAGTTTAAGTTAAAATTTTACAAATTGTCAAGTCGAAACTAATTTTTAGTTAAATAGTATAAAAAGAGAGGATATTCATTCTTTTACATTTATAATTCGTTTCTACCTGTATACCGGCTACAAGCTCGTTCATTAACTGCACCCTCCTGTCTGTCAGTCTAGCGATCATCCCCCGCAGCTTACGGCTAACCCGAACAGAGACTGTATTGACCGGAATTGTCATTACGAGGAGGGCTCCGATACCAACGATGGTTGAAATTCCGATCCTTTGCCACATTATTACGGCAATGATGATAATCTGTAAAATATGTCTTGACGATTTGGAAAATGTTTTCAGTATCGATGCATTTATCGTAGAGACGATTACAAATCGTGTCCGTATACAACTCGGGCGCAAAGCTTCTACCAAAATGTCATTGCTCTTGATTTTAGTACAGATATACGTAAATATAGATAGAATTAAAATGAACATTACTTGGAAGGGTGCGATCCAAACGAAATTCAGATAGTAGCATAGCTCTTCAAATCTGCTCATGTCGTTGCTGAGGAAATTCACGACCTGACCGGATGTAGTTTGAGTTAAGGATCCTCTGCTGAGTCGTAGTATCTGTAACCAAACCGAGTTATAACTATAGATAGTCTAACATAGTCTAACTAGATATGCTTAAAAAGACTACGATGTCGATAATAATTCAGTGTCAACAAAGTTAGCGCTGGGTTTTATGAATTTTCATTATCAAACAAAATTATGTGACTTCATTTAATATGTAATAGCATTTTACCACAATCGACGCTTTACGTCGACATTTCAGGGACTGTCCAAAACGTTTAAAGATTCTTGGTATATCGCTAATGTTGTCAGACGCGGGAAGTCAAGGTCTCCCGATAGAGACTTCGTCAACTCAATATTAGAATAAACCATCCTGATAACACGATATATGTTGTTTTCAATATCAGGATGGCTCGTTCTACTGCGTTATTCACTTCTGGCAGGGAAAAGGGGCCAACTGTGTTTTAGTACTAAAATATATCGACCTTTGAGCGATCACGTAAACATTTTCAATTTGAAAAATATATTAAGCTTATTACTGAAAAAAATGTAAATGTAAAACGCGACAAAAGTTTTGTTGCATAATGTATTTAAAAATTCATACGTTCGAATCGAGTGTACGTACTTTACTGTATATGAGGGAGGAACAAGCGATTCGTAGCCTCATGCCTACTTGCTGTGACATTAGGTCAGCGTGATGCATTATAAACACGATCACCATTATGCAGATCACTAGGCAACCAGCATAAATTAGAGCCTCCGTTTTGGTAGTCGTGTTCGTACCCTCGTCGATTTTGAAGTAACCGATGATCCATGACTGAAGAATCGGTTGCAGAACGGCTAATACCGCGTATTGTAAAAACGTCAACAAACCAACGCGAAAATATTCTGCCCAAAAAGTGCGCAGCATAGCTAGCTCCAATCGGGGAGTATTTTTGCTCGTCGATTTCTTATCGACGTCTTTCGCTCGATCTAATTTCCGCAACTCGAGTAGCCACGATCTACAAAGAAACAGGCCATTAACATTTTTTATTTTTAGTTTATTTAACGTTTTCACTATCGACCTAATTTTTTCTGCTAGATTTATCCTCGCCCATTATTCAACAACGTATTTGTTTTTTTTTACCAGTATTTTTATGGTCAGTGATTTAAAAAATTGTATTTTATATTGAGTTACTGTGACGACAATTTTTAAAATTAAATTTTGTGTGAATCTCGCCCTTAGTAAAGTGGGCGTCGTTCGTTTCACACGGTTACATAACATTTGAGCGCCCATTGTTTCTAATATTCGGATTCGGTTTTCTAATAAATTTTGTATATCCTTGCCTTACTATGCATACATTTATAATTAAATCTGTATCCGTCATCTCATCATCCTTATTTTACGCCAATACTTACCGTGTTAGTCGTTCACCGAGTTTGCCAGATTCATCCGTCGTCAGTGGATGGTAGAGATCGGTTAGTACCAAATTTTTACGAGCACCTTTTCGAAATAGTTCTTTCGTCCATCTAGGATACGATAAAAGTAAAAAACAATTGTTTGGTCATAATTTAACTAAAAGAAAATTAAAATAGTGAAACGAGAATGAAAAATACCCGAAAAATAAACGATTTATTGGATTCGCGGTTTCACGAGGATTCCTTTTCATATACACGTTTTTCGATTCCATTCTCGTGATCAGAAAACTACGATCGGTTGCATCGAAAATGAGAAATATTTCGTTGATGCGCCACCTTAAAAGGTTCTCGTTCTACTGACGCCTATGTTATACTTTTCATATGTACTTATTCCTACTGATAAATACTGCATAATGAACATCCAGAAATAAAGTTCACCTTGAAACGTAGTTAAAATGTCGGTGCAGTTACATGCACAAAACAATTAGTTTTAATTCGTAGCGAATCAAATTGTATGATCAACAATAAATTGTGTGTACAGTATTTATGAAAGCTGTAAAATTTAATTTGAATACGCGTGAAGTAAGCCCTAGCGCTTAAGGTAATATCTCGAGCGTATTTGAAATCTGCGGCAAACACCGACGAGCTGTAATACGACTGCGCGGTCTATGACCAATCAATGCTCGTCTCTCGGAGCGCGCACAGCTTGTTCGAGCCGTACGTGACGTGACGTCGGTGAAATCTGTGACGTTTAGTTCAATTGCGGTCGTCGTAGTGAGAGGGTTTGTCGCAGAGATAGCCAAAATTCTGATTTAGATAAACCATTTCGTGGAATGAATAAAAAATAAAACGCTTCTGATCCGTTTATGTGTTCAATAAATGTGACGATCGAATTATGTTTCGCGTTGAATGAATAACAAGTTATTTGTACAATCGTCTAATCGATTAATAACGTTTCGAACACATCGTTAGACAGAATTTCTATTAGTTAGCTATTATTCCAATAGAATTCTGTCTGAGATTGCTTCCCGAAGTAAATCAACTGAACATTTCATACAAATTACGTAGGAATAATTGGAATTTTGTTACGTGTCGTGTGCTGTTAGTGACACGCCGTACAGTGAAATGATTTCATACAGTGTGATAAGACGTGGAATTGAACTTTGAAAATCAGAGTGAAGAACTTCTCTAGCAAACGTCCAAATTGGTGAGTAACAATTTCGTAAAAAGAATATACATAGTTATTCGTTTTTTTATTTTTCGTAGACACGATCGTATTGATAATAGTAAGAGTGTATATAAAAATATTGTTTTATTTACAATTTAATATTATACATATATGTATACAATAAAAAATGTAACAATAGTATAATCTTCGGAGATGAATTTATGTTGAACACTAGCTTGCTGTTTTACCGACGGTTTTTTCGATACACGCCTTATTTTATCGTTTGATCGCTTCAACCACAGTAAAGTACATAGAAAATAATTGACTTTCTATATTACATTTTATATTTATATTATAAAATATATTAGAATACAATTTAAAAAATTACAGTACATTTCATTTAATACGTTGTGGTTGGATAAGTACTGTTCTAAATAGTTGCAAAATCGTAGAAAACATTTGAAAATGCCAAACGTTTGTTGCACAATCGATCGCACATTTCGTATCTGTTTAACAGTCGAAGATGTACATTTCGAACGCATTCTATAAATAAACTATGTCGTTATACATACATACTTTGGTCTTATCTATTTCAATACTTTCTTTGACTTTGGATTCTTCCAAGGTTATTTTCGACAAACTTCGTGCAAAAATGTTTCTTTCGTATTTTTAGATTTCATGTAAAAATTATTAAGGAAAGTTTCGTTACTTTTCCTCGTACTACTTACTAGGGGTTTGCAACTACTCGACATTACGGGTTTGATTTTCCACTTATTCTTTCGTATTTGTAAACGTTTTCGTATTGTATCTAAGCGAAATTGGATTTTGATCTATCGAAAATTCAAGTAATACAGCATCCAGAATGGCAACATTCTAATCAGATGTTTCATAAATCTGAACACAGCCATAACTCCTGAACGGTAGAAAATAAAACAGAATTTCATTAGGGAAACGTGAATGATACCGGGCAGTACATGATCCGATGTATGTGTTTATTTCGAAAGTGAAAATATTTCGATTATTTCAAGATCACGTCTATTATTTGAATGCACACCACCACTACTTCTCATTTAGTAACCGTTTCAAGGCTCATCTAGGGAAATCCTGTACAATATAGATCATTTTTTGCGTATAGTACCATTAACATTGCACTTTTATCACTTTGTACAATACTATCGGGTCTAAAAAAAAGCTATTTATCGCGGCTGATTTCATCTACGAAAGTCGCAATAAATATTTGTTTATATCTTGCACATCGCGATACTTCGGACAACGGTATTTATTTGTGCCTACCTATGGGGACTCGAACTTATAGTATTATATTTTACAAAAATCTACTACTTTCATTTGGCATCTTACTGGCATGCATTTGTTCGAGTTGTTGAAATTCATTAAAACGTGTATCTAAAATTCCCAGAGTTTGCAAACTTCGTAAAGACTGGAGTAGAAAAATATATAAGTACTCGTTTGGAAGCCTTGCACGCCGTTCAACGGCGACATTAACAATTACACGAAGTACTAAAATGATACGCTCGAACAACGATAACAAAGAAATGATTCTTCGAATACGTTCAGAACTGACGATAATACTTGATTACAATTGAAATTTGTATAAATGTTTACACTACTTGTTAAGCATCGATATTCAAGTAGAAACAGAAACGTACGGTCGAAAAAAAATATTTCGCGCGGCGATCATCGTTCGCCGTGTTTGGCAGTGTAAGATTGTTTTGCTACTTTAACTAATTGGTCGTACATAGAACGATCGGTTTCCTTTACTAACAAAGTGAATTGACTATGAGAGTTTTGGAGCAATATATGTGGATGATCGTACTCCTGTAACGAAAAGTATAAATATAATTGTTATTTAGTTTTGTCTCATATCAATAGAAGGTTCGTTCTAGTAAAGTATTCTCGTTAAACGAAAAATGTAACTCACCGCCATGCGACCTTTATCCATAACTAAAACTTTATCGCTGTCCATGATGGTGTTCAGCCGATGAGCAACGGTAAGTACAGTGCATTTGTCGAACTTTTTCCTTATCGTGTGTTGAATCAAAGCATCCGTTTGTGGATCAACGTTCGCGGTTGCCTCGTCGAGCATGAGTATTCGATTGTTTCGTAAGATGGCTCTTGCCAAGCAGACCAATTGCCTTTGGCCAACGCTGTAATTACTGCCTCTATCCAACACTCGACTTTCCAGTCCTGTACCGGCAGTGCTGACGGCATCCTTCAACTCAACCTGTGCATTTAGGTTTAATCTCTTTTAGTTCTGAAACTCTTTTGCATTTAACCAAAGATCACGATTTTCGACGTGCATTAAAGACACACATTAAATACACACGAAATGGGTATCTCTACAATAAACCAACCTCTTCGAGCGCTTCCCACAAAGCTTTATCAGAGAATTCATTGAAGGGATCCAAATTACGTCTCAATGTACCAGAGAATAAAACTGGATCCTGTGGAATGATTGATATACTGCGTCGCAGATCTTCCAGGCAAATAGTTCCTGTATCTATGCCGTCGATCTCGATCGATCCCTCGACCTTGGCTAATCTGAATAAGGCAGATATTAAGGACGATTTCCCAGCGCCTGTTCTACCTACGATACCAACCTGCAAACACATTTTATAGGCGTATAGTATTTTTCAATATTTCCACTTTTTTCTTTTGTCAAATTACTGTAATAGGATGAACAATCGTGCGTAGCGTAAGAGATAATCTTGACGACGGGCAAATAAATTAAATTAATTTGCGCGTACAATTATGTTAATTTGACAGAAAAAGAAAGAAACCAACTTTTTCACCCGAACGAATAACGAGATTCAGATTCTTCAATACTGGAGGCTCGTCGTCAACATATCGCATGTAAACGTTCTTGAATTTGAGTAGTCCGTCTGTAGGCCAGTTCTTTGGCGCGTTAACGGGAAGTGCGACCGCTTGTTTCTCAGTTTTCTTCGCAAACTTCCCTTTGTCGCGTAGATTCGGTTCCGGCGCTATTTGCGTGTATTCCAACACACGTTCCACAGACATCATTTGATTCGCCACTTCGGCATTCTGTCGCATTCCCCATTGAATCATACCGGTCATGGCCATCACCTGAGTGATAGCCAAACCCACCTCGCCTCCAGAGAATGCTGCAAAAAAGTCTCGTTAACGAATTACGACTACCTTTGGATCAAAGAAATATTGAGGAGATTCATCACCTTGCTCCAGTACAAGGAAACTGAAAGTGACCAACGAAGTGAACAGGAAGCAAAAGATGTCCAAGCAAAATCCAAACGCAGTACTTGCTACCACGTACATATAAATGGTGGAGGTGTGGACGTCTTGCAGTTTGTCAAATTCTTGCTTCAGTATGTCCTGTGCACAGTACGCTCTGATGGTAGTCAGTCCATTCAGTGTGGCATTCAAATGAGTAAACACAGGGGAACGAGCTGTTTGGAAGAAAATTTTCTTATTATTGAACGGCACATCAAGTGGTGCTACCAAGGTTTTATAAACCTTGTATTAACGTTACATTGTACTTACTGATTCCATCCATCCGTTTGATGTTCTTGCTGGTTTTAAGGAAGACTTTACGTATCCAGTAGAAAACAGCACCCAAGAACGCTATGGGAATTAGGAAAAGGGGATTGACCATGCAAGATACTGCCAAGGATCCGAACATCATCAAGCATATTTGGCTAGCGTCCAATATGGCTTTTGGTAACAATTCATCTATCGCTCCCATATCTTTGGAAAATCGATTAAGGATTCGTCCGCTGGGATTTGTATCAAAGAACCTCATGCCCGTTCTGATGAGAGCACTGAACGCCATGTCGTGCAACTTTTGACTGCATAATATGCATACTTTGTAAAATAAGAAAGACCTGATAATGCCAATAAAGAATATCCCAAGTACTATGGCCGTGTAAATGTACAAGTAACCGTATATCGACGACACGTCTGAAGTAGTATCTATCATTGAATCGTTGGTGGCATTCAGAGCATTTTCCATAAGGGAATAATGACGTGCTTCTTCTGCGTTCACCCTGAAAATATATATCGAGTTCGTAACAATCGTAGTAACGATAGGACAATGGTTGGTACGATATCTAAAAATACGTACAAGACAGGTACAAAGTAGTCATTGAGACTGACAGTGCATTGCGTAGCTAGATACAGCAAAAAGACCGTAATGGTAAGACATAGATTGGCACCAGTTCGAAAGTATTTTATGAAGATCGATCCCTTCACCTTTCCACGGGATGTTCCTTCTAGGCCATCTTTTACTACCTCGGGATCTTCGTCTTCCTCTTCGTCATCTGTTCCCCCGCTACTGGCTTCCGGTGTTCGACTCTACCAAATTTTAAATTATCACAAATAAAGCTTTACATACATCTTTTTCTAAGAGTACAAAACGCCAAGGATCTTACTCTGGTACTCGACGACGAGAATTGTCTCCTCATGACGCTTTTTTCCAAAGAAGAATCGTCGTTTGTTTCGGTCTCCGCAGCCAGAAGACGATAATACTCTGGCCGTTGGTTCAACAACTCTGGATAATTAGCAAGCACTGTTACTTTTCCTTGTTCGATGAGTAAAATGGAATCGACGCTTTTCACGTATTGCAGTTGATGAGTAGCCAAGATTCTGGTCTTGCCAGCCAAGTACCGTTGCATACATTCTTCAAACAGGTGCTTGCTGACGTGAGTGTCCACCTGAAACGTCGTATGCATAGCTTTGAAATAGATTCGAACGGGAACAGAGTTAAAAGTATCGTCGCGACATACTCACAGCACTCAGAGGATCGTCCAAAAGATAAATGTCTGCCTGCCTATAAAGGGACCTGGCCAAATTGATCCTAGCTTTTTGTCCACCCGACAGGGAACTACCCCTTTCTCCGACGATTGTCTGATCACCCCGAGGAAACTGCTTAAAGTCTCGAACCAGGGAACACGCTTTGATAACCCTCTGATATCGCTGACGTTCGTAAGGTTGACCAAAAAGTATATTCTGTCTAACGGTGGATCCAAAGACCCATGCTTCTTGCCCGGCGTAGCTTAGACTCCCGTTCACCTTAACCTGACCTTCTGGCACGTCTATTTCACCAAGAATCGCGGACAAGAAGGAACTCTTTCCAGCTCCCACCATTCCAATCACCGCGTACATTTTCCCTTTTTCGAGCTGCAAATTTACGTTCTCGAGAGTGTTCTCCGATTGACCTGGTTCCCACTTTGCCGATACGTTCCTCATCTTAACTGCATACGTCTCTTCGTTCACCATTGAGGAACGCTTCCTTTCTATAAGAAAAAAAAAGTAACACGTTAACAAAGGATGATCACCCCAACACATATATTCTCTTTGTAAATGCTAAATGCTCACCCTCCATAAGATTAGCCGTATTCTTTAGCAAATCACTGGCGACGACGACTAGACCGTTGTGCCTCCTTTTCTCCGCCGAGTCGTCGAGATTCTCATAGGAATCTATCTCGTCGTCGATGTAGGGTAAATCCTGTCGCGACGATTTGTTGGCTGTTTGTTTACTGTCGCTGTTGATGCTGCCGTTAAGGCTGGCGGTCAACTTATCCAACGTGAAACCTTTCTCCTGGAACTCCTCGTACATCAAAAAGTGTTGCAACCTTCGAACAGCCACCATGCATTCGGCTATCTCCGCGAAACCACGTACGAACATTCCCGACATAGTCTGCGCCAATATGTTAAAGTAGGAGGAGAAAACGAAAACTGTATCAGCCGACAACTCGTTTCCAAACAATAGCATGCTGATCAGGGTACAGAAAAGCGCCATTCTCGTAGTGAACAGGTTAAACGTCATGTAAATGCCTCTGATGTACGAACTCTTGGTGACCACTTTCAACTCCAATTTCCGGGCCATCTCAATCAGAGCACAGAACGGCTTCTCCCACGCGTACATTTTAATTACCTGAACGCCAGATATGATCTCGTCCATCAGGCGTACCCTTTCATCGGTTTTAATGGCTGTCTGCAGCCTGAACTTGGAAGATAGCTTTCCGGTGTAGGCTGAAACACAATGAGTAACGGATAAGAGATTTTTGATCAAATACACTTGGCAAGTTTAGACATTTCTTTAGCCTTTCCTGATTCCTGTGTTCTGCCTCAACTATTTTTGTTGAACCAACATACAGGGTGTTCGGCTACCTCTAGAATCTCCCATTAAATTTTTGTCCCAGAGATAGCCGAACACCCTGTGTAGAGGAACACATTAAAATATATCACTATCTATTCTTTAAATGATTTGAGAGTATTGTATTTCTACAATTATTTTTATCATTAAGCAAACAAGAATATTTTTTATTCCATATTGAAGGAGTAAAGTCTTTGAATTAGAAACTGTAAAGCATATTTAGTCGAATATCTTGCAAACTATTGGAAATAGGTATGCATAAAACCGCAGTGGAAACAATATTAAATAATGATAGTGTTATTAGAAACTTTCATATTAAAATTTGAATAATTGTCGAAGACATTCCTAGATTCGGAAAACGGGCGTGGCAGTCAATGCGTTAAACTGCATGAGGGCTTTGTAACACGTTTATCATTGGCTGAAACTCACATTGAATAGGCACGACAATAAACACAGCTGCAATGCCGATTAGGCCAGCGTATCCAGCCTCGGTGTAAAGAATGTAGGCTATGATCAACCCAGAGAGCGGAGCGGACCACATGTAGTGAATAAAGATGGAAACAAGATCGAACCTGTTAACATCATTAGCCACTAAATTTACCACTTTTCCCGGCGCCGTCTCGCCTAACGCCGTTTTACTAAGTCGCAGCGCCTAGATTACATGCAAAGAAGAATTATAATAATAAAATTTCCCCTTGTCGATAACAGGTATAGGTACCAAAGACAAATTTTGATTCCTTATACAATAATGCACAATTAACTTTTCTAAGATTTGGAACCCAAAACTAAAAGTTAGAGAATTGTTGCAACAGGGGTAAAATTATAGTACATCAAGACTCGGAACTTCAAAAAAATGTTGTAGTGATAAAACAACAGTCGTGCGATACATAACATTTTACTTTCCATAGTTCTCACGTTACCTTTCTAAAAATGGTGCCAATGCATTCCTCGGTTTCTTCCCATTAAAATGAGTCCAAACACGACATAAATTGAACTATTTTTATTTAACTTGATATTTGCATAGTAATGTTTTTCACCCCTAGAGAGAAGTTAGTCACCCCTGATCTAGACGTAAGAAAAGTCTTTCTTCTTAAGAAAAGTTAATCACGTAGTGATAAACTACAAGTACGGAGAGAATATTATGTGCATACATCACGTTAAAATTATACATACACAAAGTGTTCGGCCACCCCTGGGAAAAATTTTAGTGGAAGATTCTAGAGGCCAAAATAAAACAAAAATCAAGAATACCAATTTGTTGATGGAGGCTTCGTTAACAAGTTATTAACAATTAAATTCAAAAATTTCAAATCGTTCTGGAAAAATTATTTTGATTGCGGGGGTCAATTACAATCATTTTTCGTGAATACACATACCTCCGAAATCCTATCCACTTTCGAGACAAAAAATCAGATAGGTGCTGAAATTTTTCAAATCGTTCTAAAAAAATTATTTTCGGTTGCGAGGGTCAATTACAATTATTTTTGGGCATTACACGTACCCCCGAAATCCTACGCACTTTCGAGAAAAACATTCCTTACCGAAAATATAATTTCTGGTCAGAAATGGTTCCTCGAAATTTCAAGCATATCTTTAAAAAATCATAACTCCCAAACGGATTGGAGGATTTTAATATTTCAATAGGCAAACGACGCGTATGCTAATGTAGAATATGTAGAAATTATAACAATATTGAAAAAGTTGTTCCTTGACCCCGTAAAATTAGAAAAACCCCATTAAAATGGTCTAATTTTCCAACGGCCATAACTCCTACAATACTCAATGGATTTCATTGAAATTTTTTTCTGAAGTAGTGCTCGGGGGTACCTGCAAAAAATATTAAACAACATTTCTGTACAGCGTCAAATAAAATTACTAAAAGGTTGGTAGGTGCTGAAATTTTTCGGCGAAAAAAGAATTTCAAATCATGCTGGAAAAATTATTTTCGTTTGCGACGGCCAATTACAATCATTTTTGGTGAATAGACATACCCCCGAAATCCTACACACTTTCGAGAAAAAAATTCGTGTAGATGGACAAATTTTATTAAGAATTTTTAACAATAATTTTGTTAATAACTTTTTAACGAAATCCCAGTCAACAAATTGGTATTCTTGATTTTCGTCTTATGTTGGCCTCTAGAATCTCCCATTAAAATTTTTCTTAGTGATGGCCGAACACCCTGTATATGTATGTTATATTAGTTAAAAGTAATCTGATTTATGCGGTGTTTGGACTTGTTTTAATCAGAAGAATCTCCGAAATGCATTGATATTAAAAGTTAAACGTACATTACTGTAATCGTCACTGATACTCGGAGACCTGCCATCTATTACCTTTCGATAAACAACAGAACAAGCGGCGACTCTGATTCTTGCGCCAACATGAAACGCACCGAAGATCGCTTGGTTAAACGTAATAACGTTTATAGCCGTTGCTAAACAGATCCCACCCGCGTACAAGAGTGCAGTCTCGTACGATTCGGTGGCGTTCCTCTGGAAGTATCGCAAAAGTCCACCCAATAGTATCGGTGCGCCTAATCTACAATGTAAATTAGCATAATAGTGAAGAATATCACGCTGATATAAATTCACGTTATTTATCTTTTTGTCATCCGATAGATTTTGATGTGCTGATGAATAATTTCTTTGTCGATAAATTTTTATTCGTGAAATACGGATGAAATTTTGATTCGTAAATTCAAGGATAAACGGTTTATCTAGATATAACGATATTCATTATTTACACAAAAATGAGACCTGAACTCCGTATTCAGCGAAAAAGTGTGCATACCGTAATATAAATTCGTTCAGTATTTGCATGAGACCAAGTAAGAAGTATTCCCATAGGAAGGTGCGAAAAATGGCCTTCAATAGACTGGGCCGATATTTGCCCTTCTTCGACTTGTCTACTTCGACGTTCCATTGTCTAAAAATAAAACATTTTAAATGCTTGACATTGTTTTTAGTGTTTTCATTTCTTGAATGATAACATTTCGAATTTAATACCAACTTTTCTAGCCTATCCCCAAGAACGTTCGATCGGTCGGTCTTCAAGGGATCGTATAAATCGTCCGTTTGCAAAACTTTTTTGTAGCCTGTCTTGAACAAGCCTATAGTCCACCTGCGTGTTAAAGAAATAAAAAGAAATTTTCTCCCATTACGTTTTTGCTTGAAGCGATAACATTCAATTTAAAAATGCCTTCGAAAAAAGTAAAATATAATATTTAAGATACCAAAGATGACTGAAATCTGAAAGTTGAAATGTATAAATAAATTAATGCTCATTTATGAGACTGCAAATTTTTAGTCGCCATTTGTTACAGAAAGATAACAGTTACATTACAGTAACAAATGCATCAACGTAAGAATTAACGAAATGTTATTTAACGGTTCACCTGTCACTGGTAATTCTACCAACCGATGATAAAGCAGTTTTGCCGCGATTACTCGTAACGGTAGTGCCTAGTAACCTATATTTATTCTTTTAATTACGTGATTGTAAGTGGAAGCGTGTTTAAATAAATCTCATCTCACGAAACGAATCTTCAACTCGACATCAGTAAACAAGTATTTAAAAAGTAGAAACCGTTCTTTTGTATAAAACACAAAACAATTATTACAAGCGTCGAAAAATCGGTATTCACAGGTCATTAGATGGTGATGCTGACTATGAATGACAATAGTATCTTTGTATTATAGTGAATAACCGTCAAACTATCTATCAAGTATCTTAAAAGTTTCGAACAATTTCGAACAGCCTATCGCTATCAATAAAACGGAGATAAAGAAATTTGGCTTACTCAATCGGTAAGAGGAAGTCGAGAGAACTTACCACCACAACAAGACCGACACAAAGTTGGCCTTTTCTCGGGGGTTAGAGTTTGACTTGACGTTGCTCGATTCCATTTTCCACGGTGCGCTGCATTAACTCGCCTTTGAGCGATTACAAGATCGGTACGACACTTTTGATCACAGAATCAGAAAACCGTTTAATCGATCGTCCTCGGAAATCACGTGCACTCGCGAGAAAATTAAGAAACGTAAACTATTCTTATATTAGCGCGTTAATTGCCCTATCACTTGAAAATTTACACCACGGCACAGATAAAGGATTAATCTCGATAGGTATCACAGAATCTTCTTCGACGTTGGTCCCATCTAAACGTGGCTTTCTGATTCTGATACGGAGACCCTTTTGCCTCTCCTCCTTGACGGCGTCGAGCACCAGAATAAGACTTGCATCGGCCCAGCACCTGTATTTAAAACAAAAATATCGCATCACGTTCGAAGTTAGTCTCGATTTCTCTTCTTTATCTCCTACAGTGCGTTGTCATTCCTCAAACAACGGCGTACTCATACAATCCTCTGACACCGTGTTACACATGTTTGTCGACGATAAGTTAAATTATTAATGCGATCAGACCTTTCCAGATTTGATATGTCTCTTTCGTACTAGATATTTCACAAGTTTTTAATATATGGCAGTGGGTCGCTGTGAATAATTTTACGACCTTCAAAATCGCGTAGTCAAAGCGAGTGCATCGAGACCATGAAAATCAATAGATACAGTTCGCAATAAAAAAAAAAATGCTTCGATAAGAGTTATCTACTTGAATTGCTAATGCACACTTTGCAAAGTACTGAATTAAAGAAAGCAGTATAGAATCGCTGTGAGTATAATGAGATGGACAAAGATATTTATACAGATCAATCCACGTGTTCTGCAGTTTTCTTAAATATTATGCTTCTTGTCAAAAAATTAGCAAAACCAAGTTATATAATATCGACAAGCTTTTTTTAAAAAATAAACCCGTTTAAGGAAGTCATTATAACACTGCAGCTGTAAAAAAAGAAACGTTGAAGCGATTGTTATTCAGTTCGATAAGAGATACCTAAAAAATGAACTGCACAGCGAAAGATCAAATACCTCGATAACGCTGCGTGAAAACGATAGTCGGTTTTTAAATATTAACTTTTAAGTATTGACATTTGAAATATTTGTACGTAATACGTGCAATATAATGACAAGTATTACATTCACGTTACTATGGTCACTTTGTTTAATACAAATTTTGCACCGCATTAGAATTTTTGGTGTCAATAGACGCAAATGGAAACGTCAAAATTACTATTCCTGATCGTGATCGCAACTGAACCAACAATTAGTGTGTCAGCTTTAAAAATGGAAAACATAAAAATACTTAATATTCCGTCACGAAGTCATTAAAATATAGTTGATTGTTGCCCGTTCTAGGAAGTAAAAAAGAAACAAATAAAAAAAAAAAAAAGAAATACATAATCGGCTCGAAACGAAAAACTTCACCGACTATAGATAGGAATTATTACATTCACGGTTGATTATTCGATTTCGTAAGATTCCGTTTGCATAATCGTCGAGCGAAATTTTAATAAGCTTAGTTAAACATTTTGTCGCAACCACACGCTCCTTTATAATTCATCAGGAAACGTCTTTGATTGTTCAAACACGCCCAATCAAAGAGATAAAAGGCAGTGTGTCTATAAAAGCGTGTTGATACGAGCTTACGCGGATAGTTCGCAACGCTATTAGAATACTTTGAATAACAATAACGATTACGGGTTCGTTGGAAACTTCATTATCGTTTCGATGGGGAACATCTAAAATTAACGTTTCGTGAACTTCGCAATAACACGATTTAATTTAAACACTTATCGTTTCTACAATACTGCGATTAATAACAAAGTTTATTGAGATGTCACGTTGCAATAGTAGTTATAAAAATATTCAGTAATATGTGAATATAGTCATACGATATTGTTAGACGTAGACAATTTTATTCGTAATTGTACCGATATCATTCAAAATTATTTCTTCTATATATATTCTAATTCAAACTATACTTGGTAGAGGTCTGAGAAAAGCTGAATGAGTCCATAGAAGACTAGCAGCACAAGTTATCTTAAATATGCCATAACCTTCAAAAATTAACTCGTATCTGAAGAATAGTAGTTGATAGGTACTAATAGTAGCTTGTCTTTTCGAGATTATGCAGAAAATTATATCGTCGGTTTTTTCCAACGATTCTCATTTTCTTAAATTATGTCGCATCGTTGCATATTTCGAGTCTGTCTTCCGCGTTAATTTCGCGCAAAAACTGTCGGGCTTCGGTTTTAAATGATCGTTGCTTTATTTTTGGTTTATCCTTTATTAATTGTGCTTATGCATATCATCGATGACGAAGATGAAGCGTTGCTAGCAATCCTTCGTGACGCCCGTGATTCAGCAGTAATGCTGTTGACCAATTGTCTGCGTACGTTCGTATCAACGTGAAAAAGAGAAAAGAAACAATAATCGAAAAGTCGTCGACGGCCGAGCAAACCGGAGAGAACCAACCAGTTCTAAAACGTTAATTCTTATCGCCGTGAATAAATCTTTTTGTATGCACTACCACGAATTGTACACGGAACGGTGCTCGTCATTGGTTCATGGTACATACACAAGGTTGCCAAGTCGACAGAAACTACGGTTGTCACGATTATTCAGCTAGATTTCTATGAACTTTCCGTAAGAAACAAGGTGTCATTAAACTTATGTAATCTCGCGTAGTACGTTTCGAACATTAATTTTGCGACAGACAGATGAAGAGAATGGTTACGAATGGAAATAGAAGGTACATATAGGGTGTTCCGTAGCATATGGGGACCGTTATTTGACTTTATTGACCATCGTATGCGTTGTAAATTCGCTGATCAAGCTCCGATTCGAATTTTGCCAAAAGAAAGTATGAAGCATACTTTCGGAAGAATAGCTTTGTCAATAAGCAAAATGGTGGAATTTAGAGAGAAGCTAATCCTCGGTCAATAACCAAGCGACCCTTGTACCGACAAAAAGTTACCGCGTGTTGTGATTCCTTGGCTGACCAAGTCACTAGCTCCCATTCTTTTTTCAAAATGAAGATACTGTGACCGGTAACTGTTACCGATGAGCGTTACCTGTTCAACATTTCATCTTTCCTTTTACGCGAATTGCGTGGATTTTCAAGGTGGTATGATATTTATTATTCTCTTATCGGTTCTACAAAGCTTCTCGAAATTCGTCTGTTTCCACGGGCAAATAAAAGTAAGATAGTGGAATGAAGTTAAAAGCGAGTGTATGTTTCAAGTTCACGTTCATTTAATTCAAACGTTTTAAAAAAAGAATTGAAAGAAAAAGGAGAAATATAAACTTGTAATATTGACGCACGATTGTTACCATAATGAAACAGAAAAGATAGTATACTATGACACCTTCGGCGAAATCTATCTGGTAATGTTATGAACAGTTCATGTTTCCATTCGATGCGAACGGATGTGTACACGAACTATCGTGAAACAAATTGTGACAAAAGTAAACGAACCATCATTCTCAAGTATTCTTCTGGTTTCAACCAATTAAGCACACGTATTACGTACACAAAAACGGCAGATATTGGATTACAACATTCGTGAATTCAGCACGGAAGCGTGTGTATCGGGTTTCTCGGTCGCTTACAGATACTTTACAGAATTTTTGATTTTTTCCGTTTCTATTCACGTAGAACAAACGAATTACGAAACCAAGAAGATTTTGCAATAAACTTCTTTGATGGACGAAATACTTTTTCATTTTGTGACCTATGATTTTGGCTGTGACTCGTGGACGCGCCGCTGAATTTTGTAACTGTAAACGAGCAATGGAATTGCCTAGCTTTATCGATCGGTTTAGAATTAAAATTTCCAGCAGAGCGGCCGAAAACTTTTCGGAACCGACCATAGTCGTAATTATAAATATAGAAAACGGATGTACCTCAAACTTAGACGCAGGTAGGTTCTTTCGAAACGATTGAAACGTTATGCAACGAGAAGTTAACCTGAAATCATCGAGCGATCGCTGCGAAGCCACAACAAGAAACGCACAAAGAGAATGAGCAGCAACGCGATTATTCTTCGCGTGTCTCAACGAGCGTTTTCGATTCAAATTCTTCAACCGTCAGCCGTCTAAAAATACATTATTAAACGAGTTACTCTATTTAATTATTAACCATGGTCGCTATTCAACAGTCGTGAAACAAGTCTTCTAGTTGTGTAACGCAGTGTCCGGCTAATGGGTTTCCATCAAACAACGTTACGCGAAATTGTTATCGAGAGCAGATGCTGAGAAAGAGTCAATTGTTGACGGCACGTGATTCATAACGGTTCAGCGTAATACATCAGTCCTTCTCAACTCTACTTGTCGCGTGCGAGAATAACAGTATAATTAACAAGCAGTCTGGATACACTCGAAATAATATGCTGTTCATTTCACGGATCAATTAACGAAGGCGAACATTTTATTCGAACAACAGATAACCAATAAGACCAACGTATAACAATTTATTTATGGACAATTACATTTCCGTTCGTTGCGCAATTGTATAATTGAAATTATCATCCGGATAAGAATTTTGCTTGTTAGTTGGTTAACACCAAGCAACAATGTTTATACATCTACGATGATTCTTTAAAATCGTTCGTAGCTTAACAAAAATATTTCTCATTACATAGCGATACTGTTATAGCTCGAGTTATATATTGAAATGTTTACATTTAACTTTGCCTCTTTCATACCTGCGTAGAGGCGCTCTCGATATCGTGAATTTGTCGAAAATTAATTACGCTATTTGAATACCATTGTCCAAGGTAATAGACTGAAATGCTATTTCTAATTATAAATAGAACTATGGCATTTTTCCGTACTTGAGAGGACACGATGGTACTGAAAAATTAGATCAACATGCTTCTAAACAGTATACGTATTCAAGAATTTCGCAGAAAGCACGTGATAATCGTTTAATGACGCGATATTTGTTGATTTTCTCGATTTGTTCATTGCGTTTATTGATACTGTATTTGTTTCGTCGGTAAAGCAAACTCCGATTGTGTGTTTTTAAGCTTACAGTTGTGAGTTTTTTGAACGATCGTTGTGTGCATTTCCAAAACGATATCTAATAGATATATTTTGAGCTCAAGGGGGTAAGCGTGCCGCGACGTAGCGAGCAGCATGCACAGTAGCCTCGACGTTAAACACGTAACGAATAGCTAACTCGAAACATTTTAACAGTAAACTAGTCTGTACTCACTTTCTGTGCTTCTGTGCAGTTTGTATGCGAGAATATGTGTCGCGTACGCGTGTCACATGCTGTAGCGGATAGAATTTAATGTCTTGCGACAAGAGAGGAACACGCACGAAGAAACCGAACAACAGATGCGTGTTCAGCGCAAAGCCTGCACCACTACTGAATACCAGTTCTCGGCTTTCCTTGCTTGGCTCTTCGCTCTAGCGACGTACCAACACATTCTTGTTCGAACATTAATACGAACGATGTGCAGATATGTAGAATTGTATTTATTTCTTCGATATTATCAATTGCAATTGTCGCTATTTTCTACTCTCCCGCGTATATTTATTTACGATATCGGTGTGTTTTTCTTATGATTCTCTGCGGCCGTAGGCATCGACGACCGAGAATTTGTCGCTCGATAAAATGTTCCATTCAAGTGGCAATTTACTACCATTCACTTCGGTAAAATTGAAAATGTATAAAAAGTAGCAACGTGCGTCGGTGCAATGTAAGTTATGGTGTGCGTCGGGCACGCGTAAAAACCTAACCTTAAACAGTTTCGCGCATAACCTAATGTGACTGTCAGAACCATGAAAATTTATTTATTCTACGAGTACAGTCCGCGACATAAGGATACCAAATACCTAAACATAATTTTGAGAAACTTGCAAAGCAACATATTATATTGGGTATATTCCTAGCAAACGGACCGTTCACCGATCGAGGTGAGTTATACATCATTCGATTTGTCTAATTCAGTACATTATTAATATGCATTTCGTTATTTGCGGAAGTTCATTATTTTTTTTATAAACTTGTCGTAAAGTTATAGTAAAAAAGTAGGGTTAAGTATATTTTGACAGGTTCACAGGTGGAAACAAGTGACTGTCGTTACTGCGTTCAAAATGTCAGGTAGTCAAATGCTAATTTGTTAAACATGTATTGAATGAAATTTCTACTATTTCTACTAATATTTCATTGAATAAATCACCATTTTCCTGTTAGGTACATTTATTAAATACGTAATGGATCAGGTATCCAATGAAATTACTTTTCTTGAAAATATAAAATATTGATAGTATTATATGTTATAAAAAACATTAAAAAATGTGTGGCATGCCTCCAAATGGTTTCAATGTAATTTGTGTAAGCATCAGTAATGGGATCTTCAAAATTGACGCTGTGATTAATTTTCAAATGGCCTCTGTGATATTTTCTACAACAAAATGTTGATTCATCAATTTCTACAATCTTCTCTACCCTTCCAATTGCTGTGCAGTATTTTTATTTAATTTTAGTTATATAATAATATGACATTGCTCCTAAATATATGTTAGCATATATGTTAATTTTAAGACATCTGTAGCTGAGTTTGTTTTTAGAAAACCACGTTCTTTGCTTTGCAAATATCTTTATATTAAGTCTTCTACGTTTAGTTGGATTGACAGATACTGTCAACGCACTACATAGAATAGTAATTTATTATATTGTCTACCTGTAAACAATGTCAGAGGGGGGTGACAACATTTTTTAGTGTTGCTGCATGTACTGTCTACCTGTAAGTATTATCTGAGTAGGTCTGGGTTATATGGGTGGAGGAGGGGGATTTATACTGTCTACCTGTAAGTACTGTCTGAGCAGGTCTGTGTTATATGGGCGGGGGAAGAGATTTTTTAGTTGTTGCTGCACATACTGTCTACCTGACCAACTCGCAAAGTCTATGCGTAAAAAAAGATTTTGATGCATACATGTTCTACAAATTCCCATTTGACAATCTAGCATTATCAAATTCGATCAATCATTTATAATTTGTAACATGAACATAGCAACGATAGTCACTTGTTTCTACGTGTGAACCTGTCAAAAAATATACTTAACCTTACTTTTTTTATTGTAACTTTACAACCAGTTTATAAAAAAATAACGAATTTCCACAGATAAAGAAATGCATATCAACAATGTACTGAATTAGACGAATCGAATGATGTATAACTCACCCCGATTGATGAACGGTCAGTTTGCTAGGAATGTTCCTTATATTGTTTTTAATATTTAAAAAATATATTACAAAAATAGTTTCGTATGAAAACAATTTATTTCATCTTCAAAACGATGTCGCGGGCTACTTACAAAAATAATACTATCATTACAATCGTTACATTAAATGCTTATACGACGTTTTATGTATAGTACTGCAGACTGTTTGTGTGTATGTACATTTGTTTATTTGTAATTGTTAATTTGTTAGTCTTTATAGTATGAATTTTAAGTCTTATAAATATTGTCATTTGTTCCGACATCATTAATTTATTCCGATTTTCATTTTATTCTCTCGCACGGCCAAGAGCATATTAAATTTCAGTACGTTTCGCTAATGCACGATTCGCATGCACGTATTTTACATATACCATCAGACCCGAACGTTGGTCTATCAAGAATATATAAAAACTAAATGAAAACATTTTCAGATCTGTTTCAATTCAGAAAATTACTGGTCAGTTGTTTCTCTCTCACACTATCTCTCTTTCTTTTGTTCTCTCTCTCACTCTCTCGCTCAAATATCGATAAATAGACACATGTTAAATTGCACTACTCCATTGAGGCACGATGACAAAAATGTCACGAACTCTCGCTCTTTACGTAGTAGTATTTATATGGAGTAACGTATAGCATGGCAGAGTACTTAAATTTAATGTCTGTTTATCCGTAAAAATTATGTCAAAGAGTCATTACACAAAGGACTACTACCATCATCTAATCGTCTACTGTGATAAAAAAAAAAAAAACAGAAGAGCACTTCCTCTGTAACGTTAAAAGCCTTCGCGTAATTCTATTAAACCACTTTCACATGATTCTTAGATGTTTAGATGGGCTGTTACAATAAAAACACCTAGCAAAATTTTTATACGTTTCTACAAAATAAAATAAACATAAAATAACTATTTAGGTGTTGTCGTTATTTTCCAAATATAAAGACATGACCCTTATTAAAAAAAGTGTAATACTTCTAAAATATATTGTAACAAGTAGTCTTTCTCTTTTTACCTAACCAATCGAATTTATAGCAATGATTATCGAACTTGTGGATTCGATAACATTAACATTAGCTTTTCGTGAGCGTATGCCAAATTTTTGGCCAATCCTTTGCAGCATCCATTTTCTTGTATGGTTTGGAATTTATAGGTTTTGAAATTCTTGTCCTCGTCTATGTATGTAACAGCTGCCATTAGCGGGCACATGATAATTTTTGTGTGATCTAAGAAGTTGATCTGAAATGAAACAGACAATTTTAAAGAATGGATCGCTAAAGAAAAGCCTTTTTCCCTTGAATAGGAAAGAATTAATGTCGCCTGGACATGTTACTTGATTTCAGTGAAATTTGTATATTTTATCTTTACGTGTTCCTCGTACACAATATGTATATGCGACAATTTCAAAATAACCACTATACAATACGATCTGTGCTCATTTTAATTTTAAATATGTTATCGTTCAAATACTTTCGTGTAGTCGTGTATATTTATTGTTCGTTTTACTTACTTGCACTGTTCCATTAGTCAACTGCATAACCACAGCACTCTGCGTTCTAAACCACTGATGTATGTAAGGTATTCTGGACATAGCATCGCTCGGTTTCACAGCAAACGAACTTCCAGCTTTCATTAAATACTCCTTCATGTATTTCAAAAAGAAGTTTAGAAGTTTCATCTTCTTTTCCAGTTCAGGTGGATATTCCCTAACAGTGTAGTACAACTCGTTTCCTTCACGGTTTATGTAATGTATATTGAAACAATTTGCTAGCATTATCAGCCGAGTGCCGTCGTTGTACATTACACCCACCCCATCGTCGGAAAGCTGATATCCAAAACCATATTTATCTGAATAATCAACCCATTTACTTATCCATACTACAGGCTGCGCCGCAGGATCCGTCATTTCATCTGTGCAATTTAAATTAGATGTATTTATACGAATTAAATTAATGTAATAACGCCATTTGCACACACACCGACAAAATCGGAGTTGGATCTTCTTGTGTGTAAAAGACTCCATTTAATTACATAGTAATCATCATCGGAACCGGCACCAGTATGTGTGCAAACGGCTCTAATTACACTTTGTAGAACGCTACTAGTACTAAATACGTATTTTAATAAATAGGAAGCTGAAAGGGGGATGAAATTCATGCCTGGGGATTTCTGTAAAAATCTGATACGGTCTTGAATATTTTGCGTCAGGAAATAATTTCCGTCACTAGAAAGAATGATATCCATGCAAAATGAGATAATAATGCTCAATCCCTGGATGAGTGTACCTTCCGATTCTGCCATTTCCCTATTTGGCTTAGCCTTTAGTACCGCAGACAGCTGTTCTCTTAACGTCTGAAGCATCGTTTTAATATCGGGATTCATTTTTTGCATTTCGCTCGCTCCATCCGCAGGCTTTACTTTGCGTGCCGGACTATTAGGTACTCTAAATACGAAGTTCGGTCCTTCTGCTTCTACATTAGTATTCATTTCAGTCAATGGTTTACGTTGATTATGCATCTCTAACATATCTAATCGAGGCGCCATAGTTAAACATGACAGCGGTAAGCTCTGCGGCATGTAACCTGCGGCACATTTTAAAATAATTATTAGCATGACTTTCTAATGCAGAATTGGACAAACTCTGATCCAAGTAACAATTTACAATTCGAAAGTGAAGTGAGTGATCGTTAATCGACTGACTGATAATAGAATAAATCGATTGATAGTTATGTCGATTAATACCATACTTTGTCCCGATGATAACGTCTTAATAATTAAAAAAAATTTGATGACATTTACCGCAAGTAAAGAACCGGTCTTTTATTAATTTGCCTACGGTTGGACGTTTAGATGGATTTCCTTGCAACATATTAGAGATCATATTCATAGCAATTGTATTGATGTGTTCGGGAATAATGTACTGAACTTGTTTAATTCTAGCATAGGTTTCCCTTAAACTAGAAGTTTCAAACGGAGGTTTGCCCACAAGCAAAGTATACATTATACATCCGATACTCCATACATCGACTTCATACGAGTGGCCAGATTTGGTTAAAATTTCTGGCGCTATATAATTAGGGGTACCACAGACTGTCCTGTTAACAAAGAAAGAAGTAATGATTCGGATACAATGATTTAAATATTTACAGAAAAGAACAGAGCTATTACTTCTTCCGTTCGCCGTCGTGCTCTAATCTAGTGGCCAATCCAAAATCACCTATTTTAACTTGCAGATCGTCGCTTAAAAATAAATTACCCAATTTTAGATCTCTATGAATTATCTTATTTTGATGCAAGTAATGCACACCATCTAAAATTTGCTTCATATAATATCTAGTCTCACACTCTGTCAGAGCTTTTCTGCGTTTGTGCAATTCCATCATTGACTGTAAAGTATAACGGCTACTTTAATAATACATACATTGTTTTGAAAAGATGTTAATTACACTGTTTTACAAATAAAATTTTTTTTTCTGTTTTTCAATATCCACTAGGTAATTCTTATAGAACTTCATTTCCTAAACACGAATCTGGAAACGGAATTGTTGTCTCACCCTCAGTTTCCGAAAAACACGAGTTTTTGTAAAAACGCCCAATTTTGGGCAAAACCGAGGTATTACGCGAAAACTAAAAATATCAGAAAGGTCCACTTAGTCTTAAAATATAGAGGAGAGATTCCTGAATATGCTGACATCGATAGTTATAATATTTTGTGCTTTTGATCGGTTGTAAATGATCGCCAAAGTTTAAAGAAGTGTCGAGGTATGTACTTTCTACACAATACTTTTGCATATTTACGAAGAGTTCTTTATGTGACACGAAAACTATACACAGGATCTGATTCTGCAGACATTTCTGAGGAAGAAACTGTCCAACAGAAGTGTAGAAGCCGTTTTCAAAAGTCATAAGCCGAGAAAATGTTCGTTGGCAACGCATGCGCAGCATTTTGCCGCCGCGTAGCCATCGTTAGCCTACCACAACTCGACAGTGCCGTAGCTAGCCATAATCGACGCACCATCGATAGTACCTTAGGCTCCCAGTTCCTGTATATGTTAATCATATTTGATTTTTTAATCTGTTTGCGGATTTGTAAAAAACATTTTTCGATCATTTGCATTTCTAAACAATTTCGATGTTCATTGTATGTATATGAATGATTTTTTTTAATATGAAGCCATAAAGAAATAAGCACATTTTATTGTTTATGAACCAACAAAGTTTTTGTTGTTATGACCAGATTGTGGATCAAAAATGAAATGTATAAAGTGAAGAATTACCTGCAGCGTTTCCACAAACACATTTAGAAATGCTTACGTCTTGCCTGGCGTTCTGCTTGTATGTAGCTACGGCACTGCCGAGCCGAGATAGCATATTCATGAATTTCTCCTCTATTTTTTAAGCCTAAGTGGAACTTGCTGATGTTTTTAATTTTCGCGTAATACCTCGTTTTTGCCCAAAATTGGGCGTTTTTACAAAAACTCGTGTTTTTTCAAAACTGAGAATGATACAGCAATTCCATTTCCAGACTTGAGTTTGGAAAACGGAGTTCTACAAGAATCACCTAGTGGTTATAAGAAAACGAAATTTGTGTTGAACAGCGTTAATAAGTCTCAAAAACCATTTACCCTTTTGCGACACAATTCTAAAATTATATACACGTTCAGAGGATCATCGAAAAAACTATAAAACCCAACAACATTTTGGTGCTTCAAATTTCGATGAATAGAGATTTCTTGTGTCATTTTTTCTCTGTGATTGCTTTTAGTAATTTGCGATTTTGGCACAATTTTCCCAGCAAACACACGATGTGTCTTCGATTCTTTGATTTCATAGCACTTTGCGAACCCACCCTACAAAATAATATAAGGAACTGCTTATAGTGAACATAAAATATTTTATACAAATTGGAAAAAATTAAAATTCGTGCAATAATTTTTCAAATGCATGCCTTAATAATTGTACATGCAAATGTAGTATATTAAAATTTTTGTCAACCTATCGTATATGCAATGAACTCAAATAATACTGTTTCAAGCATTTACATTGTATATACACTGGCGTGCAAAATTTAAGGAACACTAAACTTTGTTTGCTAAATTTAGTTTAGTGTTCCTTAAATATATTATTAGCGTTAATGCGAGACAACAAGGTATTAAAATCTATTCTTTACAAAATACATTTTATGCAAAGAATTTCTAAATTGGTTCGAAATAGCTGAAGCAACAAGTGCTATAGGTTGTGGTATATATGTAAAAGTACCAGTAGTGAAGTTTAACAAAGATGTACAAAAAATTAAAAAAATACGTGCATACCTTTCCGAAAAATCGACCTTTAATATAACTTCTCCCCGAGTTTACGTCGACTATCACGCTCGGAATAACGCATTCTTTCTCTTCTTTCGACATCTCGAACTATATTTTTTTCGTTTATATTTCGGTGGCACGTAAAGCGTAAAACTTCGCGTTCCAGTCAGGATTGCTTGCACATTAATTTTGCGCTTCACAAGAAGATGTATATTTGGCTAACGTTCTCCCGAAATACAAACTGCAATTTTGTGTCACAGAAGACAAGCAACGGATTTCAATATTTAAATCCCAGGCTCATGACCAATCGCGACTTGTCTGTTTATAGTAACCAACTATACATATATTTATTCCCTATGGTGCACAGAATAATGCAAAAGTTTAAAGTACTAGAGGATCTACAAAAACACACGTGTTACGCTATCACGTGAACGTAGGTTTAATGCACATAGTGCTACAACGGGAATTAATTGTAACCCGATTATTCACCGTCGAGTGCAGAGTCATGTAACTGCGTTTTAGTGAGGAGCGAAATCCAAACGGACCAGCGTATTGTAATAAACAATACGATTGTATGTTTTTCAACGTGGGCGATCAAGCTGGGGAAGGTAGAGAGAAAGGAAGGCACTTCTTTTCAGATACTTAGTTTATTTTCTAAAGATCACGTCGAATCTTAGTTTTCCGTCGTTCTTTCCTTTATTTTATTACGGACCGTGACAAATTAGCTATTTCCGTTAAGAGTTTCAATGGTCTTGACACACAGCAGGGCCTCGCGACACTTCGCTTCGAGTTTCGTTTACTTTCACAAGGGTCATAAATTTTCTTAAGGGTTGCTTAGGCTGCTAGCCTCGTTTTCTCTCTCGACTCCCACGCTCTCTCTCACGCGCGCCCGCTCCAACATGGCCGCGTAACCTCCACCACCACTCGGTTCGAGGGTGGATCATCGATCGAAGACGATCCGGATGGATGGGGCTCAAAAAAGTCGGGACGAAGACGAATGCCAAACTATTTTCGAACATACTTAGTAGTTTTGACTTTTGCGCGCCTCGCCGAGCAGACCGGTCAGCGCTCCACGGGCACCAACCCACCGTCCTTTTTCCCTAAACCGCGACCTCGGGACCAGAGATGCCAGAAAAGCACCGCCGGGTGCACACGCACACATGCCAGATACGCGTACGTGAGCTCGTGGAGTTTCGGAAAGTCGACAAAGGCAAACTGACGCATGCCCTCTTTCTCGATTCTCCGAAGCCGCCCGAAGTAATTTCGGATCGCCTCGTGGGAGTCGAGAGAGAAAGGCTCACATTTGCCTTCTCGCTCTAAACAACTGAAATCCGACCTCCCGTCAACGGCATACGATTTGGATTCTCGAGCCGAGATTCTCGACTGCCCAGGCATTTTTACTTTCCGACCTATGTAGGCGCACATAAGCAAAGTACCCATAATGAAAAAAAAATTTTGTAAAATTTATTTTACGGAAATACACGTTTTAAGACCTCCTGATCATATTTTAATTATTGAAAAAAAAGACATTTTTTTTTATTCCCATGTATGAGCACACATATGTATATTATTAATACGATTGAATATAAATAGCTGAATGAATTTAAATGAAACTTTACATTTAAGTTTTATGTTCTCATTTCAAAGGCGTGTGGACGGATTCAAATACGTGAACACTAATCGTAACGATGTAATTATATTATTTAATATTTACTAACTATTTAACATAAAGAACATAAAAGAAAGACATAAAACGTAAACGTAAAAGATCATAAACGTAAAACTGTGATTGCTCTCGACTAACGTTCGATACAGAGTGACGTTCCTGCAGTCAAAGTCGACCCTTCCTTATTCCTATCTTATAATAATGATCTAAACAAAACGCACGTTCGAGACGCAGTCTCTAAAACGTATTTCAGCTTAAACCTAAACACCTCACTCGATACCTACTCTAGCTTAGACTAAACACTCCTATCGACGCAAACGATAACGGTTCTCCTAGCCACACACATACACTCCTTACAGATTATACCTCTTGTTTCATAGTTGTTCCGATATATAGGCATAATGTATAAAAAATCTTTTAAATGTTTCATATAAATCTTAGGACGAATTAAATTTTATATAAAAAAAATTATATAAACTTTTTCTCTATCTTCTCTAGAAAAGAAAAAATTAAATGAAATCTTATACATTACATGCTTACTTAAATCGCATTGAAAACGAATACCACAAATGTTTTAGAATAATGTGCAAAATGTGATTACGATTTTCGCTAAGACAAATTGAAAACTCGGTTCTAACAAGGAAAAGTTGGAATGGTACCCGATTTTGGGTTAGGTTTTACTTTGAGATATTATTAAAGTTATTACAGATCCTTATCTTCAGAAATAGAAATACATTCAATAACGAGCGTGGCGTGAATGACAAGGTATTTGCCTGCAAGTTCCGAGCTTCTTCTACTCTGCAGGTTCAAACCCTTCCAAAACAAATCCTTTTTTTTTATTTTTTCAATCATATTTTAATCGTACACTAAATGTGACATTATATTTTTGTCTGACCTTCTGTCGGGGTACGTTTTAACAAAACACTAAAATATTTTATTGATACAATCGACTGCCGAAGCGAGGAGAAAACAGGAAGAAGAAGAAGAAGAAGAAGAAGAACGAGCCCGCTCGCTCGCGGATTATTTATACACCTCGCGCACACGCTCTCTCTTTCTTTCCTTCTCTCGCGCGCGCGCACGCATTTCTTTTCTAATTGCGCGAATATTCAAATCGTTGCTACACTTCGAATATTTTTTTTTTTAAATTGTATTTAACATATGTTATTTTCAATGTACGAAGTACATGAATCTGGATGGTACTTTTCACAAAAACAGTCAAAACATAAAAATTTCAAGCACCACGTACATTTACTGAAAGTTTTGTTTTCACAGAAATTACAAAATTTTGTATTTAACTCTGATGGAAAGGCCGCTTCATTTACATTGATAAAATGTGAACGATTTTCGGATAGTCGTACCTTGTAGCTCGTACTTTTTACCTTATACTTCAGGTAAAAAGGGATATAGCTGGGAAAAACAGTTTTATGACATTACCTGCTAACTTATGTTACTGTTCTACAATGAAACGCTATGTTTTGTACCTTTAAAAATATTCGACTATGTGCTTTTAAAATTTAAGATACAACCCATACTTTGTATTAAACTGGCAAACGGGATCACTTTTCCTTTGTTTCTAGTTAGTTCTATTTAGTTCGTCATAACCAATTGATACGGTTATTTCAAAACAATCGAGGAAAATCATTATTAATTAATTTCTGCAATTATTAATTCTACTGTTTTGTTTATGTTATAAAAGTAAGAACTCTTCTTATTGAAAAATACCACAGCGTGCACAATACTGGTAAAGAGTGGAATCTCATTTTAATTTATTAATTTTCAATCTTAAAGTATTTTGATTTTCAAAAATCGTATTAATAATATACATATGTGTGCTCATACATGGGAATAAAAAAAAATGTCTTTTTTTTCAATAATTAAAATATGATCAGGAGGTCTTAAAACGTGTATTTCCGTAAAATAAATTTTACAAAATTTTTTTTTCATTATGGGTACTTTGCTTATGTGCGCCTACATAGGTCGGAAAGTAAAAATGCCTGGGCAGTCGAGAATCTCGGCTCGAGAATCCAAATCGTATGCCGTTGACGGGAGGTCGGATTTCAGTTGTTTAGAGCGAGAAGGCAAATGTGAGCCTTTCTCTCTCGACTCCCACGAGGCGATCCGAAATTACTTCGGGCGGCTTCGGAGAATCGAGAAAGAGGGCATGCGTCAGTTTGCCTTTGTCGACTTTCCGAAACTCCACGAGCTCACGTACGCGTATCTGGCATGTGTGCGTGTGCACCCGGCGGTGCTTTTCTGGCATCTCTGACCAGTGGCTACCGCCAGTAACATAGATGGTGCTGTTGAGCTGGGGAATTGTCCCAATGTGCCGTCATAATGGTTAGGTTTCTAACCGTAGAAGAGATCAGTTGAATCATACACAACAGCTGTGTCGAAGTATCTGGACGTAAATATATAAAATCGCTGTGTTGAATAATGGCGTCATAATTTCCCCAGATTCGTTATTCCTATACAAAGTAGGAAGAAATGTTAGAGAAAAATATTACTAAAAAATTAAATCAACTTTAGATTTGGCGTCGGGTGTCGCTAGTATCGTGACAGTGAAAGTCAGAGGTGAAAGTTTCACTGTGAAACATTATGGTTTTATCGTCATGGTTGTCGTGGTCACTGTTATGACAATAACGTGACAATTTTGATTTTTCGGTAACAAGCTTTATCGTGTCATAAATTATACGAACAGATATTCAAATTAGTTTATTGTATGTCATTTTGAAAGTAATTAAATGTTATATAGTACCCGACTGCATAAACGTAATCAAAAAACTACTATACAGTCACGACAATTTATTGCCACGTGAAAATGTATCTTAACAAACAGAAATTGATGAACAAATATAAAAAATAAAACAAATAACCAATTATTGTTCTAAATTTTAAATAATTTTTTAAACGTTACTTTATTCTAAGATATTACGAATAAATGAAGACTTTCAGAAAATGGGGTGGACATATTTCTTTTACGTATTATTAGATACATAGCAGTTAATGTAGGTTGAAAATCGTTGATTTAATATGAAAGTTTATATTGTTTAGTGTTGCGTAGTAATATTGTTGTACCGTTTAATATAGGAATTCAAAACAATGCATCACACACGAAAGATTTTGTTTTACACGCTTGTAAATATAATGTATATGTATTCATAATTTTCGTTTCATCCGAATTAAATTAAATATGATTTTTTATACAAAAGTGTTGGTATTATTTGGTAAAGTTGCGAGGTTTCGTGAAAATATTCCTTAACAAAGAGGATATCCGGTAATGGCGTTGTGGTAATTTGAGTGGCGATGGTCGATGCTCCTCTTTCCGGGAACCGGCGTCCATTTTCCTTGTTGGCTTGTCTAAGATTGGCGCGTTCCTCATTTACGAACGGATTGTTTGCCGACAAATAAATCGTAAGTAATGTTCGATGGCAAGAAATCATTATCGTTGTTTGAATTCATTGTTCGATGTATCCGTGTTTTTTAATTTATTACGAAAATAACACATAGAGAAAAACAACGCTGGCTAGCTTGATCGTTTCACGTAGCGTCATACAGCAAGATATAGAATGTGCGATGTAGTGTGACTCTTTGTTAAGTTAAAATGGAAAAGTTCGGTAGTGTACCCTGTTTCTTAATCTTAAAGCAAAGTACGATGATAGAGGAAATGTTTCTTCGATGCTCTCATGGTTTTATAAAAGTAGGAATGGTCGGAGTGTATACTTTCTTTGCGCTATGAATTACATGAATTTGTTATAAAAATTCGTAGAAAACACGTATACACGTATTAATTTCGCTTTATTATTCAAAACTATGTATTGTATGTGTATAGTATCTGAAAACATTGACATAGTTGGTTTATGTGCAATACAAATAATCTGTAACGATATACCTTGTGCCATGCATTGTTTTTCTTTAATCTGTCTTCTTTAATAAAAACTCTGGAACACTACAAAATAATAGCTTTTCTTCAACCACATGTATTTTCAAAGAATATTTAATTATTAAACGATTCATCTACATTTATTTTTATTCTTTGTTTTTAAACTTCATTTTTAGCAACAAAAATTAAAACTTTTCTTTAAAATTTCAGACATAATTATAAATGGAAGGATCTTTAGCTAGCAGAGCTGGGTTTCGTAGCCGTGGTGGTCCAGGAGGTCCTATGAGGGGACGTGGTGGTTTTGGAGATAGAGGAAGGTATATATAATTATTATTAATAATAATTACATCATAGATCACCTCAAAATATGTAATTTTACTTAACCATACATAGAAAAATTTGTGCATGATTGTAACTTTATCTTTATTTATAGATGTAATTATGTAAATTCAACCGTTGTTTGAATTATGTCTGCCTTAATTCCGACATTGCTGCGGAAAAATAAATTTAAGCTTTTATCATATTTATGAAAATGAAACGTAATCTAAAGCATTTGTGTTTCAATAGAGGTGGACCACCGAGAGGAGGAGGCATGATGCGCGGAGGTCGTGGTAGTGGACCAGGAGGTGGTATGAGAGGTGGACCACCTGGAATGAGGGGTAGAGGTGGACCTCCTGTCAGGGCCCGTGGAAGACATTTTCCACTTGGGTATAGTATATTAAAGCAATCGCTTATTATATTAATTAATTATTTTAAATAACACCTTGAACAAAATTATGACAATTCATTACAGTCGATTTGTTAGAACTAGCTTATTATATTTTGAAACATTAAAATCCTTCAATCCGTTCGAAAGTTATGACGTTTTAAAGATACGCATGAAATTTCCGGTCAACATTTCTGGCCACAGATTATATTTACGGTAATGAATTTTTTTCTCGAAAGTACGTAGGATTTCGAGGGTATGTCTATTCACCAAAAATTATTGTAATTGACCCCCGCAATCGAAAATAATTTTTCCAGAACGATTTGAAATTTTTTCTTTTCACCGAGAAATTTATAGACACCTACTCGAATTTTTTTCTCGAAAGTGCATAGGATTTCGGGGGTATGTCTATTCACTAAAAATGATTGTAATTGACCCCTGCAACCTAAAACAGTTTTTCCAGAATGATTTGAAACTTTTCAATTTCGCCCCAAAATTTCAGCACCTACCCCCTGTCGATTTTGCTTAAAAATTCAGTTTTGATTTTTAATAAACATAACCATGGGTAGTGTAGTAATACAATTTATTAATGAAATTCCTACGCTTTATTTAATTCCATTCATTTGTTTTATTAATTCGGTTTGTGTTACCATAAATGAATCTTGAACCAAAGCACGTGTGTGTAGTTATACACTAACTTGCGTCGTATATTTTGTCGTTTCAGGGGTCCACCAGAAGGAGGAATGTCCAGTGGACCTGGTGGTAGTGGACCACCAGGAATGGGAGGTCCACCACGTGGCGGTAGCAGAGGAGGGAGCAGCGGTTTTCGTAATAGAGGGAGGGGTGATTTTGGCAGGGGCGACAGTCGCGGAAGCAGTAGTAATTTCTTAGGACGAGGAAGGATGGACAGAGGCTCCAGGTATAGTTTATAATTACAGTTATGTTGTACACATAAGGGACTATTCTTACAAGACTTCGATTTATAATTAACTGCTATAGCGGTCACTTCGACTGGACGGATTTTCAAACCTACAACGTGTTTTTAAAACTTTACAGTAGCCTTAACACTAGAACTATTGAAACAGTCAAAATGACCGATTCCTAATTTCTAATAAAAGGGTATAGCCGAATAAAGGGATCAAATGTGCCCCCAAACCGAATGGAACGAGCCACGGGTCATTCGATAGCAAAAAAAAAACCCCTGTGTGCAAATTTTTAACTTGAAATCTCGACCGTGGGGGTAGTAATGGGGTGAAAACGAAAATCATGTTTTTGTACAATTTCTCTTGACCTATTGAGTAAAAAAATGTAACAAAATTCGGAGACATTTCGGGTACCGGGGCACATACTTTGGGAGATTTTCAGATTTTTTGATTGAAGAACCAGGTAGTGAAAAATAAAAAACAGCAAAAAATGCCGAAAAATGCCGATTATGTATTGAAGGAGGCCCGGAACTACTTTTAAACTTTTACAGTAAACAGGTATTACTATTACTATTATTCTCAATTTTTTTCAGATTTTTCATTTTGGTGCGCCGCAGTGAAAAAAAATAAAAACGAGTTTTTCCTCATTTTCTGCGTGTTAGAGTAACTTACACGTTGAATTTTTATGCATCCTTCAATATATAAGTGTTTTGTAGACTGTTTAATGTTTCTACACTAAGCAGAATTACATAACAATTGAAACAAATAAAATAAAGCCAACCGTTGAGCGCAATATATCCTAGAAAATCAACGATATTTTCAACGGCGTCGATGGCACAGCGTTAGAGTGTCCGACTGCTGAACCGCTGGAAGTTCTTTTACCGTAGGTTCGAGTCTCTCTTCTGGACTTAGTATTTTTTTTTTCAAATTCTAACTATATAACAATGCTTTATATTTATTTAGAAATGTTCTGAAAGCATTTTACAAATATTTTAACCTAAAATATGTATAAATTTAGTTTTGGAGTGTTTTTTGCGTTTTTATTTTTTTTGTCAACCACGATTATTGTTTAACATCTCTTACACTGAAATTAATGTGAAATGTTAGTTTTCAAATCTCTTACCTTTAACTATTGTGAATGGATCGGAGCAGAAGATTGTATATTGACTTACTATTACTTCTTCTCGCCCTTCAATCAAGCAGATCTTTCCTTCTTTTTCTCTTTCTTTGATAAATATGAATGTTTGCTATGGCTTCAGTATCTAACGTAGACATGTGAGGGCCATTCCACGCCAAATCTATTAACCCACTCTCTGCCAATGATACTTTTTTCTAATAAACCCATTTTTAAGTACCAGTTTGATCGTTTCATACTTATTTTTGAATGAAGTATCATTGCTCGATGGAAACCACGGGGAAAAATGATTAATTGTCCTACCTGCATTACGAAGGAAATAAAGGTTCGTTGGGTGAGGGCCCAGACCGTTCAGGTCAATGGGTGATTGTCGCGTTCGGGTTTCACAATGTATTTTTTAATTACTCAGTTCAAGCTACTGTATGCGATGGGATTTATACATAATTACTTGGCATCGTCCGTAGAGGTTGGTCCTACAAATGTTTCCATTACCTTTAAAACCAGCAGTAAGGAAAGGATAATAACCCTTACATGCCTACGTTAGATACTAAAGCCGCAGCAAACATTCATATTTATCGAAGAAAGAGAACGAGAAGGAAAGATCTGCTTGATCGAAGGGCGAGAAGAAGTAATAGTAAGCCAATATACAATCTTCTGCTCCGATCCATTCACAATAGTCAAAGGTAAGAGATTTGAAAACTAACATTTCACATTAATTTCAGTGTAAGAGATGTTAAACAATAATCGTGGTTGACAAAAAAAATAAAAACGCAAAAAACACTCCAAAACTATATTTATACATATTTCAGGTTAAAATATTTGTAAAATGCTTTCAGAACATTTCTAAATAAATATAAAGCATTGTTATATAGTTAGAATTTGAAAAAAAAAATACTAAGTCCAGAAGAGAGACTCGAACCTACGGTAAAAGAACTTCCAGCGGTTCAGCAGTCGGACACTCTAACGCTGTGCCATCGACGCCGTTGAAAATATCGTTGATTTTCTAGGATATATTGCGCTCAACGGTTGGCTTTATTTTATTTGTTTCAATTGTTATGTAATTCTGCTTAGTGTAGAAACATTAAACAGTCTACAAAACACTTATATATTGAAGGATGCATAAAAATTCAACGTGTAAGTTACTCTAACACGCAGAAAATGAGGAAAAACTCGATTTTTATTTTTTTTCACTGCGGCGCACCAAAATGAAAAATTTGAAAAAAATTGAGAATAATAGTAATAGTAATACCTGTTTACTGTAAAAGTTTAAAAGTAGTTCCGGGCCTCCTTCAATACATAATCGGCATTTTTCGGCATTTTCTGCTGTTTTTTATTTTTCACTACCTGGTTCTTCAATCAAAAAATCTGATAATCTCCCAAAGTATGTGCCCCGGTACCCGAAATGTCTTTGAATTTTTTTACATTTTTTTACTCAATAGGTCAAGAGAAATTGTACAAAAACATGATTTTCGTTTTCACCCCATTACTACCCCCACGGTCGAGATTTCAAGTTAAAAATTTGCACACAGGGTTTTTATTTTTTGCTATCGAATGACCCGTGGCTCGTTCCATTCGGTTTGGGAGCACATTTGACATACGATGGATCCATCGATAGAGCATCAAGAAAAAACGTTCTGTGCCAAATTTTAACCCCCTATCTTGTTTGAAAGGGTAGTTATTGAGAAAATTCGGATTAACGAATTTCTGCCTATTTCCCCTATTTAATCGAGTACAAAAATTATGAAAAAAATCTACTGCATTGTGGTTATTGAGATACGTGTTTGAGAATTTTTTCCGATTTTTCGATTCCAAATCCTAGGTGTGAAAAATTGAAAACGCAAAAAAACACAGAAAAATACGGATTTCGTATTGAAGCTTTCGAGACACTAGATTTCTATAATTACTGTAAATGCGTATTGTCATTGGTTATCTCCCTGAATTTTTTCAGATTTTTTGGTAGGGTGCGCCGTAGTAGCAAAAATCAAAAACCGATTTTTTCGACGTTTTTCGCGTGAAAAAGCATCTTATACTTTGAATTTTTGTATTCTCTTTAATAGATATCTATATTGTATTGTTTTAAACATTTCTATGTTGAGCAGAACTGTGTATACAAGAAGAAAAGCAAAAATAAGTCACGGAAAAAAAGTGCTATGCGCGATATATTGAGAAGTATCAACGGTATTTTCAAGAGCCGCGATGGTGCAGTAAGTAAGATGCTTGACTGTGAGACTGCTGCAAACTTTTTGACGCCCGTTCGCGCCCTGCTAATGTACATTTTTTTTATTATACTAATTTTGTTTTTTTTTTTCAATTTCTAACTAAACGACAGTGAGAAACTATTTGTTTATTAATATTTAAAAATATTTATTATTGGCAGTCTAAATTACTTATTTTAGACGAGAAATTGTTCCCTTATTATCCAGTTCCGTTACACATGTCCACATTTCAACAAAGGTGATGCGTAATGCTTAACCCAAGACTCAGGTGGCTTCATTGCTTCTTCGCAGTATCTCTTTTTATTCAAGAATCTTCTTCCACTATTCAAACTTATTAAAGGTTTGCGATTTTAAAACTAACTACGTATATTCATTTAACGTAGAACAAATTAAACAGTGGGATATTTAAGCAAATACTAGAGAAATGATGGAATAGAAACTGCTCCATAATTGTTTTTGGGTATATTTTAGGTGAAAATATTTTTTAAATATTAATAAACAAATAGTTTTTCACTGTCGTTTAGTTAGAAATTGGAAAAAAAAAACAAAATTAGTATAATAAAAAAAATGTACATTAGCAGGGCGCGAACGCGCGTCAAAAAGTTTGCAGCAGTCTCACAGTCAAGCATCTTATTTACTGCACCATCGCGGCTCTTGAAAATATCGTGGATACTTCTCAATATATCGCGCATAGCACTTTTTTTCCGTGACTTATTTTTGCTTTTCTTCTTGTATACACTGTTCTGCTCAACATAGAAATGTTTAAAACAATACAATATAGTTATCTATTAAAGAGAATACAAAAATTCAAAGTATAAGATGCTTTTTCACGCGAAAAACGTCGAAAAAATCGGTTTTTGATTTTTGCTACTACGGCGCACCCTACCAAAAAATCTGAAAAAATTCAGGGAGATAACCAATGACAATACGCATTTACAGTAATTATAGAAATCTAGTGTCTCGAAAGCTTCAATACGAAATCCGTATTTTTCTGTGTTTTTTTGCGTTTTCAATTTTTCACACCTAGGATTTGGAATCGAAAAATCGAAAAAAATTCTCAAACACGTATCTCAATAACCACAATGCAATAGATTTTTTTTCATAATTTTTGTACTCGATTAAATAAGGGAAATAGGCAGAAATTCGTTAATCCGAATTTTCTCAATAACTACCCTTTCAAACAAGATAGAGGGTTAAAATATGGCACAGAACGTTTTTTCTTGATGCTCTATCGATGGATCCATCCTATGTCACATTTGGTTCAAGGGCACATTTGACCCCCTTATTCGGCTATACCCTTTACTCGACTAAATTTTTGAAAATTTATCTATAGTTTTAATTTCTTTGGTACAAATTAATGCACTATGCTCACTTGCAAGTTATTAAAAGTTAAGAAGAATCATTTAAATTTCTTCGAGTTTGGAATACGAGAATTTCAGAATACAGTTATTGTCCTAAGTGCTACATTATAGCACCGAAACTCTTTACCAAATGACTTGATATTATAACTAGCATTGACACGACGTATTTATGACGTTGACGTTATAACTTGAACGTTGTTTAGGCCATGCAAATATACTCTGAGCCAAGTAATAGATACTATTCGTTTCGTTTATTATTTTCAGAGGTGGATCGGGTAGGGGTGGTCCAGGAGGTAGGGGAGGTTTTGGCGATCGTGGAAGCAGAGGCAGCGGACGTGGCGGTCCATCGAAACGCGGGGGTGGACCACCAGGATCCAGTGGACCTTCCAAAAGACCGAGATTCGATCAACCGTCTTCACAACCCGCGAACGGCTATGCAACTCAAGCACCCAGGTAGTTATTACCTTTACGATTAAATTTGTTTTGTAAAAGATCGAAAATAGCAAACATTAAATTTGCAACCTCTGAAATACTACGACGCAGTCAAGGTGGATACGGTGGTACTAGTAGTGCCTACGGTGGAGGACAACAGCAGCCACAACAACAACAAGCAGTGGGATATGGCGGCGGTTATGGATCACAGAATTACACCCAGTCATCGTATCAAGGCTACGAAAGTTATCAGCAACCACCAGATTACGGCCAAACAGCGGTAAGTATAATTTTTATTACATAACATGCCTTTATTGCAATCATTAAAACTCATTTTAGTCTTAGGGCAAGCTTTATATGTCTATAATAATGTAATATTTTCGGCAGTAATTTCAGCCTTCTTCGGTAAAAGCATTTCTGCGATAATAATCAAATTATGAAACATTAATGAGAGAAATTCAAATTGTAACATTTTAAACAATATACACAGAAATGGAAATGAACAAGTTACAAATATATATGTTGGACACGTGTATAATAACGGAACTCTTACATGTTCGAAATAAGAAAAAAACTATTTACAATAAAACATGTATTTATGGACTACGGCAAAGAAGTATTCTCGATATGTAGTGGAGATGTAAGATCGTCGTTTCTTGAATTCCTCTTTCTACAAAATAAATGTCGTTATCTTTAAATTAAATTTGTAGAAAAAGAATATAATTCCATGTTCCATAAATACTGAATACGGTTTAACAAGAAAACCTAAAAGCGTATCTCGTACCATTTTATAACAAGTGTATCTCGTAGCGCAATCGGGGAATTAGTATCTTTTTTGTGCAGAAACAAATTCGAAGTAGAGATGAAAATTTCTGTTGTAACCTTCCGTTATATATTGGCGAGAAAAACATCTTTGAAAATCTGTACAATTTGCGTGCTTTAGATTAAGAAGTAACATTCGCGAAGTGCTTCCCCCTCTCTGATTTTGATAAGACTTTTTGCGCTTGCAGAATGTCCAAAAATAAGGTATACAAATTTTTTAACACAAAACTGAACATACATTTTACCGAAGAGAGAACGTAACAAAAAAAATTGTTTAATAATATGTATGAAACTTTAATGATTAACTCCCTGATAAGGTAGAGCAGGTGATCAATTGTGGGTGACTATAGTCGTCATTAGTATCGAAAGGATTAAAAAACTTCCCTTTATCTCGAATAGTTTTCAAGATAGCGTATGTAATGAAATTTTGGAAGATAGTTACTCTACTTAAACTTAGTTACCACAGCAAAAAAAAAAGAATACGTAGCCCTTATTTTTGGTAGCTCTAAGAACATGCCACGTTTCATCAAAATCATGGAGGGGGCAGAGGGGCTGGGAACATTCTCGGACGTTCCTAGTAAGTGTAAAGCTCAATCTAACCAAATTTTTAAAATAAAATGTGTATAATTAAGATGATTTCATGAATAATGATAAAGCATTTATCATTTAAGACGTTTATAAATATAATACAATTAGGAATACATATGCAGTATTGCTCTCTCATTGTCCTCCATTTTTGTCCTTGAAATATACGAAGGCAAACAAGCTAAAGATGTAACCTCGACTCAATCTTGTCTCTCTGATCGACAAGTTATCGCGTCTCGATTCCAATTCTACGATAAATACACAGACAAGCTTTATATTCGCCTATTCGTGGATCTGCAAAGATGAAACTTAGTAGCATGCATGTCTGATAAGATTTTTAAAGTTGTTTCTTCCATAATTTGTTTTTGCATGAAATATTGCCCACTTCTCGGTTGTACCATAATTATTGGACATTCTATATAATAATTAAACAGAAATAACATAATTCGTAATAAATGTTACAAACTAAAAATTCGTACATTTTTGAATTAGGATTGTTTAAGAAATGGTGAATTATTATTATTGTCTTTAATTTCTTATTTTTATTAAAGTGTTTTCTATTTTATCCATGGTAGGATTGTAACTGTGATCGATATTAACTTATTGTTGGCAGACATTTTGGAATATGAACGTTGAGAAAATGCAGAAATCTATTGTATATCTAAAAATTACTTTGTCTAATGTATAAATTAATATGGCAGGGTTTCTAAAGAATTTCCTGTTGTAGGTCCAAAACAGTTAAAGTATATATAATCTAGTATATGTAAACATCGGCCATAAAGGATTAATATTTCCCAATTGAGAATCCATCGACAGGATCAAACATTTAAAGTAATAGTGTTTCACTGAAATGAGTTTTAATAATTGTATAAGCAAGCTATTATTTCCTTTTATTATTCATTGCAATTATCTTGTTTGTAAAATAAAATTATCGAAGAAAAGTGATTCAATTTAGAAAATAATTGTAACTTAAAATTTTAAATATAATTAACTTAGAATTAAATATAATAATGGTAAAATAGCGTTAACGATTGTGGGAACGAAACTTTGAGCATAGATTAGTTTACTTGGCCGTTTCTACCAATGAAGACTTTCTTCGAAAATTATTTAAAAATGTTAATAATTAACAATTTAAATTGTGTGTTATTCGTTCTTTGTACTTATTTTATATGTCGATAATGTCGTTTACATTCGTATACGAATAATAAGAAACATTTACGCAAGTTCCTTCCTGGTCTTTGTTTAATTCGATAGATTTTGGTGTTTAGAGTATTCATAAATTATTCATATGTTATTTATTATTTACTTAAGCATTTCATTTGATCAAATACTTCCGTTTTTTACAATACAGGGTGTTCAGCCACCCCTGGGAAAAATTTTAATGGGGACTTCTGGAGACCAAAATAAGACGAAAATCAAGTATACCAATTTGTCGATGAAGGCTTCGTTAAAAAGTTATTAACGTTTAAAGTTCCGCCCGTACTGAATTTTTTTTATCGAAAATGCGCAGGATTTTAGGGGTTTATCTATTGACCAAAAATGTTTGTAATAGGCCCCTGCAACCAAAAATTATTTTTCCAGAACGATTTGAAATTTTGTAATTTAATTTTGTAATAACTTTTTATTGAAGCCTCAGTCAAGAAATTGATATTCTTGATTTTCGTCTTATTTTGGCCTCTAGAATCTCCCATTCAAATTTTTCCCAGGGATGGCCGGACACCCTGTTTAATCGTGTACGGTTTACACGAAATTTGGGATTAATGGAATACGTATAAAGTAAGTGGTGTTTTTATCCAGGGCTATCCACCATCGGCAGCCGCTGATAATAGGTACGGTGGAGCACCTACTGTACCTGCTGCAGGAGCTTTCAGTGCCGGTGATCCCTATAGTTATGGCAAAGCACCGCCATCAGGTTGGTATTGTATGAATAATACAAGGTGGCGAAATTTGCATGGTTTAAGTGTTTTCGAACGGAGCTATTATAAGCGATGTTTATGAAACAAAGGACAATGATGGAAATTTACCAATTTTGGGGCCTGTCTGGCAACGAAAATTTCTCACTGGATTTGTTTCTATAGGCCTTGAAAAGTCCATAATGTACTTATCACGTTATAAGAAATAAGCGAATTTTCGTCGTTGACATTTTCAAATATATCCTGTAAAGAAATTCCGTTGCCAGGTAGACTCAAAATTGTCCAATTTCCATCATTGTCATTTAAAAGCGTTAACATTCCATAACCCTATTGCGAGTAAAGTAAAAAGAGGTCGGACTCGTTCGTTGAAAATCGTAATTTAATTAATGTGATAATACTGCATGCACAGCCATTTATCAGCAGGAGGCAGTGGTGACAGTAGCAGGGTGCGGGGGTTCGATTTATGCCCCTGTTAATCCTTATGATGACCAATCGTCTAATACCGCTTCTATGACCAACAGGAGTGGTTACTCGACGCAACCTTATGGTTAGTTTTTTCGTTCGACACCACACTTTACACCACATTTTGTTAATCCTGACCTCGGTATCATTTCGAAAAGAAAGAGACAAGAAAAATGCTTTGCCATTTGGGGAATTGGATTTATTTTCGTAAAGCATGCACGAATAAAATTAGAGTCTTATTTTTATTTTCTTTGTTCAAACGACGAAACAGTAAATAATTGTAGGACTTTCTAGTACGGAATGTACATGTATATTTCGTCGTACAGACGTTATACTCAAATGAAACAAAGTGCTAGCACTAGAATCTTAGGAAATAATTAAAATCCATATAATTTCATTAATTTTCTTTCGTTATTTCCTATTTCACTATACATAAATAAATAGAAAAATAGCTTAATCATAAAGAATATGAACTATTGTTTACAATTTATTTGCCCAGTGTTATTTAGTGTTTCGTCACAGTTATTGATCACACCAAACACAACTAAGAATTCTTTTGTTTGTTTAAAAAAAAAAAGAAAAGTTGTACATTTGAATCTTCTTGTGGTTCGAATGAGTTGCATTTTACAATTGCTGGCATTAGAACACAGAAGTTTGTAAGACACGAGGAAGCGTGGACATTAATGGCTAATTTTCATCCAGACACCAGCACTGCAGCACTGCCTCCTGCCATACTTCACCTCAGACCGACACTACGTCATGAGTATTTTTACACCTGAAAAAAATTAAAAAAAAAATCCAATAACGTTTAAATCTTTACTTTCGCGGAGGTAAACGTATGACTATAATTCTAAATTTATTAGATTACAGATCTTTCTCGTCCAAGTCATACATCCTTCACTATGAAGCATCTACAGTTCACAGATTTATAATCCTTGTCTGTTATACTTACAGATTATGCGAGTCAGGACGGTGTATATGGAAAACAGGATTATGGTAAGTACAATTCATAATCCAAAAGAATTCTTAACATCTAAAAGACAGGTTTTTGTCGTGAATAAGACAATTAAAATAGGGATGTTCGATGCTAAAATCGATCGTTTCAAGACGAGTGTCGATTCTTAAAATCGATTTGACTTTTTAAATGGAGTTTCTAGTTCTTTATGCTCGAACTTTTGAGACAGTCTAATAAGTGAGATTATTTATCCACGATTAAGCATCGTTGTATTTGCTAATGGTAGAGAATTATTGTTCCAGCAGAATTGCTTATTTTTAAAAACAGGCAATGTTATGGTTGCAATTGCAGCCGAGTAATATTTACTATTTTTAAACTCACTACCATTGAACGAGTGTGGTGACTAAATGGTAGTAATCAATTCACAATTTCCATTCCTTGTTTTGTAGCGTGTTAAATATAAATATGGAGGTGCGATTAAAAAGTATATGCGAATTGTAATGGATAATTTAAAAAAAAAAAAAATGAGTTTTCAAATTAAAATTGATTACAGAATCGAACATTCCTAATTTGGGACCAGTATCCTAACATACCGTTGAAAAGAACGGTTGTATTCGTTAACGCAATGAAACTGAAATAATTGAAAAGACGAGAACGAAGTTCGTACGAAAAATTTTCAATTTACGAGTTCACGAGAAACAAATGCAAAAGACGTTTTAACGTTAAATGCAAAAGTTTATCGGTTAGCGCAGGTTTATTTTTACTATATTTTTATAAAAAGAAACTACAAAAGTGCAGAGAGAAAATTCATAATTTTCGGTGATAAGAACTATGCAGATTCGAACAAAAAATGAGAGTTATCAACGATTATTAGACACAGATGTTTCTATTAAAAATAATTTTGGTTTAAACTTATACTTACATTAGATCGAAAACAAGCTTAAGAACAGTACACAAAATTTAAATTGCATGATAGTTGAAAAAAAAAGAAAAAAGAAACTTTAAGATGCGCCCAAAAAAAATAAAGGTGAATATATAACGTGTGCATATTCATAAATTTTTATGCAACAGTTAACGTGTATGTAAGCGTAGAATTAAAATACAGAATCAAATAACGAAATTATACTTACGAAATGATTGAACGGAGGAGCTATGGTTGTTTGCAGGTGGCAGTGCTGGTTACCAAAACGCCCAGTCTCAGCGACGTTATTAAATTACACGTTCAACTATTTAAATTTATATATTAGATCCACACTTTTCCAAATTTAAAAGAGTCGTTCCCGGCGCGTGAAAATGTCGGACAAATGTAAATTTGTCTTTATCACACAAATAGTATAGATAATAATTGAACGAAGAGAGCGACTTTTACATTATGGAGGAAAAGGAAGAGAAGTACAGAATGCACCGTAACGAGATTTCGATAATTTTAATCCTATATTTGTCGCGCCCAAGGGTAAAGAAAGAATAAAAAAAAAGATTCGTTATAAATTGCGCTTGAAGGCGCATCATATACCTATCGTTTAATCACGATCAAAGTATAAATGACAAGAGCGTTTTATACTTGACTAGCAGTATAGCATCTACTTCGTCATGTTTGTCTAATAAACTTCGTTTAGGATTAAGTTTAGTTTTTGGTGTACAGTACATTTTCAAGCTATAATCTGCGATTGTGAAATGATTAACGTTAAATCGTATTAATCGTCTTCATTGTAATAGCAAAGATACAAAGATGTTTACACTATTTGTAAAGTCATTTTGAACAGTCGATTATTGCGAACGCAGCTCAATTATTGCTAAAGAATTCTAGGTGTATAGAGAGAAAGAGAAACAAAATGAGAAATACAAAAACGATATGTCGTACGTCCTTGTGTAAAAGGAAGTAAAAAGTAATTGTATTTTGTGGTGTGTTTTGTTTATACATTTAACATAAATCGAGAAAGAGACGTTAACTTGTATCGGAACGTATTGCTCTTTTATGCGTTGATGGTGCGATTATCGGATTCTAATGACATTCTGAAATAATTTTTTATGATGCAATAAAAAAAAACAAGTCTTATCGTTGCGACGTTTCATTTCGTATATTTTAATTATGGCGCGCAGGTCGGCGCGAACGACGCGCCAACGCTCTGCTTTAGAGGTGACACAAAGTATTTTTTGTGTGTTTTATGTTGGTATCTTGGAGAGAACCCTAAAAAGAAATTTTTCATAACACGACGTGTAGGAGGCTTACCTTAAAGAAAGGTGTTCGAACAGCAAATACATATTGGTAGAAATGTCACACTGGCAGAGACAATCAAAAGAAAATGCTCTAACGATTCACGAGAACGGTTAGTTGTTTGTATCAGATTGAAAAATAGTGTTATTGTCCAAAGATCGAACATGCATAAACGTAGCTAAATAAACTTGTCCCAGCCAATTGTGTACATTAGAGTAGAAGCACCATTATGTAGGGCAGACAATGAGACCCAGTATTTCGTTTTATTATATGAATAACTATATGATTATCTAAACTGTACTAAACTCATTGTCGTATGTCATCAGCATAGTGATATAGTAAATCGATTAAATATTGTAAGTAATAGAGTAACGATTTAAATGAAAACGAACATTGAAACAAAAAATCATAAAGAAAGAAAAAACAATAATACTTTTTTACATTTATTATTTCCTCACCTTCAACATACAAGAGTATATGGACTTGAACTTGAAATGAAACTTAGCGAAAACTAGCGATTAAATATATGAAAACCAGCAACTGCCGTAGGAACCAGACGTGCGTTTAAACGATTTCAACCGTTTTAAAAAGAGCACAAATCTGTATTTCGTACAATTTACGTAGGTATGAGATTTTATTAAAGAAACGATTCTCGACATTTATCGAGGCGTATTCTTTCGTGATTGTTGTTTCGTTGAAAAAGCAAAGAAGAAACTATACGTTTTTTTTTGTTTTCTTGTATATAGTTTGTTCGAAAAGTATATATATATATATATCTGTCCAGAATGAAATTCTTGTGTAAGAAACTATTGGTGGACAATTCTAGGTGTATGAAAAACTTGACAAAAACTAAGTTTATTTCACAGGCGTAGCAACAACCTGAGATACTTAGGGAACAGAATGAAAGAAAGAGAGAGAATACCTTCCCTCCATTACCAGCAAGGAGATACCGACTCTGATAAACATACAATATTATACGAATAAATGACGACTGTAAGATAAAAAGTTTATTATTGACCGATGGCACAGGTACCGAAATATTTAAATGAAATCTAGAAAAAAAAAAAATGTTTCTTTTAGAGTATCCAGAGTTGGGCAAAATTTTATTTGGGTGACGGATAACGGATAAACATGAAAAATAATTATTAATGCATAAATGTCTGAGCATATTTAATATAGCGCCCCTAAAATTGAAGTTTTCTTTTATCATTATTTGCACCGTGACTCTTTTCTTAACTAGTTTAGGAATTTAGCTTCCTCTCCACTCGTAGTTCTATTATCGTACTACGGCTATCCAGAATGTAAACCCGAGAGGATATCCTCTTTTTTTGGTGACATGAAAAATTAGACCCAATAGGTTAATGTAACTTTCATTTTCTTAAGTAGTATCGAAATAGGGACTAGAGTCGACTACTTAAGTGAAAAATACATATTTACTGTTGGCCAATGTTATTCGAGTAAAGGTTGCAAAATTATTCGAATAAATAGTAACAGTAATTCGTTGTGGATAACGAAATAATTATTACTGCGGATAAAATATTCGATCAAATAGAATGTATTCGAAAAGAAGATATGTCCGAGACAAATATTTATTCGAAACCAGTTCGAATAATGCCCAACTCTGAGAGTATCATAGTACTTTTTATTAATTAGAATCCTTTAATTTAATTTTCTAAAGAGTCGATCTGTACTAAATAGTATTTGATCTTTTTTATGGTGCACCTAATTTTTTTCATTCGAAACATTGTCACAATTCTTTTTCGATGTAAATAATAAGCGTCAGTATATATATGTATCTGTTGTGTACAAAATTCAGTCACGCCACGTGCATATGTACACATATATATGTGTATATGCAAACAGAGAAAACACGTTTTAAAGAAAAATGCGAACAAATGTTAAGTAATCATGGAAAAGCACGCAAGAGTTAACAAATTAGAACCTATGCTAACATGTATTACGCTCGTATATATTTAAAAAAACAAAAAAAAAAAAAATACAAATGTTCGAGTAAACCTCAACCCATATTCAGGTGAGTAAATATAAATCTATCCGTTTTTTTTTTTATAAAAAAAAAAAGAACCTATCAACTTATTACAAAACAAATGTTAGCAAGGATAAATTCTACATATAGATCTGCATCTATCGAGTGTAAAGTGGAATCATTGAAAAATGTTAGAAGGCAATTTCAACAACCAATTCAAAATATATTGCTTTCAATAGGGATACAAACAATCAATAGAATTTTTTAGCTTTTACATAATTTAGGTACACAATATATATCTGGTATATCTTTGACAAATAACATAAATCTTTCCTTTCATAACCTTTGAACCGCTTTATACACGCGATACCTGCAGTATTGCATATCGTAACAATTAACAAATGAGGTCACGATCGAAAACAGATACTATTTAAAATTTTTTAAAAGTGAATATCAATTCGATAAAAAACCGAGTACAATCTATCGTAACCTTAATCAAAGAGAAAATGAAAGAACAGGGAAGAAATGTACTGAATACCTATATGAAAAGTCTAAAGAATGTTTTTAAGTAATAACAATGCATAATAACGATTGAAGTATTGAATATAAGCGCATTAGGCAATAGCTGTTAAGGTATCCGTAAGATTTTATTGCTTTTGTTATCTGTTACTATTTTCTAATTTCTTATTATTAATTTCTGTAGGTTGATAACAACTGTGCCGTCATGCAACCATTGAATGAAGCCGAGCAACATCTGCCACATGACTGGCATCGACGTTGTTTTTCAAGAGGATTCCAGTGACTTTTTTACATTTCGAACGGAGAAATTCGTAGAAAGGTAGTAACTTACGTTCGAAAAGACTGAATTTATAAGATCCACAAGTTCGAAAAACAACTGTGATATAATCTGCGATTAAAGAATATATTTTTACGAATGAAAAAGAAAGGTACGATTTCTATAAATCATTCGGAATAATCTTCGTGATCTAAAATTCATCAAGTATTGTGTGAAAATTTTTCTGCTTCGTTTATTTATATTTTGTGTTTGACATTAACATCGAAATATAAGTGTAAACAAATGAAAAATGTAAAAAAAAAAAAGAAAACTGAAAAATATATTCTATGCGACGTCTTTACTTTTACAATCTTCTTAAAATAGTTTTTCAACAATATGGCCTCGATCCTAATAATATTGTAACAACACGAAAACGTTATATCTTGGCATTGTGTAATGACGCATTAACTTGCATTAAATCTTATTGACTCTTAAAACATAACATCACATCGTCAATTGTTTTTTCGTTCTTAAACTAAACGCTAAATGTACAAAGGTATAATGTCGGTGTAAATTTCAATTAATTCCTAATAAAGTCCAGAACATACTAAAGAAAATGAGCACCATTTAATTTATTTACAATCCAACATTATTCTTTTGTACAGTTCTTATCCATTATGCATTCTTAAAACGACTGTACATCAAATCTGAGATTCGCTTACGGGAAGAGAAATGAAAGAAAAAGAGAGGCTGGTGTTTTCGTATTCGAAAGTTATTTTTACAAGAAATTTTCATCGGATTTAAAAAACAATATTTTCGCAAAAAGTAACTGCATGATTTTTTAATTTTATCATTTTCATAAAACTTATATACATAACAAGCGATTTTTTAAGGTCACATACCTATACATCGATAAATTCGTTGAGATCTGATACTTATAATTAAATTATTAGTTTCTTGTTCAAATTGTATCGTCTATAAATGTAAAATCTTAGTACATACATGGTGGGATAATCAAATTTAAAAAATTGTTTAGTAATATGTGTAAAATTTTAACGTGACTATAGTCATCGGTAGAATACTACGAGAGTGGAACGATAGATGACTATAGTCAATGTTAATGTCAAAAGGATTGAGAGGATCATCACCTTCACAGATTTTTGCTTAGTTTTGCATAATCATGTTACCAGCCTTTTATATCGAAACCGATATAGTATTAAAATTACTTTAATACCAAAACCAAAATAAATACTACCATTTTTACTACCTTCTGACGAAATAATACCGGTATTTATTTCGGTTTCAGTATAGCTTTGCTAGCACAATACCGGTATGAAAATCATAGCAAGTCCCTGAATTAAAGTAAATGGTAATCATTTTTGCGTAAATTATTCATGGCACAATTTCAGCTTATATTTGTATCGTTATTGTTTCATCGTAGACGTTTTTTACGAATATTGTTGGACAAAAGTACGAGTTGTACGTAACTGTGCCCTTCTCGCATATTGATTAATCTAAAAGAGTTGAAGCAAAGCTATAGATCAATTTGTACTAGTCAACTTCGCATCGAAATTTTACCTGTCTTTCTCCTGCTGTTGTATGTGAACTCTGTCGCCTCTTTGTAATTGTGTGATTACGCTAGTATAACACGACACTTCCGTGGCCGTTGTCGAAGACGATGTTGAACATTTGACGAGTTTTTGTGTTCTAGATTTGCCTTCTGAACTTAAAAGTATCCAGTATGAATAATTCGTCGGTTCGCCAAAATAAAAAATCTGCAACGAACGTGTCGTAAATTACGGGAAAACAATTCAAAAGCACATCAGAACGAAAATAATAACAGAATAGAACGAACGGTTAAAATCGAAGAAAAATTAATATTGTTACCTGTGCAGAAATCATGTATAAACCGGTCGCTGTAACTTCTATGGACTTTTTATCTTCGACTAAATGGAATTTGGTCAGACTGAACTGAGTATCGTTTTTTGTGCTTTTGACCCACGGACCAATGTAAACTGTGAAGCGAAATCTTATCATTCGATCTAAATTAACAGTTTGCCAACCGCATACTTTTCGTAAACTGAACTTATAGTGTTTTATTACTGTGTTACGACAACGAAACTATTTGTTACTGTACAAAGCCAAGCATTTTTTTGCCTTGCAAGAATTCATTTAATTATTAATCCAAGTAATACGTTTCTATGTGTATACCTGTGTCTGTGACATGCTGCTCAGGAATCGCCCCAACAAACGTTGCCACCAGTGGTCCTGATTAACATGGAAAACATATTTATAGTTTCTGTATTTTTTTACTATTATCGTAATATCATTAACTAATCAAATACATGTTATCGCTTGCACAAATAATTAAGACTTGGCAGAGTAATCTGCAAGCAATATAATAGAGGGTTCACCAGAAACAGAACTTTCTATTATAACAGGTATGCATAAAATCGTAGAAGAAATAGTGTAAAAGATAATCTGATATTCTGTTTAGGATGGACCACTCTGCATACATATAAGAGAAATCCAAACTTAACCTGTTCTTTTCTATTCGAATGTAAAATCTTCACATTGGTATAATTTTTACGAAAGATTCATCTAATATTCATTATCTTAACCCTCTAGAGACCGAATTGTTTTTTGACTTATGAAAAAAAAAGTTATGTAACATGTTATGGATAAACATCGATAACAAGATATCAATTGGACTGTAATTCTTAATAAAAACAATCTTCCAAGCATAATCGTTTTGGCATCAAAAATTGTAATTAACGGTCATCGTAATAAAAAATTCTTCGGTGAAAAAAACTCGTGTTTTTAGCTAGGAAGCATTTATTCAATGCGATAGGAGGGGGTTAAGAACAGGGATTGAAAATTGTTATAATATCGATTTTGATTCAATTGCGGTGATATATCGAAATTTGAGACAATTATTTTTAGAACCTTTTCAATCCCTGATGAGAAGAACGCCAAGAAAAGGTTCAGGTTAAAATCGAATAATCTTCTCTGCAATGTTGAATTTCCTGTCGATTGGAATACGCATGCTAACTGAATAATGCTAGATACCCAATCGCCTGTGACTACGTTTGGGCCGCCTTTTGTTCTTTCTCCGTTTTTTACCTCTTCTCTCGTCCCTTCTTGCCCTTCCAGTACGAGGTTCTTTCCATATATCTAACTCGTGATCGTTGTAGTCATCGTCATCGTCGTTATCGTGTGAAACATCTACGTCCCGGTTTGTATTAATTTGCGTGCTCGTAGTATTTTGCTTTTCTATCGTCAGTACCGCTCTTTCGATCCGTAAATTAGTTTCATCCTTGTCGAAGTTATCGTCGTAGTCGTCTACATCTGTCAACGGTTTCGTAATCGGTATATCGTTTTCATTATTCGTACCATGAACGTCGTCCCTGGACAAGTATTTGTCTTTCGAATTTTTGTTCGAATTTAAATACGGGGCAACGGGGTTATAAGTGTACGTGCTTCGATTGTTTGCGTTACGAACGTCGTCGAATATTTCGACGACTTTCGAGATGGACGTCGATCCATCCAGGAGCCGTTTCACGTCGTGCATGTTCCTGTGCTGATGAATCTTGTCCGATCGTTGACTCCATGCTCGATTGAAGCTTCTGTTCAGCCTGTCGTACTTGGACATCAGTACTAGTAAGTTCACGTTCACAGATTGCATCTAGAAACATTTATTTCTGCATAGGATTCGCGTCGCGATGCTCACTAGTAGGGTACGCGTGGCCTTACCTGCGCCTGCAAAGCACGCACTTCCTTTCTGAGGTGCGATAGGGTAACTGCGAAAATAATCACCAAAAAAAAGAGAACGATACCGCGCGATCTTTGGAACAACTTTGATTTCTTCACATTCGAAATGGTCACATTCATATCTACGTTCCACTCGATAAGGTTCGTCGTGTTTTTCGAAGGATTACCGATTTGCGGATCGATGTAGCTTCGTACATGTTCCATTTTGATTTTCGTGGCCATCGATCGTATCGACCAATCGCTGTAGACTAGTTTAAAAATTTTATCACATCGCGGACGCTCTGTAACATACAACAACGTTTCCTGCATCTCTGTTTCGGCGATTCGTAGACATTTAGGTTAAAATTCGTTTTGGAAGGTGGAACACCTTAGTTCTATTTTTTTACTACCGGTACATTTTGATGAAAAGTACAGAAAATTGAAATTCGTCTTATCGCATAACTATTAATTTTCTTATGGCATCTCTTTTTCAGGTTTTGTCGAGCTCGAGATGCTAACCGAAAGGAATTGGGGGAGAATGAATCATGGAAAGTTAACCGTGCCGATTTTAGTGTAAGTTAACCGTACATTACTGTATTTAATACATCTCTATCATAAGATAAATAACATTTGAGAGAAACACACGAACAAATCAAGAGTAAAAGGGTTAAATTAGAGCGGCGCATTTTTTTGAAATTCTAAAGAGAAAAAAAAATTGTCACATTTACCAATAGTTGTTAAAGTAGCCGACAAGTTATTCTTTGATCGATCGTTTGCCACGTGTTCGAAGCGGCTTACACGAAACTAAGAGAAAGGATGTGAAGACAGTAATGGAATTGCGTTCTCGATCACGATACACTAATCGAAAAGAGGCTTCACGGTCGACTAAACGATTTCGAAAATAGGAAGTGCATATAAAGCCGATTCAATTCGTCATACCATGCAACTTTGCTGACTCGATTATGATCGTTCGCGCGTAGATGTATCACAGGCGCCAAACAAAGAAACACAAAATCTATGTCACGATTGAAACTGAAATTTGTAATTTTATCGGGCCCCGATCAAATTCCTTGGCAGTGCCTTCATAAATTCTTATTTCTTGTGCTTCGTACAGAACGAATCTTTGTTGTTGTTTTTTTTTTTTAGACTAAAGTAAGTAAAATACAGAACCCGACAAGAATCGTAATGAAAGACACGTTATATTTCTGCGTGCATGCTCGATGATCAGACTTAATAGAACTTTTACTTACCTGACTGACATTTCTCTCGGTTCTCCAACAGAGGCGACCGCGAAAGTGCAACAGGTGAGGATAATCGATTTGCAAATCGATTGTCGCGTTGACTCTCGGCAGCGTCGCCGTCGGGACACCTTTTACAGTCACGAGTCGCGTTACACGACGCCGTTTCGTACCATCTTTTGTTTACCCAGGCACCACGCAGCCCAAACGTCTCTCGGCGTCTCGACGGCTCTGCTCGACCGGTTTGGCGGCTCTTGGCGCGAGCGCTGCCAACATTAAGGCGGCAAGAAACTATGCTCGCCTTTCTCTCTTTCGCTTCGTTCAACTCCACGTTCGCAGGAGCGGACGAATTCTCCTGTTCGCGATTTCTTGGTAACTTCGATCTACAACGCATTGATATAAACGGGCGATAACTTTGTGTATATATCGTCGCGATAAAGAACATCGTGAACCATCATCGAACGTTATCTTCCCCTATTCGAAACTTCTTGCAACTAGAGATGAGCAAATTGTAAGTATCTTGGAAAGTACTTGATCGACGAATACAGCGAATGAAATTTCTGTAAAAACACTACTATTTTGAACAAAAATTGCAAAAATTTTGATAGTAATATTAATGAAATGTTAAGAAACAATTAAGGGGTAATAGAAAACAGAAAACTAATGTATAGAATTTATAAAATTGTTTTATTTCTGTTATAAAAAAAATATTATAATTTAACACATAGACGAGCGTTTCTGTCGATTTGCTTTCGATACGTAAGGTTTCTTTGACGAACCATTTCAATTAAAAAAAATTTATCGACAAACGAACCATTCCTTCGCATCGTTTATAATTTTCTGAATCGTAGAATGAATTCTACTAATTATTTTATCTAATTCTTGAAAAAATATACCATTGATCTTGATAATAATTTTGCTTGCAACGCACAGCCTTGTAGAATATCCATTCTCCTATAACGGTCTAAACTAAATATGCAATTCCGATCGCTTCCGAGCTGCACGTGGCGTGTATTATAAATGTAGCGTAGCACGAACATCTCGAGTGTGTTGGGCACAAATAAACTTATCATACGTTAGGCGCGAATGTCAAGTGTTTGAAACAGCGCTGAAGAGCTCGAGTGGCTGGGATTTCGTTTCGAGTAAAAACGTGTCTATCGAAAACGAAAAAAATTTTATTTGAATAAAAGGATGAACAAACCATTTATTCAATTTTAACCAAACATTTGAGGTTACTTCTTGCAGAAGAATTATCGCGGTCGGATTAGACTAGTAAATAGAGAGGAAAATAATAAATATAATTTACAAAATGTGAAATTTCTCATAACGATTTCGTGAAGTAGTTTACACGCCCATGAACGTCGAATGCCTGCACGTTGCTTTCGCAACGAACGTCTCATTATCAGAAATTCCACAATTGCGATCGTAATTAGTCATCGCGCGCGATAATGGCTCCTGCGCGTACTTTAAACGGTGCAATCGTGGCTTCTCGTGTGACGACCGTGTAGGAAGACGAAAATTCGTGATCTGAATCAATTTACGGTTTTATGAACACGAAGCGTGCGGCGCTAGCTTGCTGCCAATTATTTAATTCAGCCTTTCTCCGCAGTTTCGTGGGCGCTGCCTACTCGTCGTTTCCACGACTTTCTTGCGAGTTCGTCAGTTACGTACATGAACATTTATAACTGCTACAAAAATTGTACCACTTGTTTTTTATGTATATCGTTATTTAGAATATCTTGGGTATATACAAATACAGAACAAAATTAATAACATAAAGAAAAGTCTTTGTCGTAAACTTGTAAAGTACATAAATTTTCAAATTTGTACAACTTTCCGAGAAACAATTGTTATGGCATATGGTAGGTCAACAGACAAACAATGTCAACCTCTGACAACACCCACGTATTATCATAGGCGATGCTACGAGCAATAACCTGCGTCAATTTTCTCGCATGAGTAACGATCGTTTTAAAGTAGCTACACTTTAGACTTACTTCAACGAGATAATACGAACCAGATACATCGAAGGTAATGTGGCAGATGCGATGACGGGTTCGCAAAACATCGATCGACGCCACTGCACCAATTCAGAGCGACGGAACTATGTGGCTAAATATAGACACGATATGTAATGCAACAAAAAGGAAGGGAAGAAATTTCGGTGCGCTATAAACACGCGTGCCAACTCAAGACACCCGTTCGTTCCGACAAATGGTATTCCATTGTACTTTGAAAGCTAATTGCACCGTAGCGATTCTTCTCGAATTTTACCGAAGTCTGTTTCTATGAATTCTATAAATATGCGTAGTTCGACGAGTCTGCGTACTAAAGGAGTAAAGATGTTCGACGATGGAAACTTGACGCTCGAAGGAGCGCCCATTACGGGAAAATCAAGTGCAGCATTCTTGGAAGTGACGTGCGATCGAGGATAAAAAGTCGAAACTGTTAAGTAAATAAGGAACCGCTACCGCGCCCCATCGGATCGCGTTTGCGTCGTGATTCTACAGTTTCAGAAATACATGTACAGGGTGTTCGGCCACCTGTGGAAAAAATTTTAATGGGGGATTCTAGAGGCCAAAATATGACGAAAATCAAGAATACCATTTTGTTGATTAAGGCTCCGTTAAAAAGTTATTAACAATTGAATTAAAAAATTTCAAATCGTTTTGGAAAAATTATTTTCGGTTGCGGAGGTCAATTACAATCATTTTTGGTGAATAGACATACCCCCGAAATCCTGCGCATTTTCGAGAAAAAAATTCAGTACTGGCGGAACTTTAAACGTTAATAACTTTTTAACGAAGCCTCCATCGACAAATTGGTATACTTGAAGTCCAGAAGTCCCCATTAAAATTTTTTCCAGGGGTGGCCGAACACCCTGTATAGCAATGCACGGTTAACATTAACCCTTCCACACGGCGTCGCGAGCTAAACGAAATCTGACCCAATAGAAAAGGAAAGATATCCTTTTGTTATTCGTACGATTACTTGTCTCGAACACATCGTTCCCTTAAACGTAATGTAATGTATATACAGTATATTCTAACGTCATCGTATTGTCTCTGACGCGCCATATTACGTAAATCGATTTAGATATCAAAAGTATTCCTATTTTGCCCGATTTACAACGTTATACGGCACGTTCGAGTGCCTCGACTGCACGTGGCAACCTAACCACAATTACTGCAACGTCCTCGACTGTTTTTTAAATAAGCCGTATATCGTGAATGAAATTGTTACTTTCGAACGTGTTAATTCATTCGTTTGATCCGATCCGTTTAATCGCCTTCCTACAGGTTAAATTACGTGCTTTCATATGCTTGTTAACATGTGCCGTGCCATGCCCTTTTTGCCTGACTTGTCGTTCAGGTCATTTGATATTTCGACTAAAGATTGATATGTTATCACTAGACTGCGGATCTTTATGCAAATTCACATTTTTATTAATAGAATTAATGAAACGGAAGCTTCGCAGAGGGCTGTCTCAACCCCTAAATATAATAATTCGTATCTTACTTTAAGTATTTCTTATATTTTTGCATATTAAATGCATTCTGTAGTTTTTTGAGGATTAAAATTTCCCATAAATGCATAAACATCCGCAGTCTAGTTATCACTGACGAGGTCGTATACCTCGTCTGTGATATTATCATACAATATTTCATTATATCATCAATCGATAAGCAGTTACCTTGTTTAGAGTAGTTATCACGACGTGTAAGTACCACTTGTGCGATCAGTTCAACTGTAAAAGTCAGTCTGTTTGAAACATCTCGACTAGTAAAAAACCTACTGCATTCGAATTTGTTTTAAATAAAAAACGAGGCAAATAAAATATTCTGCAGAGACAGCTATTGTTAGAAAAAAAGGATATGATATCGTAAAACCGAAACTTGTGATTGATTACAATGAAGCCAAGAGTTGCGTTGATATTTCTGATCAAATGACAGCATATAGTAGTCCATTACGCAAAACTGTCAAATGGTATAAAAAACTAGTATTTGAGCTTCTCTTAAACACGTCAGTTGTAAATGCTTAGATGTTATACAGGGTGTTCAGCCATCCCTGGGAAAAACTTTAATCGGAGATTCTAGGGGCCAAAATAAGATGAAAATCAAGAATACTAATTTGTTGATGGAGGCTTCGTTAAAAAGTTATTAACCTTTAAAGTTCCGCCTGTACTGAATTTTTTTCTCGAAACTGGTTAGGATTTCGAGGGTATGTGTATTCACCAAAAATGATTGTAATTGAACCCCGCAAGCAAAAATAATTTTTTCAGAATGATTTGAAATTTTTTAATTTAATTTTGTAATAACTTTCTAATGAAGCCTCAGTCAAGAAATTGATATTCTTGATTCTCATCTTATTTTGGCCTCTAGAATCTCCCATTAAAATTTTTCCCAGGAGTAGTCGAACACCCTGTATAATACTCAGCAACGGAATCCTATATCAATAGTAGAATATAGAAAACGATTAGCTAATTATTTATGTTACTGTGAGGATGAAAACAACAACTTGTCTTCTGAAATTGCGGCAAACTCTAGAAAAGGACATGAAATTAAAAAGCAAGAGGGCAAAGCGAGGATAGTTAGACAACGTTGCAGTTCTTGCTATAAATAAAATGTAAAACAATTTGGTACTGAAACAGCAAGACAAAAAACTATAAGAGTAATGACGTTTTGTAGCGATTGCCCGAAAAAGCCGTTTTTATGTATCTCTTGCTTTAACAAAATCAACCATTATCCTTTGGCATTTTTTCGTAAATGCAATAATAACGGAGTTATGACTTGAAACAATTGCGTGGACCACCCTGTATATAATTATTAACTTCTTCAGGGACGATTTTTTTTTTCTTTTTTTTGGGTCTATTTATTATTGACAGTAACTATAATTATAAAAAAAAAAAACAAATGCGCCCACATATGTGGCCAATGGCGTGAAGAGGTTAATTATTGTAAATATAACAATTAAACAAACTTATGTGCTTTGTTCTATACTGCATTTTGTATAGTGCCGCAATCTATTAGTAGAAATATTTTTTTACAGAATTAAATTTGTCACAAACATATATTTTCAACGCATTAAATAAATATGTCTGAGTGTACCACCGGTGGTACACGTGGTACGGAACATGTTAATATTGCGTCGTAATGTATGCTGTAACTCTAGAAACGAGGATGTTTGAATGGCCACCGTTAACCATGTTTCTCACCGATCGCGGGCGTTCCACGAAAAGATCCAGCGACTTGGAATTTTATCGTCACTGATGTCAGCGCTCGTGTTATGTTATTGTTCTTGCACCGGAAGCTATCTCCGATTCGGAATGCTTTCGGTTGACGTTCAGAGCAGCCCGAATTTGATACGAGGTTAGTCCTGGAACTCTCACTCCCTGCGAAACGGTCCCGTGAGAACAGACGGAATGGAATTTCTCCAAGAAACATCGCTTCGTCGAAAATCGTAAGACAGGAAAATGTCTCCCGACAAAGAAATCTAACAGCGAGAGCCATTTCGTTAGTTAACAAATTTTTTGTTCAAACCGCTCTCAAAAGTCTTCTTAGCGTTATGTCCTGCTAACAATACATTTACTATTTTGTTTAAGAAAACAACGCCCCCTCGATAAATATCTAGTTGCACCTCTAGTTGGCAGTGTGAAACAAGCACTTGTGTCTTGGCGGGAAAAGCAACGGTTCGTGGTTGTGGATTGATTTTTATGGGCATTCGTTGCACGATAATCCTTTTCTCGTAGCAGGTGTAATCGAAGATGGCGTGACAAGGACGCCGATCTATTTGCTGATCTGTTTGCGTCATGCTAACTATTCTCTGTACGCATTATTAGATTTTTTCCCGTGACTTTACTTGGCTAAATAAAAATTCGTGTACCGTTTACATTATTAACAAATCTGATGGTCTTTTGAATATGCATAAATACCAGAGTCGAAGTTGACTGCTAGCCTTGAACAATCTTGGTCAACCTTGAATTGTAGATTATTCCATTAATTACAAGTCTCTGTTAGAAAATAAATAAAATATACCGCCCTATTTAAAAGGCAAACAAAATGATGATTTTTAAATAAAAGAGTTATCCACACATGTATATAATAAATTATTTATACATTAGAAATTACGTCGCGATTGCAGATATTCGAAAGTACGTGTCATTTCTTTCATCGTGCTATTCTCTAGATACGAAATTTCAAATTTTTGGTCGTAGAGTTTCAACAGACGTGCAAATTCCATTCGTGGAATTTCTTGAAAATTACGTCAAACTTCAGGATATTGAAGATTTGTGTTGCTTTTTCTGTCGTTATATTCGATACATATAAATTTATTTCTAATTAATTAATATTGATACAATCAAGTTTGTGTCGAAATTTGAAACTTATTTTAATTGATACCTCTTCGTATTTTTTTTCTAACAAAAAAATTTAGTAATATCTTAATTCTTGACGAAATAGGTACTTCGTAGAAAGAAAAAGAAAAACACTAAGAATTCTGAATTTCGAGAGTTTCATATTCGAGTGTCGCAAATCTAAAAATCAGGTTTCAACCCAGTTTTGTAGGTTATCTACGAGTATATGTACATATATTATTCGAAGAAAATGTTGCCCGTCTCTGGTACCGTATCGTTGCCCAAGAAACTCGATTAATTTGCAACTGAATACGATATTGTGTGTCTATAAATATGATATCAAATAACACGGAACATGATCCGTGAAACAAATCAAATCAGACCATTAATTCAGAAGTTTATTGCCAACAATTGTAACAAGCAAACGAATGCTTAACGATAAGTTCTTTATATTTCGTCGATAGAAAAGGAATAAGTAATGGGAGAGTCATGGGAAAAAGTAATAAAATCTAATGGAAATTATGATTTTAAAAAAAACGATACTGTCGAATTTGTTTAGGATAAAAATGCACGAACTTTTCGTTCAATGCAATACATCTTTGCGACAGATCACCGAATTCACGCCACTGACGAGACTCAGAAGCGAGGCGCTGCTGTGATAAACACGAACGCGTTCCGTGCGACCAAGTCAGTACGTTCGTGTCTTTGGGATACGCTGGTCGCTTCTTCTTTTCCTCCTGGTGTCCGAGTTGCACGAGACGCGAGATACAAAACGGTGCATCCGTCCGTTCCGCTCTTATTCGATTTATTATACGAACGTTCCAACAATCTCTGTCCAGCGCTATCGATTAAGTCGAACAACGTCGTTTTTTCTCGAATTCCAATTGCTACTAAATTTCGTCAGTGTATTGATAGAATAGAAAAAGGCCAAACAAAATTGCATGCACGTCGCACAGAGCAACGGGCGAATAAGAAAAGGAGAAGGATACTAGGAACAATTGGTTGGAGGGGTTGACGGACAGAGGTAAGGGGCTAAAAGGGTCGAACCTTCAATATTCTTGGCTGCGGTCCTGCTCCCAGTTCTCCGAAGGGGAAAAAACCTACCGGACTGGTTTTAAAGAGGGCCAGGAGCTCAGTATGCGGGACATTTAACGTCTTGATTCGTCGCGAGCCTAGGAAATTGTGCAAGCAGGTGAACAATCGGCTACCGCGATTAAACGGAGAATATTTACGTTGGATTCGGTGTGAGACTATCGTCGTGTTTCTTCCGTGACACTGAACCCGAACGAGAATAAAGAAACCTTGAATCGAAATCGTTCTCGCAGTCGCTGCTGTTCCGTTTAACGATTGTGTCATACGAGTGGGGGACGAAGAGATGCCAAAGGGCAGATGACATCGGCGAAACACTCTTCCAAGACGCGATGAGCGTCGATCACGAATCGACAAGCGACCACGAGTCGTGAGAATTTCTGATTCCAGCGATGGGCGTCGTGAACGTAAACAAACTCGATTCTCGTACTTTTCGAGCAGAATAATCTTACCAGAGAATAAAATACCTGCGCTCGACGGTGTTTTCGAACGAAATTCGACGTGTCGTTTGAGGGATTTTCGATCGAACGTCGTGCGTGTTTATTCCGGTCGAAATGACTACTGTGTTGCCCGAAGGTGAGACGAAAGTTGCGAAGATTAAACAGAAGCTGATGAACGACGTACACATGAAGGAGGAAACACGCTCCTTCTTACGTTTCTCTAGAGAGAACCTGAGCATTTCGCAGTCCGAGCTGGAGCAAGGCTTTAACAAGCACCGTTTCCGGCCTAATAGGAACACTATACTGAGTGTTGCTGCTCTGGTGATCGCTTTCCTGTGTCTGGGCCTGGAAACGTGGAGACTGCGTTGCTCATTGGTTAACGCGGGTGAGATCCAAGAGCTGAAACGCGATGTCGATAGTCTGAAGCATCGGTTTCTAGAGGAGGATCTCTTGGACGGGCTGAGAGCTTTCGAAGAGCAGGTGAGCCGTTACTATTCAAAATTTTGTTGACCCTTAATCTTTTAAGAAATCAAATTGTTCAATAAACTAAGTGATAATATTAAATACAAATAAGATTTGAGGTTATGAATATATACGGTTACTAACGTTTCCTCGATTTATATGTTTAACCATGTATACAATATATGTACATTTGCACGCATTACAAAGTTTATCGATAGCTGACACAGCAAGGAAAAAGATAAAAAGGAAAGAAATATAGATAGCAAACGAAGAGATATTCAGAAACGCGGGAAGACTCAGAGAAAGTAGAGGGTTTAAGTGAGGGTTTGTGTGGGCTCGGTCGCCAAATAGTGCATAACGATTAATTCCAAACGAAAACCCTGAGGTAGAAAGTCGAAAGTAAGAATAAAATATAATATAACGTGTCCTTTGGCCCAAATGTTAGGCAGACCAAAGTTCCAAACTTTGTTAGCGGAAAGAATTTCCTCAAAGATGGAAATGCCTGTCTATTTGCTCTCTGGGCGATCTACTATTGGCAAGGGACGTCGTAGAACCTGGGACGGTCGTCGTTATAAAACGTTCCATTGGCTGATTCATCAGCCGCTCAGACATCAATTTATATCAATAACTTGATGGTAATTTGCATCGTTAACGGTCACGATTGCGAGAGTGGGTAAACGTTGAAGTGAATGAACTACGTGTTAGCGTGTTGGAGGTGTGAAGTATGAATTGTTACGATCAGAACGATAGAGACAGAGCACACGTTACGAGGTTATGCATTCGATTGTAAATGACGTTACGTGTATCGGGATGCATTTAGGTCTCGGGCCATTCTTCACGCGCAGCTTTTGTGCACTCAAGAAGGCACGTGGCGCCAATATTTCCGAGATGATGCGGCGGACCGGTTCTATCAGAGAACTGCCCCTCCATTTACACATACTAATGCACAGGCACGCGTATGTGAACTTGGACGCTTCGGACAGCTTCGGGGATTAAAGAAAGAAGGCGAATGCGTGTGTTTCTTTATCATTCTGGAATCAGCCCTAGCCAGTACATGAACCTCGAGGTTAGGTTTAGTACAATACTTAGCTGTGCCAAATCTCGGTATATTTTGTGCGACAAAGACATAGAATAAACGAATACAATATAAAAGTATTCACGAATCGAATCGTGCAGCGAAGAAGAATAATTTCAAAGTTCGTCGGGATCGATGGTAGACGTTAGATCAAAGTACGCGATGTGTTTGAATCGCGGTCACGTGCCGAGGCTCAAGATAGGTATTAATTACAAGATAGCCGCGCGTTACTTTCTACACAACGATCTTTCATAACAAACAGAAAAATAGAGTCATCACTCGGGACGAATGACACTAGAGGTCAGAGATAAACGCAGGTCACGTGTCTGCGTTTGATTACAAAACAGTTCGATGACCCAGATAAACTTGCACGTGGAAAATGTCGCTTGATGTATGAACGTTATCGTGAATTATGCGATTCACCGTGAAATTATAATGTTTAGAAGTATCGTTCGCGCTACACTGACGCACATCGACTGTTTCAACCAGTGATTTGCTACGCTAGACTTATAAAAACTGTCAATTAATTCCTAGCTATGCTTTGAATAGAAACATAATAAATTGTTATAGTTCTTAGTCTTTTTTAACACGTTGAGCGCCATGTCAGCCATCGGTGGCTGACACTAGACTTTCCGTTTAGGCCGCGTCACCCATCGGTGGCTGACAGCGTGTAACATGAGAACTATAAAATTTACACTATTACGGAATTACAGAAAATTTACTTAATTTGGTATCATTACAGGATTAATGGGATTCATTGTAACATGGCAAACATAAAAATGGTTCTCCTTCACAAGTATTACAAAATGTTACAACACGCTTGGTCTTTCTCCTTGCCATCTCTCTACCATCTTTTCTTACATTTTTGTCATAACATAATTTACAGTACTTTCGAACTTCAGAGACTTTTCCCGATTTTCTTTGGAGTTTGTGTTCTTTTTTGGATCTTCTTGCAATTCTGCTCGGTGGAATGTTTTCTTTGTCACAACTTGTAAGATGGACTGCTAATTTCCGAAATTGCGTGGCCTGAACGGGATTGTCTTAGAAATACGCGTGGCGCTCAACGTGTTAACAGATCTCCGTTGATTCGAAAGCGTTAGTTTATTACTATAAATCATTTCCCCATAGTTGTACAAAGGTGATTCCAGTGACGACGACAGCGCCGACGGCGAGATGGACATCGACAACACGGAATACGATACCGATGACTATACCGACGACGATAGTTCGTCGTCTCACGATTATTTGCTCGATTACCACACGCCATCCACGTACAGTGCACGATCGTCCGACATCCCCGATTCTTTGTCGACGATCGCGCCTGTACCGACTCCACCTGAGCCGAGCTCCGACAAGGCTATGATGGGATTGTTGGAATTGTTGGAAGCGGTGCGTGAGACTGAGGCCAGACATCGCCAGGAATTGAAGAAAAACGTGCGAGAAAACCATAAGAACGACGAGAAGGAGCGACACCTGGAGGAACGCGCGAAAAAAGTTACCGAGGACAAGGTCGAGGCGCAGAAGAACAACACTAAACAGAAACGAGACGTTCCTAGCGCGGATAATTCGAGGGATCGCCTTTTGGAATGGAGGGCGTTTTTTAAACGCAAACGTTCCATTGGTGAGCACAAACACGGCTCGAGGAGACTAATCGCGTCTGGTTCCAGCTCGCGTGAGAGTTCGGAGGACAAGACTGTTGGAGACAAACATGACACGTGAGTTGTGTACTTCGTTTGACTTTTTGCACTCGGGGACTTTTCTCTGATTATACTTTTTAGGCTTTTCTTATACTAGGTGTATACTATTATCATTATCATTATTATTATTATTACTGCACTATTATTAGAAATTCAATAGCTTAATCTTTTTAGTGCCGAACGACGATATATCGTCGTTCGTTACACTTGCGAAAAGTATATATCATTGCATATGCGATGGTGCCTTATTCTACGCATCGGGAGATAGCTCTGTCTCAAAAAAAATTTATAAAACATTATAAAGGGTCTAATTTAATTGCAAAAGCATTTAAAAAATTATTTTTGGGTTCAACCCCAGCACCAAACACCTTTTTTGTTCGGGCGAACCAGCAACTCAACGCTACTTTGTCGCGGAAACGTATATTCTGGAGTCGTCATATTATACAGGGTGTTCGGCCAACTCTGGGAAAAATTTTAATAGGAGATTCTAGAGGCCAAAATAAGACGAAAATAAAGAACATCAGTTTCTTGACTGAGGCCTCGTTAAAAAGTTATTAACAATTAAATTAAAAAATTTCAAATCGTTCTGGAAAATTTATTTTCAGTTGCGGAGGTCAATCACTATCATTTCTGGTGAATAGACATACCCCCGAAATCCTGCGCATTTTCGAGAAAAAAATTCAGTACAGGCGGAACTTTAAACGTTAATACCTTTTTAATGGAGCCTCCATCAACAAATTGGTATTCTTGATTTTCGTCTTATTTTGGCCTCTAGAATTCTCCATTAAAATTTTTCTCAGGGATGGCCGAACACTGGAACTAAGGTATTGTAATGATTTTTGGTTTATCTGAATTTGTGGACATCGAGGAACATATATTTGCAAAAAAAATCTAAATTTATATCTTAAAATTGTTTACAGAGTAGTAAACTCTGAAACAGTCTCTAATATGCATTGCTTGTTATTTTTTCATATATCTTTGTAATTATATCATATTTTGAATTGGTTATTTATTAAAAAATCATTGAAAATCAAATACTTATACTTTATACTACGTGACCTACATAAAACTGTGATCAAACAATGATTATTCTTACGTGTAAATATTGTTTGTAGAAGAGAAACTTGTTTCTATATTTTTTATCATATTTTATAATTATGTTATTTATATGACTTGCAATGAATATTGAAATGCAATTGCCATTACTTTATTCTTTCTTTATTTCGTAATATGCTGCTTTTAAATATCATTTTTAGTTTGGTTTTAACGAGCTTTTTCTCTAACCATAGCAAATTCGTGAAATTGGCTCGGTATTCTTCGCATAGGCATCCGTTTTTCGCTCGGCACTAAAAGGAATAATATCAATTAATGTAAATTGAAAAAAAAAACTTAAGGACCACCGAATTACGTAGACAGTTTGAAGCAGTATATCGCGCTTGCACACGTCTCGGTTAACCGTCGTTAAGTGGTCGCGGACAGCGTGTAAGAGGAGAACGTGACTCGAGCGTTTCCGCTTCTTTGTCTTGTTCAGGTCGGTCGATGTTCGGGGCAGGCATCCTCCGAAGAAATATTACACCCACTCGGTCTTGGACGACGTTCGTGGTTCTCTTGTCGCCGATGGGAACGATTCGGAAGGCCGAAGCGTGGAACGTCAGTCGAAGAAGTCCCCTCGTAGGCTTCGAAAGAACTTGCACGGTTCGAGACAAATCTTGGCCGCCCATTACGGGGCCGATAAACACCTGATAGGGAGGAGGAGGAACGACACCGGAAGCTCGAGAGTCCGCCACGAGGACAGGGTGTTCAAGGCGTGGCGAGCGAGCGATTGGGTGGAGGGTCTTCGCATGGATCAACACTTCGACATGAAAGACAACGGAAGTCTCGTGATAAGTAAAGACGGCTTGTACCTGGTGTACGCGCAGATTCATTACATGGACGAGCACTTCGAGGCTGGATTTCACTTGGAGGTGAACAATCGACCGATCTTGCAGTGCATGGTAAGCGAAATGTCTTGATTAACACGTTCACTGTCTGGTCTATTAGCGGCGTATCCAAAAGCATGGTGCCCGTGACCCGTATACAGGTCACAGCCAGTGAACGTGTTAATTAATAAGAATACTTGATAGAAATATTTTCTTAATCACAATATGCGCTCCCCCCATGAATAAAATATTTTCCTTGTATTACAGGGTTAAATAACTAATCAACTTAATAAGTATTTATTAACGAACAGAAAAGATTAGATGATTCCTAAAAGTGTTTAATATTAGATTTCAGAATTAAATAACAAAAATAAACATTATTTTACCGTTTCGTTCCCCGGGCTCGCCCACGCGAATATAAATGGACCTTGGTAGAAAGAAACGAAAATTTTATTTTCTAGAATTATAATTCGGGCAGGGATAAGGACTTCAGTCAGTCTTGCTTCTCGGCCCAGGTGACGCGTTTGAACAAAAATGACATTTTGGTATTGAAGGAAGTGGGTAGTTCGTCAAGGTATGCCCTCCTCGAAGCGGAGAAGAGCTTCCTGGGGCTGGTGAGACTCGGAGACGCTAAAACATTACCGTTTTTCACGTCCCAGTGATTCAAATTTGCAATTCGTTGAATTTATCGCGATTAGATCGCGATGCGAAGTTGGCAGAACGTTTTAACACAGTGACTGCTATTTATGAACGACATCGTAGCAAATTCAACCGGCGCCCGTGGCTATCAACTTTTAGAAGGTCGGCCATTTTTCAATAAAATCGTTTAATTTTTTTATTGAAAACTCAACAGGATTATCTTATTACCGCCAAACTAGAACAGCTTAATATCTTCTGAGCGAAATAAGTCGCTCAATTTTGTTTAGTAGAAATAAATATTTGTCTATGTAATTAAGTACTGTGCCAATACTTATGTCCAGCACTGTATGTGTATAGCAAGTATTACGGGCACCAACGTACGGTCTTTTTTCTAATTAGGAAGTAAATAATAATCCACTAAGGAGAAAGTGATTTATTAACTACGAATACGTTCAAGTTCCGCCTACTGATTTTAGATTAATACACAGGTCAATTAAGAGCAACGATAGAAAGTTCGTAAAAATATTACACGCGTCGTAATGAAGAAAATAGTCTCCGTAAATACGAATTTGCAAGCATAGCGTTTTAATCAAATTTTCTTCGCAGTCAATGTGTTAACGAATGTACTTTATCGGAAAGTAATTTATTTCAGCGACACTGTAAACTGGCTTCTTCAGTTGTGTCGTACGGTTCAGTGGAAATAGACACGCGTTGACTTAATCAATTACGATACTGTTTCCATCCACGAACGCGTTACTAGTGTAAATAACATATTTGTATTTTGTTACTGAATAATTTTGTAAGCTATCGTCGACTTTTTACAATCCAAAGAGAGAGAGAGAGAGAGAGAGAGAGAGAGAGAGAGAGAGAGAGAGAGAGAGAGAGAAAGAGTGAGATTCAACAAATCGATTTTGTGATAGATTTATCTAAACGAAAATAAATACTTTGCACAGACTTTCTGTTATTAATCCACGATCCTGCGTCAATCATGGGCATACTTTCTTGCAAATCGGCTGCGGCGTCTCGTAGTACAACAATTTAGCCCGATGACAGCCTATTGGGATTAGGTTTCCAGGCGAATCCATCAGGTCGACGATAAAATTAGGCTTCATTAGCTTCGTGGGGAAAACAGTTTCGCAATCGTGAACCGAAACGGCTTCGTCGCCTGGATCTTCCTTATGCAAAGTCGTTTGCAGAGATTGCAATGTTACGAACTCTGGACAAGAAGCGTCTCTGTCGATGTAAGCGTCGAACGTAACGTCTTCGACCGGTCCTACCACCTGTGCAGTCATTAAAAATGAAGATCATTCGTCCCTTTGACGTACGATCTAATTGCAAGTCGGGAAAGGAAAGGAGAGAGGATATTAGGAAGTCGGTCGACGAGTGTACTATGTGTCCACGAGAAGGCACAGCGTGTTTACATCCCCACTCCTGTTGCAGTCCGCAGACTCGCCTACGGATCGCAGGTAGGGATCGCTATTGGCCGAAGACGGTGGCGAAGATCAACGACGAGTCGTAGCGAGACCGAATGAGACAGAATAATGGCAGCATCGGCGTAGTCTTCCAATGGAAATGTTAACTATTAACGAACAGAATGATTTCCTTCCTGTTTAAATATTACCATTGATTCGATAAGTTTTTCGTAATGAAAAAATGAATTTAATTTAATATCTTTAATAATCATTAATATTTTGAAATTCATTTATAGCAAAAAGAATTAATTTGTATTTATTATAAATAATATAAATCCGCTTGAGCTCATTTTTATCTAGATAAACTTTACTTAATTACAATTTACACAAAAAGTAATCACGTTAAAATTAGAACTAGCATAACATTTACGTTTTCTTACATTACAATTTCTTCGAGGACTTATCGAATCAATGGTAATATCTAAACAGGGAGGAAATCATTCTGTTCGTTAATAGCTAACGTTTCCATTGGAAGACTACGCCGATGCTGCCATTATTCTGTCTCATTCGGTCTCGCTACGACTCGTCGTTGATCTTCGTCACCGTCTTCGGCCAATACCGATCCCTGCTTGTGATCCGTAGGCGAGCCAGCGGACTGTAACAGAAGTGGGGATGTAAACACGCTGTGCCTTCTTCTCGAGAATACATGGTACATGTAGAAATGGAAGGTCGGTCGAGCGCTTGCGAGAGAGACAAGATCATAGCCCTCTGGTGGCGAGTACGGGAGGTGACCCCACACGTATACCCATTAAATTTTATTTTACGAATATCTAACGAATGTAAAAATATGTTGACTTCGCGATGAAGCTATTAACTATTGTGCAAAACCTCGAGACGATTTAACATTTTACCTGAGGCACCGCTATTTCGATCCAAGCTTTTCCGTATTCTCCCCGCACCAAAGCAGCCGGCAGATGTACCCTATCCGCGATCACTTTAAAAAGCAAAGCTCTTTCAAGGTAAGAACCGACACGCAATAATCCCAATGGTATCACGCTAGTCTCTATGGAGCGTTTGATTTCCTTCAAATGTATTTCCAGCTGATGGTCCACGCATCCGATCAAAGGATCCGGTCCAGACATTTGCCTAGCGACGAATTTCGCTAACATCTTTGCGCGCGAAGCCACGAAACTCACGTTCGCCAATCCTGGTTTCGTTTCCGTTCTGCATTGAAACGTACGTTAACATCATAATTTCAAAATTCCGTTACAAGATTGGATGTACTCTGTTTACGTAATTCTTGAAACTAGAACTTGTATAAATCAATTTTAAAGTTCAAAATAAAAGACAGAGACTGTCTGGTATACAGGGATGTTCGGCCACCATTGTGAAAACTTACACGCTTTTGGACTCCGCGGCGAAAAGCTTGCACTTGAATAGTTGTACGTAATCGTAAAGGCAAGTGTCGCATTGGAGACGATCGTACTTCGAATTCGTCGTTAAGGTCTCGATCGTGCCGGACAAGAATCTTCCACCGCGGTTAAGATCTTCTACGTTCGCGAAAGCGGATTCTATGAGAGAGAGAGAAAACGTGATATGCGTCGATCAAACGCTGCAAGTAAGTGAAGATTTTCACCTTCCGAGACCGATCGATTCAGTGATGATTCCTGAGAGCCTGATCGATGGTCCCGAACACTGTTCACTACGTAAATGGGCTCCAGCGGACAGAATTTGAACCGAAAGATATCGTCCAGTATTGGAAACCTGATCGACGATGAGATAAAGCGAGCAAAATTAGTAGCATTGTTTACAATTTTTTCAAGTATTAGGATTTTTCATTGTAAACGATTAAATCCCAGGTTTATAGAAGCTATGATTCTTTGTGACAATTTTGTTTACGATTATTGTACATCAAAACGTGTTATAGAAGAAAAAGTAGACCTAGAAAAAGTTAGGAGTAATAATATCGAGGCACGACTCGAAGGTCTGGCATTCTTCTTGTAAGTATAACGTAAAGGTTATGGATGGTGTCGTACGGGCAAACGTTCCTTCGGAGAACGTAAAATCCATTTTGGGTAATGTCGTGCAGTGAAAGTCGTCCAGTGAAAGCAAACTTGATCGGCAGGTGCGAGTCGAAGAGCGCCTCTATGCACGTGTCCCATGAAGGAATGGCTCTTGCGCTCGATCGGTTCTTTATCATGCTAAAACATCGTTTTCATCGATTATTTGTAACGATTAGATCGCAGATACTTGGTTTTTGGACTTTGCAGGATTTGGGGCTGAATTGGATGCCAAACGATTCCTTGTAACGAGACATCGATTGCAAACAATATTTTCGTCAAGCCGAATGTTGGTTACAGATATGCAGTTTGAATTTATGCAATCGAAATTTATCAGTGGAAAAGTAGCTTTAATAAAAATCAGCAAAACTAATATTCTAAAGAGCTTGAATACTGGCCAACGTTTGGGGTCGTAACTCGAAACTGGCCTCGAAACTTGATCGATATCTCACGGTAGATATAAAAAACGTAAACACAGTCTGTTGCTGGGACAAGCGAGAAGCTAGTTCCGAGAACTGACGAGGATAGCAACCGGCGAATTTCCAAGACATCGTGTTCACATTTAGTTCGTGTTTTTCGTTCTTGTTCGTAAGGGTTCGTTTGTCGAACTATTCAGTCCTGAAATCACATTTTCCCGTTCCGTATAAATATTACAGTTTGCAAAGTGAACTTACAAGTTTAAATATCTGGCCTGAACGAATGTGTCCGCCAGAATCGGATCCGTACATAACAACTGAATAAGCTGAACGGCTGCGTTTCTTATCGGGATCGACTTTACGTCACATAATAAATTATATAATCTGCGCGGACCGTGGGCCTTCAGGAAAGCGGACCTTCCAATTTTATTAACGCACAGAATGGACAAAGCGTTGCAGCAGGCGATTTTATACTCGCTCATCGACGGACACGCCAACTGATAACCGATAATCAACACCTTTTAGTTTGAATATTTTTGTATTATCCCATAAGTTTGTGTCGTATATTGTGCTTGAACTTGAACTAGTCCTTTGCACTCTGACAGTCCTTATTAATATGAACAAGTAGCAATGCCAATAACAATTTTGTAACGTGACTTCTAAAAACAAAAAAATATTCTTTTCTCCCACAAAAATGTATAAATACTTATAATTAAAATTTTATTCATATATTTCCTAAATTCAATTTGTGTTATCATAAATGAAACTCGAATTGAGCTATGGTACGGATTATGTTTGTCGCCATAGCGCTGCCAGTGGAGTGCAAAGGGCTAATATTGTAGCAATTATTATACTTAAATCGCGATTTGTGATAACGGCGTAGCGCTACTGGCACCACAAAATGGCGAATTTTGACTCACTTTGTCAGTTGTCGAACGAACGCCAAGAAAGACGGACATATGTACATAGGATAGCAAGTCTGTACGTCAGATCTGTACTCGGAAATTAAATAACTCTTAAGGAGTCATTATAGCGGTCATTTTTGTATGTTCTTTTGAAAGTAAGTTCTTACAACATTTTAAGCGATACTCTGAATTTTAAAAAACTTATGGGATACCATAATAGTGTTGGTATACATCTACGGCAGCTGTTATTCGACATTTGTTTGTCTTGTAAAATTAATGCCAGACGTTTACTTCGAAAGTTGCGCATATTGTGTCTATCGTGTCCCCATTAACGATTACATTTCTTAATGATTGGTTTCTTGCGATCGTTGTTAGACACTCTACAGCACCAACAAGGATTTCTACTGGTACTTTCCCCGTAGTTTGTTTCATCAGCCATATAAGATAATTCTAAGAGGCCATCAAAATATTCTGTATTTAAAAGAGGGTCGTAGAGTCGTTCGAACGATCGTGATTGCCTAAGACGTTTATCTACCTGCCCATGAATGTTCAAAAAATCATGACAGTTCTCGATGTTGCATTTTAGTAACTGATTCAGGGCGAACATGGCTGCTTGCCTCGCAGTCCACTTCAAATTCTCATTTTTCAATATGTCTGTAAATCTTTTTCGAATTAGCAAAGTAGATGATCGTTAGAAGAAAATGTCAGCCTCTAAAATACCTAAAATGTTTTTCGCGCAATTGCTTGCAGTCAGTTCTTTAGCTGCTTCGTTGTGAAGTGTCATCATGCCAATACCGTGGCAACCCATCTCGTAGATATCAGGGTGCATGTTGCCTACCAATGTTGCCAATAAATGATCAACAATCCCGTACGTGTGCAGGGCCTTCCAAGTGAATAGAACAGTGAATCAGTCATAGGTGCAAGCGTTAAACAGTATATGGGGTCCATCGCCTCTCATACTCGCCACGAGAGGGATCGTTCTTCTCACAAGCGTTCGACTGACCTTCCAAATGTATATACAGAGTATTTCAGGGTTAAACCGGAAAACTTTACGTATGAATTTAGGACCGTAAAACGGGAGGCGAATGAGCCCCACAAGTACCTATTTAGAAGACAATTTCTACATCCGTGATAAGTAGTAGAATTAAAACAGTACAAGAAAAATATTACTCCTGCGCTTGCTAAATACTACAAAATTTCATCTACGCACTCCTCCCTCCAGTTCGATAAACAATACACGTTACTTTTCTGCCCAACGGTGTATGCGACAAGCGAACAGCAACAGCAAGAGCCTCCATGAAAAATTTCGAGCTCGGTGTGTCTTCTATGTATTTCAAAAGCCGTTTAATGCCGCCGATATTGTCGAGTAATTCGATCGTTGCTGGATTATCGGAAGCCAAACAGAGAATTCTGAGTGCTTCCGAATGGAGGTCTACGCATTCTTCGTTCTAAATTAGGAAAGACGTACTATCAAGTGATACGGGAACGAACGAGATCGAATCTTACATTTAAGAACTTTAGTAAAGCCTGAAGACCGTTCGATCGTCTGAAGAGTTCCTGCAAGCGATCGTCCTGATTTCTGCTGACCAAATCGCCCACCACATTCAACGCTAAGCTTTGGATTTGACGATAAGATGAATCGAAGAGGTCGTACAGAAGATTAAAACTGAAATTCTGAAAGTGAATGAAAGTTGGATAGCTGAAAAAAGCAATCTACACTGTAGATTCTACAGTATAATTGTCTGTTATTCATTCCTCCCCACAGAGGGGGATTCCCTTTGACGCGCCGCGTTGCGTGATGGTTGAATCACATAACCTCATTTGAGCTCGAATATCGGTGGAACAATATACAATACTAATGCAACAATGAAACTTTTTTACTTTTAACGATGAAACTACGACATTGAAAGTTTTATTAAAAAAGTTTCATCGACGAATTAGCAAGTTTCAGACTTTGAATTTACAAAATTACTTGCACAATTGGTCTTTCAAACAAACCTTTGTCTCCGTGATCGCTTTCGCTCCCGTTGAATCTTGCAACAGATTGTACACAATCTCCAGATTGTTCTTCTTCACGTCGGGATCCGGGGACTGAAGCCTCTCGAACAGAAAGTCCATGTCTGGGCATTGTTTCAACAATTGTGCTGCGCCGAACATGTACCTTGACGCTTCTGCTAATATCCCAGAGGAGAATTCTTGCATGAATACGTCCTGATCGTTGATCAGAACTCTTACGAAGTGTGGAATGTAATGGTTGGAGTCCAACAGAAAATTACAGACATTGGGAATAAACACCATCTCTGCCAATAGTTTTGCAGCGAATCTACGCGTTGTGGCGATACATTAAAAAATGATTAAATCATTAGAACTTGTAGCCAATCGAAAGCTAATCAACGTTTGTTTCTCGTAAGATAAATTTGTAGGTTAGAAATCGAGTAACCTTCGAGTAAATAGATCATCGTGATCGATCAACGGGATTACGTTCGAAACGATCTCAAGGTCGAATAGGATTTCCAGATTTCCCTGCGATTTGCTGCCATATTTCGAGAGTGCTGCAGCAGCAGCTAAAAGTATAGGCTGCTCTTGGCATTGTAAAAGCAATATCGCTGTTCCAGGATACTTAATTTCCAGGCCCAGAGGATCGAATTTGTATTTAGTTTGCTCCTCGCGGTCTACTCGCCCCTTGCCTTTGGCCGAACGTTTCTGTGTGTGGTTCAAAATACGAGTAAGTAAACCAATTTAAAATTGTAAAACCAATTAGAAATCAAATTTCGGACATTGACAAAGGAATTTCATATTTTTGAATTCGCTGAAAAGAAGGCAAGTAATTTACAACAATTTTTGTTGAACGATAACGTTTTGCCACCGAAATATAAATTTTGCAATATGGTTTTAATTTTGATGAGAATTCTCGACAAATTGGAAACACTAACGCGTTCGAACTCATTGCTTAATACCTTTTTCGGGCCCATCTTTCTTCGTTTTTTTGGCCATTAATTCGTAGAGAATTGGAATTATCATTTACGGTCATGGCTATTCATAAAAGCCTAAAATATGCTATCATTCTGACGCCTAATCAGTTACGCAAAACAATGAACGTTGCCGCAATATAAACGAGCCCCTCGTTTGGTAACGAATGATCAAAGACCTCGAATTTGCTTATAAAATGTATTTTATTTATAAAAACTTATTTAATGGTGTTCTTTGATACTGTAATATTTATAATACGTATTTCGCGACTTAACGTTAAATGCAATTAAATTCTTTCAGTACGAAATGAATCTTATACGCTAAAAAAAATATATATATATAAAATCTCTTGCAAGATATAACAATATATATCTCTATAATCAGATACTGTGAATGGCTCGAATGTTGAACCTATGTCAATGGAATTGTGACAACGATAATAATGAGATCGGTTCGACTACAACTACGGCGTGTTCTCTAATAATACTATAAACGATAGTGTGTACACATATACTGTTTAGATATATCATAGTTATCTCTTTTATGGTGAACAAAAGATATAAATCGTGTAATATATTACTATTGTGGCGTATGATGTCCGATATATCCTACAAGGCACAACGTCGATCCTTATAAGAATAAAATCAATATAAAAATGGTACAAAATAAGTATTAATATGTACAGTGGTACATAAAAATAAAAGTATCTACATACGTGCAACAACGACATTTCCATGGACGGATTAAATATTTAACTGAACCTTAAAATATTAAATTCAGTCGTGTTTGCATTTGTCCGATCCCGGATACACGGGGCGTTCCTTAACCTGTCGTAATATTATAATAGGCGATTTCTTTTTGTTATGCTCCGCAATGTAGAACAATTCTGCTTCCAGATTTGTTAAAAACATCCGGTATATATCGCAGAACAAAATTCGTGTTGGGCAGTGTTATTGTTCGTCAGTGCCAACTAGATTTATAATTCGTTGAAAATCTTTGAAAGCTGCGTTTTTAAATAAATAAGGCAATCATGGTGGGAAGGTACACAATGAAAAGTTATTATTATACAGCTGTCTGCGGGACACCTTGAACTAGCTGGGTCTTGCTTTTGCTTTTAGACAGCGTGGATTGACTCATAGCTTTGCTCAACTTCGGATGGCCGTTGGGCGAACTCGTTACGAATCCGTCGGAACGCATATCCTTCAGGGAGATGTTTGAATTGCTTCGCAGCGACGGTGTCGAACTGAACTTCCGGTTTTGTGCCAATCGATCCTGAAGCTTTACCTCGTTTTGCCGCGGCGTTCTGGATTTCACCGTCGGCGCGTCGCGATATTCATAAATGTTTTCTTTCGAAGCGCGCGTCAGATTCTCGATTCCCTCCGAAGGTTCGTCATCTCGTACCATTAAGATGTCCCCGCTATAGTAGTGATCAGATTGTCTGAAAACGTAACCATAAGATACAGTAAAGAAATTTACCAAAACTAACAGTAAATAGAATAAAAGTAGAACAGTTTAAAGTGTCAATAAACAAGCCCTTTATCTTATTTCCCGATAAGTGTAAAAACTAAACGGTGAAATATAACTGCTAAGTGAAGATATTGCAGCCTTTCGAGTGACAAAAATTCACTTCTATAGTGCGTTGTGTGTCACATAAAAAAACGAAGTAATAGAATATGTAGCTGAAATGTATCATAAATGTGCTTGCCAAAAATTTTGGCAGCGACGTATTATACCTTCATGGGATCCAAGACGAAATGGAATTTCAGGGCCCTATCCGAAGAAAAAATGAATATTCTACAAAGCTACATACTTTATGATTTTGTTAGAGAAACGATCTGTTAAAATTTAGAAGCTGTGCAACTAATTACACAATGATATACCAGACACCATACGATCAGTGCTTGAATTACCTGCGTATATTCTGGCAGCCTTGGTTTTGCTGCGTGAATTATAAACAGAAGTACGATTAATACATAAAATTCTTGCATGAATTTTTAAACGGATTAGACCCATAAATCCCCAGATAAAATTCATGTAATTCGATTGTAAAACCAGAACCATCTCCCGCATGCACTACAGATAAATGTAGCAAGAGCTTTGGTTCTGTTTACCTTTTCTTACCTTTTGGCATTGCGCCAAAGCATACAGCATACTACAGAAAGTACAATCAACAGTAGGCATGCCGTAGAAATTGACCAGAACGCGATTTGCAGAGGTTGCTTTGGTTCCCACCAATACTGCAATGAACATAGAATCAAAATAGATAAACAAATTTTCAATTTCCGTTTAATAGATATACAGGGTGTTCGGCCACTTCTAGAAAAAATTTTAATGGAAGATTCTAGAGGCCAAAATAAAACGAAAATCAAGAATACCAATATGTTGATGGAGGCTTCGTTAAAAAGTTATTAACAATTAAATTCAAAAATTTTAAATCGTTCTGGAAAAATTATTTTCGGTTGCGGGGTTCAATTACAATCATTTTTGGTGAATAGACATACCCCCGAAATTTTGCACATTTTCAAGAAAAAAATTCAGTACGGGCGGAACTTTAAATGTTAATAACTTTTTAACGAAACCTCCATTAACAAATTGGTATTCTTGATTTTCGTCTTATTTTGGCTTCTAGAATCTCCCATTAAAATTTTTCCGAGGCGTGGCCGAACACCCTGTATATACATACATGTATACATATATATATAATGCCTTTACTTCGGTAACAGGAGGATACGTAGGCACTAAACGACCGATAACAGTTGGCAAGTAAACAGACCAAAAGGCACTTTCGGTTTGTCGATAGTTGAATAAGATTGAACTGTTAAAAGTAGTATTAATATTCAGGTAGCGCAGTTGTCCGTGCCTAGCAACGTCGAAGTGTAATCCCAGAATTTGCGATGGTGTAGGAGTTCTGTAACATGATCAGTAGTACGATCTCCATTTAAAAAATCTCGAATAGCACAAATCAGCCCGAAAGCATCAGTTTATCCGAGATTGTTGGGTGTATCGGTTACCCACACGTCTCTAATTAACAAACGTACCCATAGGTTGCAAAATTTGAATATGCCAGCATAAAGAAGTGACTCATGTTGCGATCGTTGTCCGTCCACATGTCTCGTTTCAATTTCCATTTTTGGGGGAAAAATTCTAAAAGGATACTTAGCAGATTATACAATATCTGGAAAAGAGGTTGAAATATTCTATGCTTACCAATATCCATGAATGGTGCGCCTGTCAGCCAAAGAAGTTCAGTATTATGAGGCACTCTACGCCACTGCGGTAGTTTTAACGCTTCTATGGTTGTATTTAACACGTACAAATAAGTAGGCACACGTTTCTCCACCAACAGCTTCGCAATTTTGTCAAAGGGAGCCACATAATGGAAATCTGATAGCAGCTAGATACATATCGTGACATTATTTATATGCAAAAATGCGATTATAATCACAGTTTGTGAAACTTACGTTGATATACTGATCGCGAATGTGTGTAATATTTTGTGGGTCCGGCCAATACGTATACATATACTTTATAGCTTCGTAAACGCCTTGAGGATTGAGGGTGTAATTGTACCGAAGAACGAGTTCCCAAATTTTTTGATCGAATAATTCTGGATCTATTATATATTGATTCCTTGCTAACGTGATGTTGTTATCTGAAATTAAAAAAAAAAAACAATAAAAAAATGAGTAATTGCAACGTAAATGCGCCAGAGGAATTAAGAATTACGTACGTATAATATACGCTGCCTCTTGAGTAGTTACGCCGGCCATGTACGCCAAGTTCTGTTTGAATCTGTAATTTTTAATACTTTCCTCGGGTGTTTCCGCAAAGAAACGCCAGTCGGATACTCTCCAGTCTTCGTACCAATTATCGCTAGGTACAGTGAAATTAACATCTAACACCGGAGCCCACGGAAACATTCCAATATGCGGTTTCAATTCGGAATTACCCAATTCAAGAAAGGATCGACCGTCTTTCAAACACTGTACTAATTTCCAACTGCTTTCTTTGCTACAACCCAACATTTCAGCGTATACTCTGGACGTATTTTGCGCTCTGTATTTGTCTATTATAACTGCCCAATCTGCCAATGCAGAACCTGATTGAGCTATCACTTTGGATACCATTTCACTGGTTCTAGGCGCGGCCATTAGCAAACCAGCGCTCGCTGCACCGACATCAGGTCCAAAAAGTGTTATTGCATCGGGATTACCATTGAAAGCTCTAATATTATCGTATACCCATCGTAGCGCCATAGCTTGGTCCAAAATTCCATAGTTTCCAGGACTATTTTCATCTCCTGTGCTTAAAAATCCTAATGCTCCTAATCGATAATTAATCGATACGACTACTACGTTGTAAAATGCAGCCAACATATGAGCAGGAAATAAGTTACTAGCTCCATGAGTAAATTCACCGCCATGAATATAAAACATTACTGCATACGGTTGAGCCAATCCAGAACCAATATATGGTGTAAAAACATTTAAATATAAACAGTCTTCGTCTACATCCTTGATTCCTTTAGTAGCACCGGTGTACATGCTGGGTTGAGGGCATGCTGGCCCCCAATCGACTGCTTGCAACAATTGCCAACCTCTGTGAGGTCTGGGTGGCTTGAAACGACCTTCCCTTATAGGTGGCAAGGCATAAGGAATACCCAAAAATACATTAACATGTTTTGTAACTCTTTCAACTGGTAAACTCCAAGGTCTGTGCTTTGCTTGCGGATCGTCGTACAAATAAACTTTGAATCCTTGGACCTGTCCATAAGTTGTAGAAACAGTCACGTCTCTATCCAAATTCTTGGAATCAGGACGCTCTTTACCTTGTAGATCCTCCCTCCAACCACCTAGTATTCCAGGCAAAGGAAGTCTGGAAGTTGTGTCCTAAAATGTGATAACAATTTGCAGTTTTAATGTACTTTTCTTTCGTTCATTGCATCATGCTATACGTAGGACCGAATGATCAAAATAGTACAAAATAAAGGGTGTCTGTTCATTATTAACATAAAAGAAATGTGATAATTTTATTTAATCATATACATATTCTTCATTTTTGAAAACAGTGTCTTACAGTTTTGTTCTAGTGAAATTGTATTATTTCGATTTAAATAAAAAATTAGTTGTAATATTCGTTTCGTTTATAAAGATATTAGTTAACGTAAATGATCTTGTTTTACAAATAACGTTGTTTCCAGTCATTTTCAGTCATTGTCAGGGTTTTGTCTACCATTGTCTGAGAACCACTGTTGTCCAAATATTTTCATGATCGACTATATCTTTATCCGAATGTACCGAAGAAAGCTACGAGGGTTGATTGATAATAAAGGTCTTTAACAACGCCATTGTGCGATTAATGATGATACAAATAAATTCTAACCTATATTTGATCATGTCTCGAGTATTTAGTCTGAACAGGCAAATGTTCAATTTCCTGTGTAACATCATTGCATAAGTGTCATTAATTATAAGTTCGACATACGAGTCGCATACCAAACAACGATCGGTAATACAATTTTTAACTCTGGAATGTTACACTCTCTGTATAATTCCATTTGGGTGGGCACTATCAGAGTTCTGGTTGTTCCCGAAGTTGAAAAAGGTACCACCGAAAGTCAACATTTTCCATCGAGTATCAAAATTCAGATTGTTATATGCAATTCGAGAGTGCACCGGAATGTTTAAAAAAATGTTGTATTAAATGATGATTACGTAGAAAAATAAATATGTACGTTTTAAGTACAATAAATTTACTTCGTTTTCAGATTAGTTTCATTAATTTCACTTGTCAGATACATATTTTATGGGATCGAAGATCTTAAGTATTAATCGACCCTCGTACGTTACGCACGGGGCGACCCAATATTTTCTCGAACGACTCGTACGTAGTTCTGCATTGTCACTAATTTTCTTAGGATGTTCGGTGCATTATGTTATCCGTTTGTTCGGCTTACCTGGTAATGAAATTGATTCTCCGTCGCTTTGACGGGTACTCTGTAAACAGGATCCAGGTAACTGGGACGGTACCCGTACCTTCTATCTTTATAAATATAAGTGTCTGTTCGGTGATCCGAGCCGTTCGGTGGCACATACACACCGTCGCGGCCATAGTACCGTCTACCAGGCGGTAGTTGTTCCTGACACAGTATCACAACCGTAAGGAGGCACAGATAAAGACAGACGCGGTAAAACAACGAGCGCGACCTGTACACGGCCATCTTACCGCGTGCAGACTGTGGCGTTTCTCTACAACTGACCAAGAAGGCAGGTGTGGTCTGTTCGTGTGTGGACGCGTGACACTTCCCCACGCGCGCGTAAAACCAGGGAACTCGGTCTTCCAGGAAACTCTCGACCAACCAGGGAAAAGCGAAAGGCGCCTACGAAAGTAAAACTTTTACGAGTAGACGTGCACCGTTCATTGAGGAAAGATATACGCGCTGGTAAGAGTAGTTGGTGCACGATTGCTTGTAAAAAGAGAACGTCGAAGGCGGGATTGGTGAAGTTGTTACACGTGCGCTTACGAAATCGACGAGGATCACGATCGGGCCAACACCCCGGGTAGCCTGTCACGTTTGAAAACGATCGTCGCTCTCCCTAAATCTTTCCAACTCGAGGACTCGATATTTGCTTTTGTATTCTTATAATTTCAATTATTCGGAACGTTGTCGGTTCTCGCGTTGAACGATCGTAACTACGCAATTTTACATTTGCCCTATCACTTATTTTTGTCACCTCGCCAAAATTCACGAATCTTATTCGTTTTCATGAGAATTAATTTATTTAGTTCCTTAGTGAAAAATCCTGTCACTCATATACTCATGTATAGCTAATGTGGCCAAGTGTTAAAGCGAAGAAACGGCGTTCGTCTACTATGTTACACACTGGTTAATCTATCGGGCACTAACTTTAGACGATTAATCGTGCTGATAAGATGTCGTGTCGATTTCGTTTCCGTGTATTGCAAGGAATCACTCGCAGCATTTTAGGCGAGCGTACGAGCGTGCTTGTAGCGATCGAGATCGGGTTCACTGCACGAAGGATGGATCAGTTCGTAAAAATTGTTTACGAGAGAAATGTTGCCCGGTCTAGCGTCCGGCGACCACTGAACGGTAATGTTACACTCGCGTGCAAATACGCGCTGTGATCGGTCGCCCACGCGCTAATAAATACTTGCTGAAACGATCGTGGAACGCGATCTATAGGGTGTTCTCTTTATCGTGAGTATCTTCAATCATTGAGAAAACTATTCGGATAGCATTAATTAATAAATAAAATCATCGCTTTTCCTATGATCGTAAATATCTGTAAATCAGCTCTTGAAAATTGTTATAATGTATGTAGGTTTAGATTTTGTGAGCAAGAATAAATCGTACATGGTAACAGTTTGTACACCTTATATATTTTGTAATAGATTACTCGTGCGATGGCCACGCTTATCTCAGAATGATTTTACTTGACAAAGATTAGATCAGTGATGTTCATCGCAATCGTATCGTTGGAATTTTTCGTCTCTTGGCATGGGAGTTAAATTTATCATTTTTATTTATTTTGTATCCGTTTCGACGAAATGTTTTTTATTGTTGATCAACTGTATCGATATGAGTTTCAAACGCTGGTGCATTTAAAACTCGTTATAAATTAAGAACAAACTGGTTATCGAGAATCGTCGAAATTGATTGCGTGTCGGATCGTGAATAACGCGATAATCAATGATACTGTACTTCGCTTTCGCTGCTGAATAATCCTTCTTTCGATTACGATCGCCTCCAGCCACTATTCGTCTTTATGTAGGTTATGTACAAGAAATTGGCTTTAACTCTAGATTACCACTTAAAGAGGAAGACATGTTTAATCTTCGCTCAGCGGACGCCGGGTCCATTTGGACCCACGCAGATTTTATTTCAGAACCGTGATGTTAATAAGGATAATAATACTACTAACAGGGAGAGTGCAAGATTTTTGAGCCATCGATTTAACTCAAACTTTGTACACTAGTAAATTTTGATACCATTTTCACGAAAATATTATATTACAGTTGATGAAAATATTGTAGACTTAATATTGTGGTCCAACGATAAGGAACCAAAGTTTTACGAGGTTAGATCTGGGTTAGGAAAATTTTAAAGGTTAGAAAAATGCATTTTACTTTTATTTGCGTTTACTTGTTGAAATTACTTAGATTGTGTATGAAAACATATATTCAAAGCCTATTACAAAGTCTTATTTTGTCGGCTATGTACGTATAGTAATGTTCGTTTAAATTTAAGCAAATCGGTGGTTAGTGTTGAATATCTCGCGAAGCAAGGTAGTGTAGTGGTTTTACTCCAGGAATCGTTTCGAGATTGAGTCACTCGATAAGGAAGGGGAATAGGTATAGTGAGAGTAAGTGAAAAAGAAATAAACTGTCGAACAACGATGATTAAGTTCAAGTACTTCAAAGGAACACCGCCATGTACTGCGATGAATCATTCAATCATAAAAATAAAAATTCCTACATTTTTCATTTCACCTTTAAAATAATAGTATCGATGGATTGGTGAGACTTTCCTGATAAAAATGATACCAAACACCATATAAATCGGACGAGATTTTCTACTAATGACTTTGAATATCCGAAAATAGATATAAACTGGAACATGCCATGTTTGGATTCATTTTCATCGGGAGAATCTCACCAATCTTTATTTCGATTACAACTCTATAAAATATGATACTTTGATTTTGAATAAATGTTTGGACCTGAATAAAAGGTTCGAAAAATTAATATTAATTTTGTCCAGTTGAATTTTAAGTTGCGTTATTTAATATTTAGTCCATGAGCGAGCATGTTCGCTTAATGGTGCGCTAATAGAGACAACCACCCGCTTTGCAGCGCGTGATCCGATGAACTTCTCCAGGCTGGCCAGTAAGAGGACAAAGTAAAAGCTTTTTTATCCGTCGGTCCTCCCTCGTGCGAGTTCTCCAATTTACAGCAATTGGTGGATTTATTACCCATTCCCCGCTCGACTTTACTTACATGCGCGTACAGTCCCAGTAAAGAGCCGACGGTGTTTAATTACATCGGGCTGTTGCATTATCCTCTTTTGGAATCGTCACGCATGACACAGCGGGGTCGACTTCTCAGAACAAAGGTAAACGAGAGTTGCGATGGTGCCTATGAAATTAGAAAAGTCTCTTGGAAAGTACGTCCACGATAACAGTTATTTCTTAACATTTTTCCGATAACGATCATTAAGCAGAAATTAATTTCATTTCGTTACTTTGAAAAACGCGGAGTTAAGAGGAAAGGCAAAGTTGAACGCGATTTTCAGCACCATCCGTGCTTGTTCGACGTTCGCGCCATGTTGATTTAAATGGACGCTATTATGCTCGTTGTCCGTGTCCCGTCGTGCGTACATCCCTTTTTTGTGGGAACTGAAATAGTCTGAGCTCGTGGGAATAAGACAGACATCCTGCGATAAACGTAATTACTTCAATCACAATTCGTGTAAATGTTCAATACGCCTAACTTTTGCATACGAGATGCGACGATAACGTTTTGAGAATAATTCTGTTTTTGTTCTTGAAGGCAGCGATGGGAATGAAAAGGATTTCTACCAATAAGAGCCATCGAATTTGGTAGGTTGTAGCTCCGATGACCTTGACCTTAGCATAAAATCTTGAAAGCAACACGTGGTTTGGATAAATTTTTTTATAAGTAGTGAGGCCATGAATACTTATGGGGCTGACTGTACCTGCTATAACATAACCTTGAAATTCATTTAATTAACAATTAACAAAATAATATGTGCTACCTGTCGATTTCGCCATGGATAGAAAGTCCTCCCTTGGCAGTCTCTTTGTTTGGGGTCGTAGGGGTGGGGGAGTAACCACATCCCCGGCTCACAGTCGGCGCTCGTGTTCCTCAAGCTGCAGGCACAGATGCACCGGTCACCGATGGAGGTCGAAGGGTGGGGGCGGCGCAGTGGTGCAGGCGGTCGCCGGAGTCCGGGGCCCACTTGTTTCGTCCGAGGATCGGCTTGTCACTCGAGAGCGCGTTGCCATTCTGGCAACATCGGCCCTGCTGCGTCTTACTCCCTTTGCGACACGACGAATCTCGTGTTCCACGCTCTCGCGTCGACCATCGCGCGATTCGCCTCGCGAACTATTCGAACGTCCGTGGAAGTGTGCGGTTTACAAACCAGTGACGAGGAGACTTTGTACGGTTTCGAGGTGCACTCCGACAGTGATACGGTTGAAAAAATATGCTTTGAACGGCAGTTGAAAAATAAAAAGATAAAAGAGAACGACGACAACGCACGCGGCAAACCGAATTTCTCTATCGAGCTTCGTTCAGGCTAAATTGTCGAAGAATGACCACGGAGTCGCTATCGCGCGAGCTGGATGCTCACATCGTGACCCTCCTGACGAGGATCTCCGCGCTAAAGGAGAACAATGCCGAGCTGACTGAGAGAAAGGCGCCTATGTCGATCGAGGCTCGCAGTCTGGAACTTTGGAGAGCGGTGGCCGTCGAGTGTTTCGCCACCTTCCTCTTCAGCTTCGTCGTGTCCGGCGCGGCCGCGTCTTCTGTGGTCTCCGGAAGCGGACTCTGCGTCCTGGCCACCGCGGTTGCATCCGGATTCGCGATCGCCGCGATCTCGATGATCTTCGGTCATATTAGCGGTAAGTATCCTTTGCTAAGGAATCTATAGCACAGATGTCACGCCCGAGCCCTCGTTTTGTTCGGATACGATTGTTTAATAAATAAAATTGCGTATCTCGTTCCCTATACTAGGAAACGTATGTGTCTTTAAGTAGTCAGGACTGTGAGACCAATCCGCAAAATTTAAGAGTCACGAAAAATGTTCTGAATAATCGAAATTCCAATCTATCGCTAGAGGGGTTAAATTAAATGCAGTCACGAGTACGGTAGAACCTCGATTACCAGAATTATCACGTTTATGACTCCTGTTTGAGATGTTGGAACGTTTTTGAACGAAAAAATGTACAATCGACGATGGTTTTTAAACGACTATTTGGATAAGAAAATCGTTAGAGATCTCTGCCGCGTCGTTTACAGGCGGCCCTCATGGTCTCTCTCGATTGGCTCGTTAACCGATTATAGCGGTCGATGGAAATATAGCGCGCGGCGGGTTTATCGGAACGTGTGGCAAGTATACTTGGTGTACATTATACCCGCCCGCGTAGTCTCTTAACGTTTTGTTGCAGTCCACGCGAAACACGATCGCATTTATTCCTTCCCTCCCGACGAATACGCTTAATTAACGAATGGAGCCGCGCGTCTGAGTCTACTTACAGGGCCATTCCAGAAACTGAGACACCGTAACGTGCAAAAGTTTTTGGTCGTGTAGTTTTTTAACTTTTCGTTCCAAAAGCAAAACGTGAGAAAATTTCTAGTATTTCCAATCTCTCTACTCTTTAATATTAATAGCACCCTGTTTCATAATTAGTGTTTAACATCGAACATCATTTCTAGTATTATTTGGAAGTCGAACATTGTGTTTTTCATCGCTTTCATATACAGTGTGGTTCATTTAACTGAAAATCGTTGGTATAAAAGTTGCTTGATATAAAGGGAGGGACATTGTTTAGTGTAAAAGGTTTTTGTAGGTAGAGTAGTGGAGGGTATTTAAAGGTCACGTTAATTTTTTTAAATAGTAGTCCACGTTACTACGTACAATATTTATTTCATACAATATTCTTTATCCTTGTTTGGAGCTACAGCCCGACCCAGTTTCTTGAATCACCCTGTACAGACCGATTATGATCTGTAACAAGAATGTGCCCTCCGACTTTAACGCCTGGATGGCGACATCAACCCTGCTGTGGCCTCAACTCGAGATGTTTAAAGAGCTACATTATTATTATTGTTAAATGCCTTTGTTTTACAAGTCTGTATATATATATAGAGTGTCCCGTGATTTCTTCGCCAAACTATAAGAACTTAATCTAGAGGTCAAAAGAAGAAAGAAATGTTATATAAAGATAGTGAATTTATTAATTTGTACTTCAAAGTAAGTAACTAAAGAGTAAATGTGAAAATCAAAACACAATAAAACGAATAATAATACATACATTTAAACAAATGTAGTGAGATCTGTATTAGGTGCTAATTTTTGTAACGAATTCTTGAAAGAAGCTGGTGATCCAGAAAATATAAAAACGGTGTGATAAATTCTGTAAAGAAACCTAAACCGCGAACATCGATTCTGTGAGTAACAAGTCGGTAAATGAACACGTGCGAGGTGGATAACATGCTTTCTTCGACCACTGCACGAAAATAAGGCTGATTGAACTTACGGATGAAAACTTCCAAAGACGATCACGACTTGAGGCTTTGAATCGGATTCGAAGTACATAATTCGATTTTTTCGCCAATATATAGATTCGAAGCGTTCCAAATCCCATCGCTAGTTCTAGTTACACATAACCTAAATATCAAATGGCTTAACGTTCCAGTGTGAGTCACCGATGGCGTGGTTCGTTTTAAATCTTCTAAAAACAATGCAATGAACGAAATTCGTGGGTTCTGCTATACTGTCGAGTCGAGAGAATATTCTGTAATTGTTGTTGCTTTTATGCGTCGGGTGTACAGATTGGTAAACTCATAATAAAATGATAAAATGCTCGACACGCAGGTGGCCACGTGAATCCAGCTGTCTCGGTGTCTTTCGCTTTGTGTCGACGGATCTCGCTGCTTCGTGCTGCTCTGTACATCGCTGCACAATGCGGAGGCGGCATAGCTGGCGCTGCGATGCTCTACGGGTAAGTGATTTTCTTTAAAAACTGTTATACAGCGATCCACGGTTAACTTTTTCAACGTTTCGAACCCAACACTGAAAATCACGCGTGCAGGTTATACAAATTTATACATACGTGTTTGGCTTTATTGAAACATTTTTATCGGGGAAAAGTGGTTTTGTTGTTCAGAAATATATTGTTTAACTCTTTGCGGCACAGGATTTCAGATAATAAAATAGACCCATGTTGCATAGAAATTTTATTGCATTTTAAATTAAACGAAATTGGTATATTTTTATTAATAAAGGTATCACATAATGTAAAAACATAAAAAAAGATTGTCGCAATAAACCTTCCGCTTGCAACAATTGATGAACCTGTATTGGCATGTTGAATGTTGCCAACACAAGTGAATACATTTGTAACATTTGTTGAAGGTATTACCAAGTGCTTTACCTAAATAAGACGAAATATAAACCTATGCGCATGCAGCTATTGCAGTACTTCGAGGTGGGACTAAAAATGTCCCACCATGCATTACGGTGCATCAAAAAGGTGGAACACTTTTAATCCCAGCGTGGCCTAAAGAGTTAAGTTGTTAATTTTTGACGACGACAATGCGACGTCATTAAAAGTCGTAACTTCGTGTTACGTTAAAACGGACTCTTGATGGGGGGAAAAAGGCAGTCCGTACATAGAACACGGTCCTTCGGTACACGGAAGACGTTCGATACGGAGAGAAAAGGAAGATAGGCGTCCCGAGAAGGCAGCTGTCAGATAATGGAATCCAAGAAGGACGCGTGGTTCTTAAAGCTTTTTTCGCAGTTTCTCCAATGTTCTCGCAAGTTTCCAATACTATTACGTGCAAACTGTCGAGAACAATCTATCCAATAAAAAAATATTGTTTTCCGATTGGAAGCAATAATCGATACCTTCAAAAATTCAACGTCCCTACTCGAGATACGGATGTATTGATACGGGTGATGGTACTCGGGGAGTCGTCGGTCGTTCCCTTCTTTTTTTCATTTTTCTCTCGCCACCGTGGCGATCTTTTAGCCACGGGCGAAATCGAGGCACGTGCACGAGAGTTCCACGCAGCCGCGGGCGATTCTCGAGAGCGCTTCTTCACCGTATCTCACGTATCGTGCACGATGATCGGACCAGGAACTCGGTTCACCAGGAATTATGGACCATAGGAGCTTTATGAATTAATAATAGAGACGCTAATATCGACGAAAGTAGGAGGCGATGCGTGTCGTTGCCAGCAGGCACACGCGATTTATAAAGTACGATTCCCGCGAAAATAAACGACACCGGCGGTCGATAACTTGGATTCATTCGAAAGTTCGGGCAGCTTTACGTCTAACCTCGAAACATAATGTATCTACGAAGTTGGTAGCAATGTACAGGGCGTAAAAAATAGCCGGGCAAATAAAAGCTTCCGCGATAGTTCGCCAGAAACACGGAACTATTCATAATGGACAGTTTATAATTTTTATATTTATTTTTTATTCGAACTGAACTGTTCCGTGTTCGACAACGGATTATATGAATCGGCCAAATGGGTTAAATTAGACCGTTTAATTGTTCCTGCCCGTTCAACGGGTACCCACCTATCAATGAAGGCGAAAGAGAGGCCAGAGCGTCCAAAAGACCAGCGGTCGAATGCGCGTGTAGCCGGCAAGAAGAGACGAGAGGGGAGAGGTTGGACGGGAGGAACGAAGAAATCTGTGAGAAGAGTGGGAGAGACGGCAGAAAAAGGCACGCGTAATTGGTAGGGGCGGGGGAGGGGAGGAAGAGAGAAGCTTCTTCGAAGGTGAGCACCTGCCTCGTTCCTCGATTCCTGCGACAGGCCACCGCCTCGCAGCTGCCGCAGATGTTTCGTGGACCAAAAAAGATCGCGCGGTGGGAGAGGCGGGGAAAGGACCGTACGAGCGAAGCGAAGACGAAGATAATGAATACCTATGCACGCCACCTATGAGGTGGGACAAGTTTCACGACGCGATCGGTTCATTGAAGGAGGACATGCCGTGATCCGGAGCCGAGCAGATGTTTCCCTGCGTTTCCGAGGATCATTGTCCTCCCTTTCTCCTATCGTCTCCTCTTCGGCGTTGCTCGCTCTTCTTGTTTCCTCCTTGTCTCGCTTTTGCCCGCCACTTGCTCGCCACGAAATTATCGTCTGCGACGTCCCGATTCAACTGGAACGGTTCGACCAGATAGTATCTCGAAGGTTAGGAATATCCAGAAATTGAAACAATGCAACCAAGCACGTAATCGAGCAGAGGTTAGGTTTGCCTTTCGAGGGGCCTCATTTCTACAAACGCTAAAGTAACATTTTATTCAACGACGTTTAACCCTTTGACGTTCAGATTTTTCTTTTTCTTTTTTAGAAATTTACTGTCCAAAAACACACTTTCTTTCTTGCACGAATCCACCTTCTGTCGTTAAAACACGAAATTTTGTTCTTGATGCATCTCAAAATGTTCAAACGCTTTGTTGACAATTTTGTCATGGGCAAAATGTACATTCGCCACTTTAGATGTTCTTCCTTAAAAGTTAATAGCTGTGTCTTAATTTTTTTCACTCTCATGACCGTATTTGGATTAATTTAAAAATTAACCGGATTAATTTTCATAATTTCGCCTTTGAAAGAGTCTAGATATGCCGTCACTGTTTTTAAAATGTTGCTTTCGAATTATTCAACCTGTCCGAGGTCACAGGTTCGCGCAGGTTGTATCGAAGCTCCTGTACCCCTCCTCCCCAAATATTATACAGGGGTCGTAGAATGAAATAACGCCCCTATAACGGATCGACTGTTCCCCCAAACAATTTCATCGATATTCTCGAGTCAGAAAAAAGCAGGAACCCTGCACCCCGAAACGTCATTATCCGTCCATTACCGTTTGGAAGAGTTACGACGTTTTCCCTAGCGAAAGCAGAGCTTAACCTAAAAAGAAAAGATCGACGCGGCGTGTGGCGATTATTGTTTCGACGAAAAATTTAAATTTAATAATACTGTTTAGAATAGAAGAACAAGAAATGCATTTTATAAAATTAATCGTTTATATACTTCAATCAAAGTGATAAGAAATTTTAGAAAACAAGGCACGTCATTTTTTTGATGTTGGGGGTTAGGTTTGGAATGTCACCAAACGAATATTAATAGAAACAAATGTTTACAGTATTTGTGTCTTAATCCAATAATAATTTTCTTTCGCCCTCTCTTTATTCTCAAAAACGGGGTTTAACGTCGATATTATTTGCTGAGCCTCGCTCCTGGCACGCGAAACGTTAAACAAATCCAAGTTGGATATCGTTGAGGCATCTACCAGTGACAGATCCGTCATCGCCAGGGTGAAATCACCCTCGAGCCACCATATGACCGCACAAAGAGACAACAAGTGCGCGATATGTACCGAAATAATAATCGAACAATACTCTAGTTAACCAGACCGAGTTCGTCATCCCTTCCAGGAACGTCTCTGGGGACTTTGCCCCCCTTTCCCCATAAAGAAAAAACTACGCCGCGGAAGCAAAAGGACAGACCGAGCGTCCGACGGTAGAGAAAGGGAGAAAGCTCTGTCGGCGTATTCTTGCATCTGTTGCGACTAGGTCAGGCAACAGTGGCGTTTGTAAAACACGTATATCCTTGCATCTCACCCCCGAGGGTTTCGTTGCTCCCATAGCGACACTTCGGCCTATTCCCCGGAATATAAATAAAGAAAAAAAGAAAGGGAAAAAGGGAAAAGAACCGAGCCGATAAATCGTAAAACGAACCCACGCCAGAACGGCGAGAGGGGGGTGGGAGATTATGGAAGGATCAGAAACCGCGAGAGTGTAACTATCCGTAAAGAATTTACTGTGGCTACAAGATTTCCCCATTACACTTCACCCGAAGGTCTTAACGATGTCACGACACGAAACGAAAGACACTTTATCGGACATAATACATGTATATACACGTCACTAATTGAAGGTTAGGTACAGGTCTGCTGAAAATACTACATTAAATAATGAAAATTTTAAAATTTGAATACCATACGAAAATACGTAAGAGTTCTACTATTATCTAAAGCGAGGGGTTCACACTTACTACGTATACAAGAAATTTCCGATTAACTACTATTTTCAATGCCGCATATAAAACTTGAATTCTTCAAGTGTCCGTAAGTATATGGTCGCGTCTATAAGATCGGTATCTCCGGCTCTAAAATTACGCGTCTGGACGTAGCCAACGGACGCGCCCACCTTTTTCCATCGTTCGCGAAATTGAAGCAAAAGATCACGGAGCGTTGAGGCCGGCCGAGATTCCACGACGAAATAACATTAGTCCAGGGGATAACGACGCTGTGGTATAAACTTATTTGTCAAGGGGAGTTTGCCACCACGGACCGAGGAAACAGCTGTGAGGAAGCAGGTGTGTTGTGACGTCGACAAGACACACGCGGTGCGCGTGGCGGGCCGGATGTCCAGCGAAGGAGCAGCCACCGCCGCGCGTTTCCTGCCCTCGGAACCGCCCGTGACGCAGACTCTTCTGCCCCGAGATCCAACAAGGAGAGTCTCAGATTATATCGAAACTTTTAGGACACGCGTTGGACGTCTTTCTTTCTGTGAATTTCACCCCTCCGGACACAAGAAATTTATACAATAAATGAAATTTTGAATAATATTTTGACATCATACGTCGATAAAATATTGAGCTTGAAATTACGACGATCAACGTTCTTCGTTCGAAGTAAGAAATATTACAGTTGGGCAGAGGGAGATGTTCGTAGTCGATACGCAATAACCCAAGCTTTCTCGGAAAGCTCCTCGATATTGGATCCTTAAGCCGGGATTTCGAGAACCGTTATGAATGGACCGAGGACCATAGGTCGTCTCTACGAATTTTCTTCAAAGATGTTCCGTCTAAACACGGTTTTGGCAGGATCTCCTAATATTTTCTGGAACAGAATGTAAATATAATTTTAGCTCTTCTTTTCATAAAAAAGTTTTGTTCTACTAGTTTCGCTTAGGATGCTCGT